TAACTGTTGTGGTAAAAAAATATTTTTGGACAGCCAGCTTCTACTTGTTGAAGTTCCTCAGGGATCAGCTTTGAACACGTGCATCTTCTATCTGTGAACCACATGCAACCTTAGCAGTGTAGTCTTGAAGCTGGGAGGCTGTGGTTTTCCTATCTTAAAAAGGTATGTAGTCTTGCATGTAGTGGTGCATGGCATGCTCATGAATTGTCATACTTCACTCCAAAGCATAAAGCAGTTCTGAGAGAAGGAGCATATTGAAGAAGTAAAAAGTGTATTGATAAAAAAAAGCCAGTGAGGTCATTCTTCCATTTCAAGCTTGCTCTGATTAAGGAACATGCAGGATGTCACGTTTCTGTTCCATGCTTTAATGAATAAACGAAGAGTAAAATAAAAGGAGCATGACCAGCAGGTCAGGGAGGTAATTCTCTCCCTCGGCTCTCATAACACTCCCTGCCTTACCCCAGGACTGAACTGCATCTGGTTCTGGGGTCCCCTGTATAGGAAAGACATCGACTTGTTCAATGACTCACCAGAGGAGCACCACAAAAATAATCAGAGGGCTGAAACACCACTCTTGTGAGGAAAGGTTGGGAGAGTTGTGGTTGTTCAGCCTGGAGAAGACAGCTCTGTGGAGACCTTATTGCGCCCTTTCAATATATTAAGGGGGCTTATAAGAAAGACAGAAAAAGATTGATTTATTTTTTTTTTTACCATGGTCTGTAGTGACAGTCTGGGGCAATGAGTCTAAACTGAAAGAAGGTAGATTTAGACTCAATATAAGGAAGGCATTTTTTCACGAGGGTGATGATACACTGGAACAGTTAGTTCAGAGAAGTTGTGGATACACCATCGTTAGAAGTGTTCAAAGCTGGGTTGGGTAGGACTTTGAGGAAACTGATCCATTGAAAGATGTGCCTGCCAATGGCAGAGGGGTTATACTATAGGTGATCTTTAAGGGTCCCTTCCAACCCAAACCATTCTATGAAGCTTCTTTCAGTGAGTACCAGACCAGTTGATTATATCTGAAGTTTCTAGAATTGCTTATGAAAAATAAAGATCTAATAAGGAAAAGCATTAGCATGTGCCTTTACCATTTTGGATCTCTCTACACAATCCTGTTGGCACAGATTGCCACGATAACTTTAGGGACTGTTCTTTGCAAGACAGCACTGGGACCTTGTGCGATACCATTTGTGATCTAGAGACTTTTCAGAAATTCAGAAGGTACCATGCAAGCAGATAGTTAACCTGCTCAGTGTGCAGAAATTAAGACTTTCCGTTATCTAGTCCAGGATGAATTGGCTTCTTCAGTACTGGAAAGAAACTGACATAAGGATGCTGCAGTAGTTTGTAGGAAGCTGCCTCCTATGAAATAGGTTGGCCTGGAAAGAATGTAGATGTGCCCAGAGTGTAGCTCTGCTCAGTTACCATGAACTTCAGGGTGATCCTGAGCCTCCTACCAACTGCTGCTGTCATTTACTGGTGGGCCCTTCCAAACCCAATGGAAATGGTGCGCCAAGTTGCTTGGATAAGTGAAAGGCAGAGAAGCATTTTAGTTGCAGCGGTGGTGCCTGGAGTAGAGTTTCTGCAATCTTGCATATTTATGACAATGGTGGATACATTTACTGGCCTATGCAGACCATGCTTAGCATCTGAATGAATAATTCTGCTCTTCACATTGTGTATGATAGCATTTTTAAGACAATCTTGCAGTGTTCATGTCTGCATAACCATTTTATCATGCAGGGTTGCCTATTGTTTGCTGTTTGTTTAGCAATTAATACAAATGTTAACAGTGAAGGGGGGGGATCAGTGTTTGGAGTACAGCAGGATGAATGTTCTTGAATACATTGTGACCTATAGTCATGCAACATGTCTTAGGCTGTGCTCAGCACCTTGTGGGACTTGAATATTTTGGTGGCTGATTATTTTTTATTGCCTTTGGAAACAGAAATAAGCTGCTGCTGTTGGGCCAAAGTATCTAAATAATGTATTTATGTATTCTACAAGGGTAGAAATTTCAGGAGGATGTCAAATGTTTTCCAACTAAGGGAAATACAGTAGGGATTTTTGTAAGTATTCCATGCGGAGAGCAGTTTGCTGTAGGGATGTTGTGGAACCCTGGGTGCATGGCAGACTAACTCTAAACTTTTTATGTATGGGCCAACCTGATGTAATTAGGGTGTTGTGTGGGCATGCTGGTCATGGCAGAAATAAAGCCAGGTGTGGCTTCTGTTAGAGTTGTGCGCGTAGTTGGGTTTTAGTGCAAAACAGAAGGGGCCTCCAAATGGTGCTTCTGTTGAAGGAGCTGAATCCTATTTGGTAAAAGGAATAAGCTCTAACTTATGTTGCATAATGTCACTGCCAAGATCAGAGACTTGCTAAGAAGTGAAAGATAGAATCCAGGTTACTATGTCTTCAGGTGTCTCACTAACAAGGTTAATATACTTAACCTTTCAAGCCTGAAAGGCTTTCAGATACTACTGTCCAGGTAAAAAAACAATTGCAGCAACGATAGGTTTTATATAAATGTAGGGGCATAGAGGACCTTGATATGACAGCCCTCCACTTCTTTCTTTACCCTCAAACTATTTCAGAAACCCCATATTTGTCTTAAATTTTAGTGATTAGCTGTCTTGCAATGCATTTTATCATGTCAGGGTTTGCAAGACGATGCTATCAAATGTGTCCCGGCAGATCTGCAGTCTCAGCAGATTCATGACAAAAGCTGGAAGCCTCATTTTGAGCTCTTCATCATCCTGCACAGCTCACAATTAAAACAAAGATGTCAGTTGATGAGTCTGAGCTTTTGTTCTATTTCTCGCCCTGTGCCTCACAGGGCAGAACAGAAAAGAAATTCCAACCCACCACATTGAGCTTTCCAGTGCCTGAAAAACATTCATAGGGAAATAGGTAAGAGGCAGAGATTGACAAGACAGGAAGAACGTCAAATTTTAAAGGTCTTAAAACTTTAAAAATCTTGAAAGAGTTAGCTTGATTCTCCTCTCACACCAGCAAAAAGTAGAAGTGTCTTCCAGTTATTTACACAAAATTAATGTCTAGATTAGATCCAAAGTGTTCATAAATTCCATCAGTGTTTCACAGAGATGTAGTGAGATCCTCCGTCCACTGAATTCAATGGAGCTTTATCACTTCATGCATTTTGAAAAAGTGTTCCATTAAATCTTTAAAGAAAGCCCACTCAGTGTGTGTAGGCTTTATATTCTTGTCTCCATTTGCCATTGAAAGTGGTATTTCAGCATTACGCCTCGAATGCATTCTGGCAAAGTGATACTGTAGTTATGCAAGTATACGTAACACCACACTGCTATACAAATACCATGAAAGGCAGTTTACTATGCAGTGGAAGTACTCTGTAAATATTCAAGACTAGAAGAAATCTTTCCTTCAAAAATCAAAAAGTTCAAATGTGCACATTAAAGGGAACCTCTGAATCATGCAGAATTTCCGTTTGCCTACCAATATTGATTTGCATTGGTTTTAGCTCCATTTTATGCCAGTCATTGAGTAATCACATATATTCTGTATTGTGCTAACATATAATCCAAGATGAGGTAAATCCATTTGGATTTACCGTGTCTATTGTGTTTACAGGGATGGGATCAATTGTTTGGATGAAGTTTAATTTGGATGACCTCATGTCCTGTTTGACGTGCCACATTTTCATTCTCAAACCACAGGAGAACAGTTTAGACTTAAAAACTGCAAGTTTGACTATTTTAGTGTAGTATTGTTGTACTACAGCACTAAGTTGATATCAGAGATTTGAACTACTGTAAAAAAAGGGGGGGGGGGGGGGGGGGGTGAGGGGAGGAAGAGAGTGGAGCACATCTCCTCTGAAGGGAGGCTGAGAAAGTTGGGGTTGTTCAGCCTGGAGAAGAGAAGGCTCCGGGAGCCAGAAGCGGGCCTACAAGCGAGATAAAGAGGGACTCTTTATCAGGGAGTATAGTTGATAGGACAAGGGGTAACAGCTTTAAACTATAATTTAGATATAAGGAAGAAATTATTTAGTCTGAAGGCGGTGAGGCACTGCAACAGTCTGCCCAGAGAAGTTGTGGTTGCCCCATTCCTCAAAGTGTTCAAGGCCAGGTTGGATGGGGCTTTGAGCAACCTCCATTTGAACGCAAATGGAGTTTTCTTTAACAATGTGGCATGTTGCTGCTGTCCTAGGACAGTTTGTTCTTTCTAAGATTCTATATTGATTCTAAAAAGTATTAGACAAAAGCATTTAGGGAATTATCGAGATCCCATAAGCAAATAAACTCCTGTTGAGCTTGGTCTTTGGGCTATGGTTCAGACCTTAAAAGAGGTCCTTAGTTAATTGTACTTCAAAAATAAGTAATCTTATTTCCTGATAGGAATTTATTGACGAAATATACCACAACACTGAGTTAGAGAGATTGAAGGAGAGCTGAACATCAAATTCCTAGTATGATTTGGGCATCAAAATCTCTTAGGTAAATCCTAAGCTTTTAGGATGACATCTTTTGCTCTTGCAGTCATATTTGATTTGGGCTTCACTTGTGGTGTTTATAATGTCTGTTTTGAGAGGCTTTTGGAGACTAAAGTATTCTCATGTTGTGGCCAGCTGCAAGAGCTCATAAGGAAGAGATTTCAAACACGAGCAGAAAGGTGGGCATGATTTTAGGCTGCTGAATTATGAAGCCAACTTCCTCATTTGTGGGAGGCAGGGAGACAGGGTGAAAGTTGCCTTTAAATTTGCTGTGAGATTAGGAAGTGTCTGAGTTGTTGGCTTCCTCACTTGTATTGTAAACTGTTATAAACACACAAACGAGAGGCAGTTTAAAAAAAAAAAAAAAAAAAAAGAAACACCTACGCTTTTGTGATAATTCTACCGTTGCTTTATTCTTCCAGAGACAATTCGCTGCCTTTGCCTTCGTGCTCCCGCAGGAAACAATCAGGTCTGTTTACTTCGGCATCAGCACCCAGGCAACTGGGGAAAGATGAAACCGACCCCGGCATTGCCCCGCCCGTTCTCCCGCCCAGTTTCGCTGTTCCCTGCTGAAGTTGCATGCCGTCCTCCCACAGTGCAATCGCGGAGCGGTGCGGTCCCGGGCAGCGTCTCCGCTCCCGGTCTCGCTGTCTCCGTGCCCTGCTGCTGCGTGGCGCTTCCGAGGCGCCCCCCGTCGGGCGCGGCGCGGGCTCCGTGCGGCTTCGCCTCCGCAGCATGGGCACAGGGGCCGGCCGGAGCGGGGGTCGGGCTTAAAGCATCGGGAAGCTCCTGCGCGCTCCCCGAGGGGAGGAACGGGCGGCGGCGGGAGAGGTGTTGGCCGGGTGTCCGCGACTAGCGGATCCGGAGCCGCCACCACCATCACCACCATCACCACCCAGGCCTTTCTGGCCGCTCCACGGAGCCTGCGGGCCATGAACGCGATGCCGGGCGAGACCGAGGATCCGACCAGCCGCGAAGCGCAGACGGTGTTTGAGGCCCTGGGGCGCTACGAGGACACGCTGCGGGGCGCTGTTCGGGAGATCCATGCGGACATCCAGGTGTTCAAGCAAGGGGTGGGACGGCAGGTGGAGGAGGTGCTGCGCCTTGCTAGCCCCCTGGCACACACTGTCTCAGAGCTGCAGCAGGAGAACCGGCGCCTGCGGGTGCAGCTGGAGCGCCTGGCTCGACAGGTGGAGGCCCTCGGCCAGTCGGCGGGACTGCTGCAGGACTGGCCAGACGGGGCAGAGGAGAGCCCCCCGCCTGCGGGACCTGGCTCTCCGGGGCCGCCTTTGGCCAGTGGCAGGTTCTCCAGCCATGCGAAGCTAGCGGTGGCTGGCCGGAGCCAAGTAAGTGCTTACCGTGGCTGGGGAGGCGGTGGAGGGAGTGCCAAGAGGGTGCATGAGCACTTGGGCACGAGTGGATGCTTCACGGGTGTCATTGAGCTCTGCACTGGCATGGGGGAGTGTTTAGTGACATGGGGCGCTTCTTGTGCAGTGTAGCGTAGATGAGTTTTTGGGAGGGACTCTGAGGAATGGCCTTTTCTGTGACTCCATCTGGAGATGTTTCTGATTATGGCACTTCAAGTCCAGAGATCTTGGTTAGGGTGGCAGCAGCCTCTTGGTTCACTACAGTTAGATGTAAAAAGAGAAGTTGGAGGCGGTCTCAGCTATCAATATATACAGATACATGGAAATATCTGTGTGTGCTTTCTGGAGTAGATGCAGGGGGGTCAGTGTGCCAGCAATACTGTTTGCCAATTGGCAAGCACTTAAAGGAGAACAGCTCGGCAGCCTATAGCAGGCAGTAACACGCTTCCCTAAGATAGTGACTTTACATCCTGAGGTGTGACAGTTTTTCTGTGCAAGTGCAATGAGCATTGCTTTGGCTCATTCCAGTGAGCTAGGCCCCATGCAAGCTGTCATGGTATCCATGACCTAAACAAGCACAAACATTCTCCCCACTGGTAAAACTGTTTCTGTGCCATGGTGGAGCATTATAACTTGGTGCATGAAAATCCTAGTTAGTAGGAAGCTCATCTGACAGTGAGTTTTCTGTAGTACTTTTCATATATGCCTGGTTCTGTGGAAGGAGCTGTGAGAGTTCCTGTACAATTCTGGACACCAGGAGGTTACTTCCAGACAGTACGTGGGGAATGTCACATAAAACTATGTGGTATTAGAGTTGGCTTTTAGAGCTGACAGCCTATTTTGTATGATGTTGATTAAGCCATGTCTTGTCTGAGGTCTTTGAGATTTGTATTATGAAAAGATGATACATGGGTTATCCAAGCTTTGGGGATGGAAAATAAAAGCTTGGAAATAAACTTCATTCAAAGTTAATTTGATGGGACTAGAAAAAGATTCTCTATAACATTCCAGAACTTTTCCTCCTCACTGTCTCAAGGCTGAGGGCACAGGGCTTCCCACAGCTGGCCAAATGAGAAGACAAAGCTGCTGCATGATGCGCTGTTCCAATGCCATTGTAGCAGCTGCTGCATTTTCCTGAAAATGACAAAGATTAACAGCATGCACATCTTTCAGATCCATTCCTTTTTGCTCCGTGGAGCCATCCACACTTATTTGTATTGCAAAGAGCAGAAGTAAGCTCAGTACCAGGGAAGGGACAAGAAGATGTGGTCCCTCACGCATCTCACTTGCTTCATCACCACTCTATTTGTAGCGTATACTCCACACTCTGTGGTAAGCCTTGTGTCAAGGTTATGGCAATATCCAGCTGTAGGTATAAGTCTGGGTTAAAGCACAGAATGTACTTTTGTTCTGGTTGAAATTTTCCCACTTAGCTTTGAGGGTTCAGGGAAGATCACTTTAGTACTGGTAGTTCTCCAGTATCTTCCCAGCAATTTTCCCCACTGGGCAACTTCCAGAGTTAGCACAACTGATCGAGAAGAAATCTCAGGACTGAGAACCACGGGAGATGCAGCTGGAGCCACACACACCAAATGTATGCAGTGAAAGCAAATTTTTTGTTGTTAAGGTTGTGACGTAGCTGTGCTCAAATGGATAAAGCACAAGCCTTAGTCACTGTGCAGGTCACCTAGGTTATTTGTCATGAAGAAAATGTTCTCTCAGTTGCTTGCAATTTCTGCTTATGCAACCGAAGCACTAGAAGCAGAGTACCATACACGACACTGTGTATGTTTTCAGGTAAACGAGTGGCTGTGATAAAAATTAATAAGACTTCTAGCCATAGTAAATGCTTCTACAAGGAGAAACAAATAATAGAGTTCTGGAAATAATAGCAAATAAATGTGTTCTTTTGCTCCTTAAAAGATTTATTGGTTACATTTCTTTTCACTGTGTGGTTGACACAGCATTTATCCCAGTAAAGGGCTGGGTTGTGTTTCCTTCAATGTTTCTGGCAAAATACTCTGGACAAGAATTAGGAGTTTCTTTCTCAGATTGCAGATTGAATACTGCAGGTTCTGAGCATCTTTAGTGTCCGAACTATTGTTTTCTAATGTTGCCAGATTACTTTTCAAGGTAATTTCATTGAGGAAAAAAAAATAAAATAGTGAGGCTAAGGAGTTCCAAGCATAGTTCAGACAAAAGTAAAGACACAAATCTCCTTTTAAGTATAATTTTTGGGCCGCCTCGGCTATGCTGTCCTTGAAATCTGGTATACACTAGTGCAAGAGCTCACTTAGATGGAGCCAGCTGCCTTTGGTTCAGAGTATTTCAGTATAGCAAGTGACCTGTTCTTTCAGGATGACTTTTTGTTTACCCTATTTCCTGCATAAGACACAATGCTGTTAATGTTGCAAAGGATTTGTTGTCTGTTAAACCCAGAACTCTCCAGCTATTGGGAAAGGCAGCTTTGAGGAGGGGGGTGGTTGTTGTTCTTTGTTGTTTGCACATTTGTTTTTCATATGAACAGCAAAAAGGACTGCTTTGGAGATTTTCTCTTTCTTTTTTGTCTTTTTTTCTTTGTCTTTTTTTTCCTTTTTTTTTTCTTCCTTTGTTTCATTTTTTTTTCCTTTCTGTTTTTTCTCTCTGGGGTAGTTTCTGTATCACTGACTTCTGCAGAGCAGGATGATTTGGAAAGTAATTGGAATTCATTAGTTTTGGTATCAGGTGGTAATTTGGATCAAAGGTTGTCACATTCACAGCCTTATTTGCTGCATTCTTTCAAAATATTTCACACGAAAAATTGCTCACTTTTCTTTTTCTATCTTGGGATAGTGGTGAATTTGAAGTTTTAATAATGAAAGAAGAATAACTTTTTCTATTTTTAAGACTGTAGTAAATCTGCTTGTTGAGTTGCTACAGCTGGATCCTGAAGTGTCTAATTATTTCTTGATTTACCCTTCAACTAGGTAAATCTTTTTGAAAACTCTGAATTTTATAAACTGAATAAAGGCGATACCTTTTATCTCTGTAAAACAAAAAGACAGGGTCTGTTTGGAAATAAGCTCTGTGGAATGTTCCAAGATCTTTAGATTATGGCTGCCAAATGGAAAGGGAGTGTCCAAATCCAGCACTTACAGCAGCCAGTATATGGAACTTACATGCCAGAATCCCTGGGACTGGTTTAAAATTATGATATGTTAAAAAAAAAAAAAAAAAAAAAAAGCTTCAAGTGATGCTGTCCAGGCAGAAGATGGGGGCTGGGGAGAGGGCCCTGCTTTTTTTCTATTTGTGGTCACTTCTTCCAAAAGAATCATATAATTCCATGTTTTTTATGTTGTTTTCTTTGGACGAAAGATTTGAGAATAGCATTTTGGCTATTCAATGCAAGACCTGTGTTTGAACTCAATGGTCTTTGTAGGTCACATCCAATTGAACTATGCTATTTTGATCCTTTTTTTTTCAATCTTCAAGGAACCTTGATTGCAAAGTCTTAGTTTCCATGATTTGTGTAGGTATAGTATTATGAGTAGATATGTATACTTATAGTATATATGAGCTCTGTTCTAGCTGCACAGTTATCTGTGACACAAGAGTCTCCTCCCTTAGCCTTATGTCTTTTTTCTTGGTGTGACCTCTGAAGAAGCCATAAACAGGCAGCATGGGGTTCATTTTTGTCAGCTCTAAAGTCTGGGGAAGTTTGGGTTAAAGCAGTTATCTTGGACTCATCCTTTAATTATGATCATGTCTGTCACATAAACAGTTTTCATCGGTTCCTTCTGCTGAGGTTCAGGGATTCAAGTGCCTGACAGGACACATTTTTGGCAACTTTCCTCATAGCCGAGGAAGGTATCATTTAATTCAAAAAGTTGTTGAGAGTCGAAACTGGGAAATCTGGATGTTTTCTCCTCAAAAATACATTGTGTCTAGATTGTCCTTGACTTAATTTGTCACCTTTTTTCTTCTCCTTTTTCTTCCACAGAATGCAAGGTGCTGAATAAGCTGCAGAGTAAATAAATTAAATTAAAAATAAAAATGCAGCTCTGTGTTATGCCAAAGGTAGGGGTAGTTTTTAAAAGTTACAGAAAGGAGAAAGACAAGCTTAGGTGTTGTCTGCCTTTGTCTTTTAATCAATGTGGGAAGCAGATTAACACATCACTGTGGTAAGGATTTGTGGTTTTTATGACCAATCACAGTGCCTTTTGGTGGTATTCTGTGTAATAAGGGTACACCACAACACCTTCCTGTTCCTCTGTCCCCCTTTATTTTCATGCTGCAGCCTCTCTTGGGCAGAAGCTCATCACTGTCTGCCTGCTGTCAATATGTGCATTGTCTCATGCAAAGATACACTGATTGGGGTGAGCTTCTAGGTGCTCTGTAACCTAGGTGCCACTGGATTGTATTTCACCTATAAACAAAGCTGAGTCAGAGCTGCAATGAAATGCTTTTCAAAAAATGATCATTATATGATGCTGTTCCGATGGCTGTGCCTGAGGCTAGTAATACAGCAGAAGAAAAGTTACGCAGGAGAGTGTCCCAGATAGTCAAAGATCTGAGATTGAGGCAAGCTGGCTTTAAATTGATACAAGCACATTATTTTCTACAAGAAGATTCTTCTTCCACTGACATAAGATCAACCCCAGAGGAATTAATTAACAAAACTGAGGAGGTGGTAGCACAGGGTAAGGGACCTAGCTTCTCTGATGTGTCTACAGGGTCAAATGTCTTGTGCTTTGTTCCAGATGGAGGCAGTTGAGGTCTGTCAGGAGCCTTGTAGATGCCTTTGTGTGGCTCTGAGCTAGTGAATACGCCTTGGTGAGAGGCAGGTATCAGCGCTTAGGATTCAGATTTATGTTTTGTTTAATGCAGTAACTGCAGTGTGCTGCAATGTTAGGACATTCACGTCATCCTACGTATGACTGCTTGTTTTCCACCACAATCTAATAACATAGCTGAGTGGAAACAGGATCTGATAGACAACGAGTGGGTTTTGATAACAAAGAGGGTTATTTTTTCATGTGATTCCTGAACTGACATGAGTTGCTCTGTGGTTTATAAGATCTGATACAAGGAAGGTAATGGAAAATGGAGGCCAGGAATAGGAGAAAGAAAAGGTCTCCACATTTTAGCAGTAGCGCTCAGGAAATGAAACACAGGCTTGGCATTGCATGACTGTGATTATACAGTTTACCTGTGCTGAAGCCAACATACAGCTGGTCAAGTTTGTGCAGAGGTGCCCTCAGCTTCCATAGCTAGCCTACAGTGTAGACCTTCTTTCTTGTGATCTGGATTCCCAAGTCCTGCCTGGGAAAAACAAGCGTGCATGTGTGTGTCAGCTGTTAGCCGCTGTGGTTAACCACAGCCAGTCTTTCTGGTATTTTGATGCTATACTTTAATTTGTCTCTCTAACCGGGCTAGACTCTGATAGCTGTTTTTGCAAAGGTATCACATAGAATATGTTTGGAAAATGAATTTTAAACTGAGATTCTGGAGCCATAGCTTCACTATGGAGGATTTATCCCTTGTTGAGGAATTTGTTGCTGTTTGTTGTCCTTTGCAAACGCTAGGGTCCCTATCCTACCTGCCGGTGATTATTAGAAAGGAAGAATTCTCACATTTTTTGCTGAGTGAATCTCACATAGTGGCAGGAGCATTATCACTTCCACAGTGATTGTGATTGAACATGATTTCCTTTGTGAACAAGCAGGACTAAAAATATTACAAGGGTGGTCTGTTTTGATGCTGTTAGAAGAGTTTCTATTTAGTGTTGACAGACTGTTGGAGGGACATCTGTAGAGAACTGGCCAGCTATGGAGAAAGCAACAGAGAAATGCATAGCTGGATTAGGAACACTTGGGAAGATCTAAACAAGTATTACCTATAGGTGTATCTCTCTAGTGACCTGATGGTACTCAACAGTTAGTCAGCACAGGAGTTACTCCATGAAACATGACACGGGCGATACAAACAAGCAGATTAAGTGGTCCAGAAATCACCTGACATTACATACCATGAAGCCATCTCAATTCATACTGATGTGTAACAAGAGGGAGGTATCTCTCACACAATTAGATAAAGAGCACTTTTAGATCCAATGATTTTTATCATGACTCCTGATAATTGGTGCATTTGTGAAAAATTCTGGAAGACTGAGAAATCTTGTTTGAGAGAGATGAATCTCATTTGTCTGTCATTCTTCTATGATTTGACCTTGTTTCAGGCAAAGGCTTGAAGATGTGACAGGTGTGTACCTCAGTGGCTCAGAGAGGAGATAATATATGTATTTTTTTTCTAATCTCAGGATCTGATGCCTACTTTTTCTGAATGTGCAGGGTGTTCTTTAGTGGATTACTGTGTTTTCCCATTTTACAGTGACTTCCAGCTATGGATCTCCAAGGTCTTAACAGCATTGCAGTGAAGGAGGAATTTCCACAGCCCTAAAACTAGAGAAAGTATTATCATCCTACATAATACAGAGGCTACTGAGCTACAAAGAGATTAGTTCTAAGAGCAAGCCTAACATTCTAACTTTTTCACCAATTTTGTAGGAAAAAAATTTGGGGGGAGGGGGAATTTGACTCTGCTGCATGTATACACTGATTCTGGGCAGCTACATTTTTTTTAGTTGAGGTTATTAGATGTCTGCAAGGTGATTTCTTCTTTATTTAGTTCCTGAACTCTGAAATCATATACCTTCTTATTGATTATTTTAAAACAAACACAACAACAAGAACAAACACGGATGCACAAAACCATAAAGAATTTGGCTGATTTCCCTGGACATTAGGTGGAAAAAGTTTTGCTTTTTCCTGAAGAAAGTATCGTTAACAGAAGTTGCAAATTATAAGTCAGATATAAATGTCTGGGATAATACTTTCTGTAATGCTTTTCACATATGTTTTCAGAATATGTCAACTGTCTATTTTATTGCAGGAAACAGAATATTAAATGTTAAATCATTTGATGTAGTCTGAAATACATAAAGGTCTTTTTAACCTGACATTGAGAGAAGTTATGAACTTGAATCCACAGTGTATTTCAGTAGTGAAACACTGATTATCTCATGAATTATCTCAGTAACTTGCTTAAAAGAGCATAAAACATTACACAGGTAAAAATACTAGAACTGGACATAGTACAATTGAGTAAAATAAAGTTAGAAATATGAAGCCTAACCTTGTACTATGAGTTGTACAGAAGGATGACTACTCTTATTTTCTTTAGTAGTCTGAAACAATGTGAGCTCTATAGCTAAATAGTTTCTCAATGAAGTCCAATTAGAGAGAAATGGACTCTTCATCTGGTAAAGTTGTGCAAGGTTCACTTGTCTTTCCAGGACTAGGTGTACACTACTCTTGCATCTATTTTCACACACCCATGCATACCGTGAGCCTTTCTTACAGATATCCTGAACACCCTCAGCAAATGGTACCTCCAATACAACCAGGCTAAATTTATGTATATGTATGTACCTATACAGATTAAACATGTATTACTTCACACGTGTAGGTAGTTCTGTTAGCTGAATCTGCATATTCATGCAGTTCAGGTAATGCATGATGTAGGGTAGTTCTATGAAAAATACGATAGAAATATCTCAACACAAGCAGTGGTATTGGCAGTATAAAAAATGCTTTAGCTGCCATGTAGGGCTGGTTTTGCTGTTAAAAAGACTGCAACCAATTTGGAAGGAATTACCCAGTAAGTCTTTTATATGTCCTCTTGTTGTCCTGCAAAATCCTCATCTTTTTGAAGTCTTTTGCCATTCAATGAAGTTGAGATTATTAGCCCTAGACAAATGTAATTTATGATTATTTTGGACTTAATGCATGTCCTTGTGAATTTAGTGGAAGTCCTGCTAAATGCAATCAAGGCTTTGTTTCTGATTATATGATTAAATGAATACCAGCTACATCTACCTATCTTTTATCACACATAGATGGAAATTTTTGTCCACTAAAGCATTATTTCCATGCCCTCTTAATAGGGTGGATGGCCTTGCTTTTAACATCAGCATCTCAGACTTTCTGATACAATGAAAGGGAGAGAACAGGAAGGTTTGACCTGGACTTACAAATTCTGCATTCCCCTTGTTTTTCCACAATTGGACAGGGTCTTCTGTTTATCACCATTACAGTGATGGTAGGTGAATAGCTTACGTAGCTTTATCTAAGAAAAGTGGATAAAGTGCCCTCCTAGGTGCATGGAGCCTGTTGGGACAAGTATGTGAGTATTGATGCATGACCTGCATTGCCGGTGGTCAGTTTTCAACTTCTGGCCTTCAGAGCTAAGGAATTTCTCCCATCCTGTATTTTGGTCAGTAGTATGGGAAAGACCTGTTTTTGGCTGGGGTTTCTGGGTTTTCCTCTGACTTTTGATACTGTTTGAAATTTAGTTGTCTGTTTCCTCTGACAGAGTGTGGACCTGGATGACCACCACAAACCTGAGTTTAGAAGAGTTTTTAGTTCTTCTATCATTGAAAATGGACACCAGTCTTCATCAGGTAGGAAAAGAGCAAGAAATTAAATAGCACTACTTGTAAAATACCTCATCATGGCAGTCATGGAGCAGCTTTTGGTTTTTGGAACAATTAGAATCTGTTATGGTTTCAGCATGGATTTTTGTCCTGTGGCACTGTTTATTTCCTACTTAGGAAAATTAGGAAATAATTATTAGGAATAAAATATTAGGAAGTAATTAACTGGCACTTCATAAAACCAAGAAAAGAACAAGAATGCTGACTCCTAATCCACAGCAAAAGACAGTGCAGGAGTTGCACAGAGCAAGAGGAGGTTACTAAACGTAGGTGCTAGTGAATTAATGATTTGAAGAAGCTGTTCTTGCTGAGTGTCATGTAGTGCTGTAAATGGTATAATGTCTCAGAGGGAGAACGGGGTAGAATAATACCAATGACTTGTAAAATTAAGTTGTTGCATAGAAATGGGTTTGTAACTTTGTTACAGATCTGTAAATAAATTGACTTCCTCTCTGCTTTTCTTTTATTCACCAGGTCAGCCAAACGTCTCCCGTGAACTGACCGCTTTTCGCATGTCAGATTCTTCCCCTGAGGCCCACGCCCCTGCAGTCACATTACAGATGCCTCACCTTCCTGTTACTGCAGTAACCAGAATATCAGGAGAAACCATATGTTCAACAGGAGCAGCTAATGCATCTACTGGCATTCTTGGACAGAGCAAGAGCAAAAATGAGATGGTATTGAAAACTTCCAGCCAGTCAGGTAAGAGAGGAAAAAAAAGTTTGTTTTCTGAAAATGTGACTCATTTTATTACTTCAGGGAACAAAATGGTTGTCTTGTGACCTACAGGTAGTTATCAAACCTCACTACTATGGCTTCTTGTTCCATGGTGAGACACTCCGATTTGAAATACTGTGGGTCCTAGTTGGAGGTTTAGGTTACAATTTCACATCTTCAGAGAATTTTTGAAGCCTAATATAATTGGGTTCACAATGCAGCCTATATTCTAGCACAGTTACTGAAGAAGTATCTTGAGAAGTTAGGCAGATATTGGCTAACAGGCTCAGAAGTCATGTAGAGGGAGGAATGACCAACAGCAAACTGAAACACATAAGAAAGTCAGAGAGATTGCAGAATCTTATTCTTATATCTAAATTAAATTAAAAAAAATAAAGAAAAGAAATCCTGTATTATTTGATTCATATTCAAGTCATTTGTCTTTGAGCTGTATTTCAGGTGTGTTTAGTCACAGTGATGCTTATTGATCAGACTATTTATATTGGTCAAAAATTACAGAGAGAGATTAGAGAGAGATCAGATGGAATTGCCAGTAAGAGATAGGGATTATTTGCAGGTTCGTCTTTCAAATTTTGTCTTATTCAAGCTAAGAATGTAACATAGCCTTCCTTTGTATTTTTTTTTTCCTGTTTCAGTGAAGGCATGGAATTCAAGTACATTGAGAACATTGGCTTCATCTGCCACTGGAGGTGAGCGTTCCTACCAGTGTGTCATGCAATGCATATTGAGAGAGATTCCATGGGGAATTCAGATCTAAGCATCTAGCTCCATTTAGTAGGTACATAGTAATGCTAAAAGTTGCTAACAAAACTCCATGCAGATTTAATTTCCCAGGTTCAAAGCAGGGGGTACATATCCATATTTGCACAGCGGTGTGCATGTGTGCTGTTAGGCAACCTATGAAGTGGAAACAGTTGGTACCAAAAACAGTGAGTCAGAACAAATAGCTTGAGTGGTGAACATTTCAGCTGACCAAGTGAATGAACTGCAGCTGTGACTGAATGCAAGCTTAATTGCAGCTGGAAAGTGGTGGGCGCACCTTACAGGTGTTGAAGCAAATTAATCTGAGCAGAACAGTAAGTAGTCACTTTCACATATAAATGTCTCAGAGGAGACATATGGGTCCCTTAAGGGTTTTTGATTCAAATGGCAATAGAAGACTTGAGCTCTCTCTGAAATTACTTCTGACAATAATGCCAAGCTGTTACTGTCTATACAATGTACTGGCATTTCAGTTATCTCAAGTATCAGCTGAGCAGAGATGTAGCTTGTCCACAATAGTGATGATATTCCTCCTTAGCTTAACATCTGTGGGATTTGTACAGGTATCTAGCAGTTTTTTTGTAGTTCTAGATTCACATCTGTATGCTGGCATTTACCAGGGCATGTTTTAAATAAAAAATCTAGTTGATCTGGGTCCCTTCTATAGGCAGTGGGGAGAGTTCAGCACTCTGAAGAGGGTGATTTGGACAGTGTTTAGGTTGGATTGCTTCTAAGGTGCTGGTTCTTCTTTGTCTATAGAAAGAGCCTTCCACAAATGAGTTCCTGCCTTGTGCAACAAGTTTTGGCTTTAGTGTGTTGAAACTGGACAAATCACTCCATTATTTCACAGTTACAGAGCCTAGCCAGAATCTAGTACTGGGATTTAGGGTGGAAAGCACAGAAGAAGCAACACCGAGGTTGAAAAGAGGAAGATGCAAACTTAGTTTTAAGCCACCTTTGCAATCTTTGGAGTCTATTCTACCTCATAAATTAAAACAATTCCTGGTGGAAATTAGGTCATTTAAATTGTGTTCTGTGTGTGGTAAACTTCTTGGGACTCCTTTTATATGCCAGAATGACTGTTGCAAGCTGAGCTGTAGCAAACTTTCCTCCCTTCACTGAAATATCACTGGCAGCATGTCCTCAGAGGTCTGCACAAGGGAGTGGAAGAGTACAGCCTTCCCAACAGAGTTTTTTTGAAGGCATTTTCTCACAGCCTTTCCTGACCTGTTTATACAATTCTGCTGCGGTGCAACAGTTTTTGCAGAGGGTTGGAATTCCTGGGGAAAATCCTTTCCTAGCTTGCTAGCTTTAAAATGGAATCTAGGCAGAGGCCTGCAGCTTCTTACTGTGGTGAGTGAAAATCAGTAGTACTTGGCTGTCCATCAGGATAAGGTTTGAAAACATATGAGGAAAGGAGAGAAGAGTTTCAACCCTGTTGCATCTTTTTTTTTCTTATTTTTATACAGAGAATACCACATCTATCGCTAAGCCTGTCTCAACTGCAAGCTGTGGGATGAGCAGTGGAACCAAAGCTGGTGAAAGGCAGGCATTCTTCTTGATATTTTGTTAGGACGTTATGTTCAGTATAATCTCAATTAATGGGTAGGTATTCTGCTGACTTAGTGAACAGGTGAGTCCCAGGTGCTGTAATCTCAACCTGTTAAAGGTTGTGAGTGTTCCTGAGGGGCTACATGGAACACAGATGGAAAGGGGTAAAAAACAAACAAGCTTTCTAGAGGAGTTTAAAGCAGACTTAATTGTGGATTTTGCATTTTTATGCTGTCAGTGAAACTCTTAGTGCCAGTGGTAGATTTTTTTTTATGGGGAGCAAGTTGTCAGGCCTTTTGGAAGCACTTCTAAAAATTATCAGGAATTTGTGCCTTGGGCTTATTTTTGGAAACCAACATGTGAGTGCCATCATACAACCATAGTTTTTCTAGGCTAGAGTTTGGTTTGAAGATAAATGCCTTGCAGGATAATGAAGACTTTCATTTGTCCTTCAAAAAACTGGCTACTACGCATTTTTGATCAAGTCAGAGTCACAGTTGCTTAGCGTAGTATTACATGGTATCACACTTAGTACTGGCAAATCCAGGCATCCTCAGCATGCAAAATATCCATTCAAGAAAAGTGGGAGGGCTGCCAATTTAAGTCTCTTAAGTTAGGCTTGCAACTGCCTTGAAAATCATCTCAAATTTGGCATTATATTTCTTCTGAGTTGGTTCCAATGTTATCACTTCAGTATTTGAGTTGTGATATACTGAGCACCCTGCAGAACTTGCTGTCAGGAGATCTGACCTCCAGCTGTACCAGAAATTAATGTGTGACACTGATTTTATTGCTCTTTACCTCAATTGCTCCATCTCAGTAGAGGGAAACACTTTCAAATGCCATGTGTGGTTTACTTCCTTAATGTTGATGAAATGATTTACAGCTCAAAGACAAAGTAGAGTATAATCCTGTGTCTTGATCAAATTAGCAGCTTGCAATCAGTAAAGCAACAGTGACATGAGCTAAGGATTCTGTGTACTATAATTAAAAATTTCAAAAGTACTTCCTGAATTACTATTCAAGTTCTATTTTTGAAACGTGAATTGAATCCTCCAGGAACCCAGGAGCTGAAGTTAAAGGGATTTAGTGCTCCTAGGTGGTTTCCTTAAAAGTGTTTAATTGTTGTTCTATTTAGTGCTATAAAGCCTTTGCGACTTGGCCAGCTATGTCTCATAAGTGTTTCCTTAGAAACTTCTGTACTCAAGTGCTATTGTCTATTAATAAAGCTATAACCTTTACTTAAATAGTTTTTGACTTATTCATGTCCCCTTGAAATTGCTGTTCTGGAAGGTTTAGAGTAGGCAAAAGCTGGGCCTCTATGCTGACTCCTATCACTGCAGAGATAAACTTTATTTCTTTAACCACATACTTTTCATGTAATTTTTCTGCAGGGCAGCTGACAGTTACTGTGATGTGACATCCAAGCCTAACTCCTCGTCTTCTACTACACATCACCAAGTTCAAAGGAGGCGAGAACTGGTGCGATCTCAAACGCTCCCACGGACTATGGGAACACAGTCCCGGAAAGCGCTTTTTGAGAAATTTGAACAAGACAGTGCAAAGTATGTCACCCCCTTGTGTCACCAGAAGGGGTTTGTGTATGGGAACCTAATTTGTTAATTACTGCCAGCAAAGGACAGCTGGGTGGGAGAACCCTCAGTGTAAGATTTTTGAGCTTGAGGACTGTAAGGTCATGTACAGATTTGCTGCCATCACAGGGTGAGCTATGGAAATTCACAGCTATAGATTCCTATGTCTTTGGAGTTATTCAGCTGAAGTAGCAGATAACTTTTATCAGGAGAAAGTGTTGTGAAAGCTGCCTCCTCCATTATTATAAGAGACCAGGAAAATAGTGACTTTCTCTTGTCATTCATTAAGGGCCAAAAACATGGACTGTTCTTTATGCATCATGGTAAGGTCATGATTTAGATAGAAGAGAGCATGGAATCCTAGCTTTAGTGAAATGAAAATGAGTTTTTCTTGCAGGACCAGCAAGTTGAAGTTTTAGCCATGTATTTCTCAAATATCACCTGGACAGGGACTGATGTGGGCAAGGTTGCATAGATGTTGATGACAAGTAGGTTTAAGTTTTTCTAGGGTGTAATTTAATCTAGTTTCTGTTAATTTTCCAGGGGAAAAGGAGAATCCAGAGCTAAACTGAAGAGATCGCAGAGTTTTGGGGTTGCCAGCGCTAGCAGCATTAAACAAATTTTGTTAGACTGGTGTCGCTCAAAAACCATAGGATACAAGGTGAAGATATGTTAGCACTTCAGCTCTCTTTTTCTGGAGAACTTGCTAAAAAAGCACTCAGAAAGTAAACGTAAAACATGCTATACAATGAGATAACTTTGTCCTGTCCAAGGTCATGATGTTCTGTATGGGTAACATGTTGCATGGGCAAAGCTGCAGGAAATCTATTGCATGAATGAGGTTCTGTATGTCTATCGCAACAATACATTAGTGTTTGTCTGAAAGCCTACATTTTTGTGCTTATGGATATGGACTTCAGGGTACATTCAACACATTTTATTTTCATAGTAGCAGACTTTGATATCTCATCCTCATTACACAGAATAAGTTCTAAATAGCCTTTTACCAGTACATGGAGACCATCTCCCTTTTGCTACACAGAAGACCAAAATATTATTTCCTAGTTTTTTAGAGAAGCACATTTGTATTAAATAGTTGAGGTTGAATCACAGAATGTTAGTGAGCTAGTTTCTGTGAGGTAACATCAGTGTAGCTAAGAAAATTAATTTGTTGAGATTTTAGTAATTTTTACCTGGCCGTAAGACACAATTCCCAAGTAATTTCAAGGAGAAAATTTTCTAGTGTTCTGGGTTGTATTTTGTTTGTTTATAATATATGTTTTTCATCTGTTTTGTAAAATGTACATTATTATTGCTGAACTCTTAATTACAGTACACCTAAGCAGAGCTACTAAACATGACTGTTAGTTGCTTAACAGAAAAGTTGGGGCTTGAATTTTGTACAATGGGAAAGCAGCATAAGGCAAGAGACCAGTATGTTTCATTTTACTCTGGCAGTTGAAAGTGACAATAAGCGTTAGTTCTAAGAATCAGGTTTTGTGGTAGGCCTAATTCTTTCTGTATTTCTATTCATCTGTGTAATAAGCATTGAATTAGGCCTTATTGAGTAGCAAAGCAAGGAAGTCTTTATCCAGTATTGCTCACAGCCACAAAATGAACCATTCTGCAGTTATAAATTCCTCATAGAAACGAGCAGTGTCTTCAGTTTCCACAGATAGTGAGGTGGTACATTAGACCTGCTCCAGAGTTCACTGAGGCTTACAAGATTCTTCACAGTATTTTCAGTGGGCTTTGGATCAGGGACCTATTGGGTGTGTTTGCTTTGTGTCTGGACATTTCAGGCAAGAGGCTTTATTGCTGATCATGCCACTTATTCTCAGAAAACAAATAATATTATGGAAATACAAAGAGGGGAAGAAAAAACATAAAGCCTGTGCTATGTTACTTTGATTAATGGGAGATCTGGACAGAAAACTGCAGTGAGCAAAAGCAGCTGTTCTTCCAAGTTTCCTGGTGCTGCATTAACACGTGCATTTTTTCATCATGACAGCATATTGATCTCCAGAACTTCTCCTCAAGCTGGAATGATGGGATGGCATTCTGTGCGCTTGTGCATTCTTTCTTCCCTGAAGCTTTTGATTATAATAAGCTTGACCCAGCTAATCGCAAGCAGAACTTTGAGCTGGCTTTCACCATGGCTGAGTGAGTATCACATTAGATCTCTGTTAAGTGCTTCCAGTTCAAATCTTATCAATTAGGCAGCAGTGAAGAGTTTCATCGTTCTTCTTGTAGATCCTATACCTTACATGTGTCATGCCAGAAAAGATGATAAAGCTCTGCACAGAGAATGCATAGAACAGGAGACACAGCAGTCTAAAATCAGATGTGGTTTTACCAGGCACAGAATAATTCACTGGAGTCTCACATTCAGGTCTTTCACAGTCTTCGGGTAGTACTTGAATTCTGCTTTCTCACCTCTGAGATCCTAGCAGCAACTGCTAGAATATGGGACTGCTACTAGAAGCAGCCACTATTAGCTGCAGGTTTCACCCATGGTATTTTACCACAGAACCACATCTGTGTACACGAGATGATATTGCTAACAAGATTGCTACAGGAAAATTTCAAAAGTGCTTTGAGAACATCCACCACAAAGTCATTAGTTTTATATGATCTATGGAGTGTTTTTTTTGTTGTTGTTGGATTTCATTGTTTCCTGATGTTTTAAGACCGTACTGCAGTTTTGTCCTTAGATCAGCAGGACACAGTACTGTCTTTTTTAGTAGGTCACAGAAGTGTATGTGCAGTCAGTAGATTTCAGTTGTGCTTGATGTAGATGTAGAAATTCACAACTTCCACCTGTCACACTTCAAGGTTCCTCATTTACTGCCTGCTGCACATGCTTGCCTTCCAAGATTCCATTTGATAGTGTGCATTGGTGAGAACCACATTCCAATAGGATGCTGCATTTAAAGCAAAATAGCCTTGGCAAGTGTATTTTACAGAGGTTGTTTTTACTAAATTTTACTGACAGATTGGGCATTTACATGACCTGAGGAATAATATCTGGAAAGTTCATAAGCCTTACAAATTTGCATTTACTAGAACTTAAGCAAAACATAACCCAGAGTGCATTTAGCAAAACCCATTAGAAATACTAACAAAATAAACAGAACAGATTACATGACAAAAGTAATTGTTAACAATGTACTGTGTGACAGCATGGTGGCAAGCAGGACTTGCATGCTTTTACCTTGAACAATCCATGTTTAGGTATCTGAATGGCTTCCATAAAAAGGAAGTTGCAACCTGCAGGCAAGAATGCATTTAGATGAACCCTGTTGGTTTTATATTGGGAAAGTATGTAGTTTAAAAAACAAAACCAACAAAACTGGGATGGATTCTGTCATTAGATTGTCACTATTTCACTGATTCCATTGAATTTATGCTGAAATACTGTTTGACAGTTCAGATCTGCTTTGTCTTCATATTTGATAGCCAATGAATGTTTATACTTGGATTGCAACGTGTAGGATGTTGAACTGAAGTAGCCATCAAGCCATATCATGGTTACTAGTCAATGAAAAATAACTTGTGTGTCCACGTTCCTTTAGCTGACCCTGCACTAAGCAGAAAATGGACTAGATGACCTCCTGAGGTCCATTCCAGTCTTAATTCTTTGATCCTTGGTAGATCTTAGTGAGTTCAGCATTTCTCAGAGTGACAGCTGGTATTTTAAAGATTTGTTCAACAATATCATTTATTCCATTACCACACAGGAATCTTTGTTACAGCAAACAAGGCATCAGGCATATTCTCCAACTTTTTTGCAAATTGATTTTTTTTTCTTCAGCAGGGTAAACACAGAATGAAGTCAAGAAACAAAAACCTGAAGGAAGCATCAGTCAAGAGGCTGGACTTGAACAGCCTTTCAGTTTATACTTACTCATGATGTTTATATACTTGGTAATAAGCAAAGTGGAAGTGAATATTGCAGCTTTTCTACTGGGTCCACTAACGGTGTTTACTGTCACTATAGTGGTTTTATGTTGGATAACAGGCTGGATATGGCTCTGGGCAGCCTGCTCTAGTGGTTGGCAACCCTGCCCAGAGCAAGGGGGTTGAAACTAGATGATCTGTGAGTCCTTTTCAACCCAGGCCATTCTATGATTGATTCTGTGATTTATGTTGCCAGTGAGTACTTTGTATGATTTCTGTGTCCTTGCATCTAATTGAGCAGTTTTCTCAAACTGATTTTTCTATTAGCTTTTCTGTGGCCAAGAAATGCATAATGAGATGCTGAACAGCAGCTGTGCTTTGGTTTCTTTACAGTGATATTTATTTAGGTCTGCAAAATGTTACTAACAGGGAGGAAATGTGTTCAAATATCAACCTTTGACTGCAGAGTTACCATATATGCTTATTATTGTCTGTGTTGAGGGTTTTAATATCACAACAGCTAAACTTATGCACGGACTGGCATTAATAAATTCTACGGGTGCAGAGTTAGAGGTTTGCATCTGTGGTAGGTGGTGCTCAGACTCAGGTCAGCTCAGTGAATGTATTTGAATAGTGTATACTCATAGTACAAACTCATGCAAATTACTCCTCAGCCTGCAGTAGAGGTTCTGCATCTCTTTTATATAGCACTTGGTGAATTATTTTTATATTACTTTTCATAAGTAGTATCAAAATGGTATTTGATGGACTATTGATTGGACACTAAGGAACACTCTCCTGGCCACATGAAATGGAGACTTTCTGTTAAAGGCAGCATTGATTTGACTGTGTTCTGTAGCTGCAAGGAGGGGTAGATTAGTCACTCAACTTCCCACAGATGTTTCTTCTGCTGCAGACCGATGTGAAATTAAGGTAGTATTTCCTCACCCCCTACCTTAAAGTAAGTAACAAGAAAAAGTAGATGTTTTAATGGAGAAGAGCAGGGACTGCAGTACTAGTGAAATCCCTATGCCCTGTCTCTTTATTGTTCCATAATATATTCAGTGCCGAAAGGTCTGAGACGAATTATAAAGTGTCTCCTTTCCAGTGTTTATAAAAGATTACTTTCAAGTATGAGAAGCCAATTTATAAAGAATCAGGGAGAGGCAGTCAAGTACTATACTCTCTTTTTTTTTTTTTTTTAAAAAAAAAAAAAAGCTTGAACTTAAGCTTTATAAAGCCTATCATTCTAGAAGTGTAAGCTTCACATTTTTAATTTTAAACATCACTTTAAACTTTAATTTTAAACTTTTTAAATTTATTTTTTTAACATCTTATTGTGTGAAGGCAAATGTTTGGTGATCTTAAGCATTTCAGTGTAATTATGCAGTTTAATGCTCTTAATAGCAGCAGCATAAATATGGTGTTTAAATTGTAAGAGTTTAGTAGCAGCTACTGTAAACCAGCCTTAGCATTGACATAAACTAAGCTTGAGAAATCAGTCTCATAATTTATGCTTGGACAGAAGAGGGAAAAAAACTACTACTCTGCTACTATTACTCTCAGTGTCTGGTGGTTATTGCTTTTTGGTTTTAATCATTTTTTTTTCTTCAAGTAATGAAGGAATCTTAATAGATTTGTCTTTATCAATCCAAAAAAAAAATTTAGTTCATAGGGCACAAGGAATCCAACTTCTATGAACAGTCTGTAGGAACTGGATGGTCTACTTGTAGCTGCTTGGCCAATCCCATATGCCTGATACCTGATTTGAATTTGAGGCATGTTAATATATCCAAACTCTCTAGACAAAACCGTGGCCCTTGAAGGAGGGGCGAGCAAGTAGATTAATTTATGGAATTTAATTTTGTGGGAGGATTCAGAGAATCATAAAATGGCTTGGGTTGGAAGGGACCTTAAAGATCATCTGGTTCCAACCCCCCCCCCGCCCCAGGCAGGGATGCCACCAACTAAATCAGGTTGCCCACAGCTCCGTCCAACCTGGCCTTGAGCACTTCCAGGGATGGGGCATCCACAACTGTGGGCAACCTGTTCCAGTGTCTTACCACTCTCACAGTAAAGAATTTCTTCCTAATATCTAATCTAAGTCTCCCCTCTTTTATTATAAAAACTATTCCCCTTGTTCTATTACTATCTGCCCATGTAAAAAGCCGCTCTCTGTCTTTTTTATAAGCCTCCTTTAAATACTGAAAAGCCACAATAAGGTCATCCCAGAGCCTTCTCTTCTTTAGGCTGAACAACCCTGGGTCTCTCAGTCTTCATAGGAGAGGTGCTCCAACCCTCTGATCATCTTCATGGCACACCTTAGGTGCATGTGGGTGCTGAGGGTGCTCTCAATCCCACTGTCACTGATAAAGAAGCTAAACATCACTGATCCCAAGATGGACCTCTGAGGGACACACTCATCACTAGCCTCAACCTGGACACAGAGCAGTTGACCACAACTCTGGCTGTGGCCATCCAGCCAATTCCCAATCCACTAAGTAGTTCACCCTTCAAATAAGTCTCTTTCCAGTTTAGCTAATTTAATCTTGTGGGGCTGTCAAAGGCCTTACAGAAGTCCAGGTATGTGATATCGGTTGGTCTTCCCTTGTCAACTGATGTAGCCACTGCATCATAGAAGACCACCAGTTTGGTGAGGCATGATTTGCCCTTGGTGAGGCTGTTCATCTTGGTTCACCTGTATCTGTATGCATTTCTGTAAAATGGACAGAGCTAATACTCTCCATCACACTGTCCTTTTTGATGCCATATGCCAGGCAATCAAAGATGATGGTTGTTAGTCATCATGAGTGGGAACTTCTCAGCTATTCTGTCATTTCATTTAATAGTAAAAAGAAATACTAGCTTTTTGACCCAGTATCAACATAATTATTATTTGCTGTTTTGTTTGACTTGTAGTAAGAATATTTCATGTGGTGTGCTGCTGGGTTCAAATTGCCAAATACTGATTGGATGGGGGGGATACAGTGGCTTCCTACAGTGGCTGATACAACTTCAAACACTGGTACCACCACACTGAAGCTGTGGGTTTCTTTCAGAGTTTTATTTATTTATTTAGTAAAGCAAAAACTTACAGAACTACATTTGCCATTTACCATCACAGGAAAAAAATGTCAGCTTTCCCTATTCAAGTCCCTGGCAAATGAATCAATTTGAGAATTGCAGTTCATATGCACACATAAATTTCCTTAAATGTCAGTGAACTGAAAATGATTCTACAGCACTTTCACAACCCTTTCAGGCGGTCAATCTCTACAGTAAAACTATCTACAACTCCCAAAGGAAAGTTGATGTGTTTTTCTATCTCAGTTTCTGTGTAACAGTAATAAGTATATGGGAGAACTCAAGCATACATACAATAAGAAACATTGGTTAAGAAATTACTTCTCCATAGCTGTGATGGCCTTTGAACTGTTCTCTTCTGTTGCCAGAAGGGTTCGTCTCACAATTATTGCTGTTAACCTTTATGAGCTTGGCAGATCAAATATTTACTGCTTTCATGATTTTTTTCATCCTAGACCTCAGCAGATCTTTTCCTTTCCATCGTTCCAGTCTCGGTTAGGCTTCTGCTCTCCAACATGATGATCCCTTGAGACTGTTGTCCAAGTCACTCACACCTTGAGAAAAGTGGAGGTGGGGGAAAGCAAACAAAAAGAACCCAAAGCCACTTTGGCCTTTAATTAGTAGATTTCATCTCTTCTCGTGTTCCCCCATTCTTTTGGAGTTTCCAGTGTAATAAGCAGAAAACCCCATGACTTACAAACTCATATCACACTATTTACTGAGACTCAAGCAGAGGAATGAGAGATTTCACTATATGCCACAGAGATGGGATCAGATTCCAGTATAGGGAAAAAGAGGGAAAGAGTAAGTATGTTCCATGTTAACAAAAATAACAGTTGTCAACAGTTCCTGAGCCTGACCATTTCACTGTTGCTGATAAATCTCAGGATTTCATATATACCACATTGATGCTCAAGTTCAAGCAGCAAAGGAATATTGTAAGTAGCTACAGGCTTAAGCTTTAACTCTTGATTTGCTGGATCTCTTTTATTATTACTACAGGAAAATGGCTCACTGCGATCGTCTGATAGAAGTGGATGACATGATGGTGATGGGCCACAAGCCAGATCCCATGTGTGTCTTCACCTATGTCCAATCTCTATACAATCATCTACGACGCTTTGAATAAAAGCATCACCACCTCTCCAGCCAGAAGGGTCAAGTACAGTATGCTAATGGAAAGACTGATATTTTGCAAATAGAACACTATTTCTTGCTTTTTACTGTCCCTCTGCTTGCATTCACGTGTGTTGCTGAATGAAGTGTTGCTGAGCAGCGCCTCAAAGTGTTGATCATATCAGCAAGTCAGTAACACAAGAAGTGTGTTTGAAAATGACAAAGAATGTGGGAAAAGATAAATGCTGTGATTTTGGTGCTAATAGTAGGTTGGATTTGTAATATTCTTGTAAAGATTACAGGAAGCTAAATTTTTGCTCCTGTCTCTGTTAGACTCACAGAATGGTTTGGGTTGGAAGCAACCTTAAAGATCATCTGGTTCCAATGCCCCTGCCATGGGCCGAGGCACTTTTCGCTAGACCAGATTGCCCAAAGCCCCATCCAACCTGGCCCTGAATACTTCCAGGGATGGGGCATCCACAGCTTTTCTACCGTGAACTACTTTATTAGCTGTTTGGAGGGGGGGGGGGGAGCATGCAAAGGTAAAGTCTAAACTAACTGCTAAAGACTTGGATCACCAAGTTCTGTTTGAAGTGTGCCTAGCCTTTGACACTGTGGAAACAACTTTGAAAGCATGTTTTAAATACGTATCTTAATACATATCTGAAAGATACTTGGTTAAAATAACAGGATCCCAGGTACTGCTAATATAACTTTAATGCAAGTGAGCAGGGGTCAGGCAGGCCTGTTACACATTTGTAATGTCTGCCATTGTTTTCAGTTTTTACTTTGTTTAGAATGACCATAGTTCTGAGGAATGTGTGCACCTGTTGCACACTCCAACATATGCACTATAAGGATGAACACACCATACTTGTGTTTTGCAGAAGTGATCAAATTAGGCACAATGAGAAATCTGTCTACAATTGGTATGTGAAATGCATAGTTCCATTCACACAGCAGAATACTTCTCATTAGCAGAATACTTCTTATTGACTAGCAGAGCCAAGTTCAAGCGTGGCTACAACATGAGGAGCAATACTGGTTTTATACATTGAATTAGTTCACAGTCCCAGGTCATGGGTGATTTTCCTGTGTGATGTAAGTCTTAACAACGCAGGTAAGTGCTTGGCCAATTTAGGCCTAGTAGAAAATAATTATGTAAAGGAAATTTTAGACAGCAAAAGTACTGCCAATTCACTAGGGGGAAATTACATCCTTGCTACAGTTTAGCTTGTTCACAGCTACCCAAAAGCCATTTGCAGTTTCCAAATCTCCTCTCACTTTAGAGAGGTGATGGTGAGGATTACTTGGTACTTGCCAGCAAAATGATTGCAGGGGAGGGGAAGACTGTAGGCTGATTTTTTAACTGCTGATGTATGTAAAGAGATGATAGAGATGATGTTATCACAGAATTTTAGAAAAGTCTGTCTGTGTGCATTAAAAGAATGCCTGATCTAAACTGTATAACCTGGACTATTGGATTGTATAATTAAATTGAAATTAAAGTATGTAATATATGCCCCCTGCTGGATTTTTTTAGTATTTTTAGTTTAAAAAAAGACTGTGTATACAACAGTTTGTTTAGCATGAGTGATAAAAAGATAATATATTGTCAGCATACTGTATTTTACGCAGATTTTTTTTTCACATTCTGTGCTGCATCAAAAATTCAATACTATCCAAGGTGGTTTATTGGCAACTTTATGCTATTTTTAAAGGCTAGATCAATTTGTTCTATGCAGGATTTTTAAAATAATAGCAGAACCCTCACCTGGTGTTTAAAATTATTTTTCCACGTAGCTGGTAAAACTTTCAAACTCCAAACACTTTCAGGATTTAAGCACATTTTGTCCTTATTAGTCAATGGTTTTGTTTACACGGTATTTCTGTTCTCAAAAAGCAATGGAAGTGAAGCTCCATTTTATTGTACTAGCTGTATATGAATTTAAAAACGAAGACAAAAAGATAACTCTTATAGACCCCCACATATCTCTTTAAAATCTAATCAGTGCAAGCATTTTTGTAGCCCGTAGCTCACTGCTACTATCTGCTTGATTTTCAGTTTTGAAAGAAAATTTCCAGAGATGATTTTCAAATAGCCAAATCTAGACCTATCATGAAGGTGCTGCATCTGCTACAAATAGACATTATTAACATTAAAAAGGTAGCCCATGCAGGCCCAAGGAGTCTGTTCCAAACTGTCATTGTCAGAGATTTTAGACTTGTTTAGGGTTTACAGCATCTCTTCCTCTAAACTTCCCCTAAAAAGCCTGGCTCCTAATAAGGTCTTGTAGACATACATGAAACAAGAAGTGCTATTAAGTCAGGATTCATAACAGGAGAAAAAGTGACAGGAGAGGAGAAGACATTCTATGAACTTAAAAAAAAAAAATTCATTTTATTGAGTAAAGTAATAAGAAAGTTCTGATTAGCCTACGCTTTCTGGACTGGGTGGAGAAATAGATAGCATTCCCAGTTCTGGAAACTGGGATTTCCCAATTCTTCCTTACCAACATTCATTTTGTTTTTGATACCATCCAGTGGAAGCTTATCACAAATGCTGACTGTGCAAACAGCAGCACCAAATGCAGCAGTGATAATTGAGATCATCACCTGATGAATGGAAGTAGGGAGGAGAATGGGAGAAGGCCCTAAGAAAGAGGACTCCACAACCATGAACATTTTAGGGAAAAAAAGCATTCAGTTTGAGAACTTTTGCTTACTTACAGTTGGCTAGTGTTACCATGGTGCTAGCCAGTGATGAAACATCTATAATGGTTTTTATATCGAGAAACTGAGCTCTCACAGAGATAAAGATTTAGCTGTTTTTTTAAGAGTAAAGTTAAGCTGCCTTTCCAACTGGCTGATTTTGTCTAGATACCAATTGCAAAAGAAGTCATCACAAAAAGATCAAATAGCCTTGCTTGAACTATATGGACAGTAACTATCAGCCCATTATATTCCACATAAACCTGTAAAGTACTGCATAATTTAAAATTTGATGATCATCACTTAAGATATGTTTCAAAAAGAGGAAAAATCAGACTGTTTCCTGTAATTCACAAGAACAAAGTGCCTTCTTATATCCACAGATACATGTGGTATAAAGACAGTAATATGTAACACATTTGATTTCTCCTAAAAAAAAATAAAATAAAATAAAAATTCATAGGTCAGAATTATGAATTTTGGTATATGAGTACACCTTGTTCCTGAACAATCTCAAAGACACTACTAGGGAAAAAAAAAATCAACAACTTGACCTTTGGATTTAAAGAGGACCGATCACGAATGAATATCACCTGAAGGAATTTAAGGCAAAGATGTAAGTATAAAATTGTGTGATTTTGACCATGAGTTTCTGTTTCACAGCATTTAGTATGAAATCACAGAGATCTCATTACTCACTATAGTAACACCAGTTGTACTTGTGGAAAACTTCAGGGGTACCTCACAGCTATGGAATATTGCACACTGGAGTAAATTTGTACACATCTTGCCTAGTTTCTTGAGGTCAAATTAAAAGAAAGCCAATAGAGCAGTACTTCAGAGTACAATAAAGCCAGGCACACTTGTTTAGCTAAAATGTAGTAGTTGCCAAAGTGTGGGTAAAATCGAAGAACCTGCATCAAGTATTTATTCTGCTTATTTTTATAGTTTTAATTGAATAGCCAATAACAACAGCATCTGCAGCTCCAACCTCCAGACTGCAAATGAAAATTCTTTTGCTATATTTCCAGTTTAATCTCTTGGGTAATTATTGAGGAACTCAGGCGTTGCATTTCAAATCTACAAAGAAGTTAGTAATTCCATTCCTCAAGAGCATGACAGGCATATGGAATGACAGTATTACATGCCTGACAAATTTGGATGCCTTCTATGATGAGGTTACAGCATTGGTGGATGGGGGAAGAGCAACTGACATCATCTACCTGGTCTTGTGCAAAACATTTGACACTATCCCCCATGATATCCTCGTCTCTAAATTAGAAATGCAGAGATTTGATGGATGGATCATTTGGTGAGTAAGGAACTGTCTGGATGGTCACGCTCAGAGAGTTGCGGTCAACAGCTCAATGTCTAAGTGGAGGTCAGTAAGAAGTGCTGTTCCTGAGGGGTCAGTATTGGGACTGGTGCTGATAACATCTTTGTTGGTAACATGGACAGTGCGATTGTGTGAACTCTCAGCAAATTTGCCAGTGACACCAAGCTGTGTGGCACAGTCGACAGGCTGGAGGGAAGGGATGCCATCCAGAGGGACCTAGACAGTCTGAAAGGTGGGCCTTTGCAAACCTCATGAAGTTCAGCAAGGCCAAATGCAAGGTCCTGCATCTGGAACAGGGCAATCCTAAGCACAAATAGAGGCTGGGCTCAGAATGGATTGAGAGCAGCCCTGATAAGGAGGACCTGTGGGCGTTCATTGATGAGAAACTCAACATGAGCTGGCAATGTGCGCTTGCAGCCCAGAAAGCCAACTGTATTTTGGGCTGCATCTAAAGAAGCGTGGCCAGCAGGTTGAAGGAGTTGATTCTGCTCCTCTACTCTGCTCTTGTGAGACCCCACCCGGAGTACTGTGTACAGCTCCAGGCCCCCCAGCACATGAAGGACATGGATGTATTACAAAAAGTCCAGAGAAAGGCCACAAAGACAATTAAAGGGCTGGAGCACCGCTCCTATGAAGAAAGACTGAGAGCTGGTGGTGTTCAGCCTGGGGAAGAGAAGGCTCCAGCTGTAGCATCTAACGTAATGCTCTTTTGTCTCCTCCATTTCTTCTCTTTGAATCCAAACCTCTTTTGTCTCAGGTAAGGAAAAAAACATAGTTGCCAAGAAAATTGAGTGGTTAAAGAATACTGCTAAATATTTTATGATGGACATTTTGGTTAGGTATTTAACACTCCTTTCATTTGTTTTCAGAATCTTTATGTTTTTCTTCAATAAATCCTTCAAAAATTAATGTCCAAAGCTGTGACAGCCATTTCAATTAATAGACAAAGAATTTTTTTATTTTTATTTTTTTCTGGCAAAGGGTGAAAGGAAGCACTTGGTGCAATAGCAGTAGCTGGCCAGGTTGCTGGAGGCAGCGTTGCTCTTCCCATAGCAACTGCTCTGTTTACCTGCCCTGACGTTCTGAGCCCCCTCCTGCAGGATTTGTCTCACGTTTAAAAACGAACTGTGCTGCTGCCGTGAAGATTGAGGCTGGAAGAAAGCTGTGAACAAACCCCCCAGTGAAGGGGAAGCGAGGACGTGTTGCTTAGCCAGGATTTGTCCTTGGGAACAAACAATCCAGGCCAGGAGCAGTTTCAGCCAAGAGGTGTGTGAGGGAGAAAGGTCTGTGTATGTGGGGGGGTGGTGATGTCTAACGATACCTGTGCTAGTGTGTGGGCAAAACCGTGTGTTGGTGAGTGTATGCTGTCCCTGTGGAGAGGAGTTATCTCAGAAGCACTGGATAAACTTAGTGCAAGAATAGGAAAATTGATATTCAGTCAAATTGCTGTGACTTTGCATATATTTTGGGCATCTGTTTAACCCTACGTTAAAAGAGTCCCAAGTAGGCTTTGTTCTGTGTTCTCCTCTAGCACTCCCTAGGCTTTTCCGTTTCCTCTTTTATCCGGTTTTCAAATTTTTAAGATTCCTTTTCCACATTTTTTTAGTGTCTGTTAGTTTTGTTTGTTTGTGTGTTTGTTTTGCAGTCTAGAGTTTATGCATCTCTCCAGCCATGTTCTTAAAGCATGTTTACTTCTCCAACCTGTGGGACATTATTTAACTTTTATACTACTTCACTTTTTTTCACCTTTCTCTGATCATCTCTCTTTCCTCCTAGTTTCCATTCCCAAATTCTCGGTTCTTCATTCTCCCACACCAAAACCCCTCCTCCACATCTTAGCAAACTCCTGGGGAACCTTGAGCAAGAAATTATTTCTTTTCATATCTGTGTCATTTTGCAGATAAAAGGGGCAAGATGTTTTTTCTACCCTCCTGGACCATATTCATCCCTTCTTGCTTCTGCAGCCAAATATAATGCTACTCCTGATTTCAGGTTCCACATTCCAAGAACTGACCTGTGTTATATTCAGAACCTTTCTAAAAAAAATGTCCAGACTGTTTCAAGCACCACCGAAGTTTCATCCTTCCGAATGGCATGTCGCAAACAAGATGCAGTGTGCCAGTACAGAGTCTCAGAAATCCAGTTCAGAGCGCATGATAGCTGAAAGTCAAAGGCTGGTGGATGAAATAGAAAAGACAACTCAGAAAACCCAAAGTGATGTCAACAAGAAAATAGGTAATCCCATGTGTGCTCTGCAAGTATCATCTGAGCTATATGTTTAGGCTGGACTTAAAAAATTTGGTGATTTTGGGTAGGAATATATATCAATGCCATGTTATCTGATCTCATGGAAAAATGCAGAACATTATCAAAATATTTCTAGGTGGATTCTTTATTTTATATGAAATAAATTACCTGTCTAAAATGTGCAGAAAGCTATTTCACCCCAACCTTCTGACACAGTGTTGTAAAACTGCGTCCACACATCAGCCTCCAGCACTAAATTCACTCTGCAGTGGACTGAGTCTATTTCTAGCTGTATCTCAAATCTGACTCACAATGCTCTAGCATTTGAGAGCAGCTTGTATTAATAGATGTTTGTAACTTCCATTCTGCAGAACAGAGACTGGAAGAAATAAAATTCTGGAGGCAAGAATTAGATAACAAACTTGAACAAATTATTCATGAGACAGAGGTACTGTTGACTTTCAAGACCAGGCTGGAGAAAGCCTTGGAGAGTTGCAAAGAGCCACTTGTCATTGCCCAGAAGTGTCTCCTGAACAGGTGAGATTAAGAAGAAAAGTGTTCAGGGAGTGAGAAAAAAAAAATCTAGGTAATAAACTTTTAACAAACAATTTAAAAGGCTGAAAACTGAGGGGCTGCTTCTGCAGCAGTGTCACGGTCTGATTTATGTGTTTTAACACTGGGGACCCAATCCCTTAAAGGACGGATTACCAGTGTGGCAAAGAAAGACTTCGGATATGCTAGGCTTTCACCACTGTCTGTTATCAGTAGGCATTTGAACAATGTGACTGATGGCTTTTCCTCTTTTTTATTTAGGCAGAGTCGAGTTGGGATTGACTTGGTGCATGATGAAGTGGAACAGGAACTGGTCAAAGAAGTTGAAGTCTTACAGGGGGTAATTGCTTTGCTTGAACGTACATTGGAACAGACCATTGAGCAAATCAGGTACAGTGGCAAAGAGCATAACTTAACTTTGGTTATCTGAAAAGTAGGACAGACATAACCCTGAGAAGTTGAAGCATCAGGCTGAACACAGAACCAAGGTTACTTTCAGTTCTAAACAGTTAAAGAAGTTCAGTTTTAATCATGAGAAGTTCTGTTAGAACTGAAAGCACTTCGACACGATCCCTGGTCTTCCCAGGATCCAGTCCTGTGCATTTAATTCCAGTGGAGATTATATCATCAGTTCCCATGGAGTTAGCACCATGCTCTAGATTTTGTGACTTTACAACTAAGAGTTCATGCATGAAGAATTCAGTAACAGCATTTGCATTGACTAATGTACCTCTTCTCACATGCATTTTAGAGAGACTTCTGCTTAGGCTTTGGCTTAGAGTCTGGTTGTTTCTTCTTCTAGACTAAACCGTTCTGCAAAATACAACCTGGAAAAGGATCTGAAGGATAAATTCACAGCTTCGAAGATTGACAGTTACTGTGCTAGCCTGACAAACAACACTCCTGATGTCAGATATGCTGATAATGCAGTGAAAATAGAAGGAAAGTAAGTGGTTATTTAGCTCAACAAATGTATGCTAACTATAAAGCTAGTTTGAACCATTCCAGAAATAGCAAGATTAAAGTAGAATCTTAGAATCATTAAGGTTGGAAAAGACCTTCAAGATCATCTGGTCCAACCATCACCCTACTACTAATGTCACCCAATAAGCTGTTGCTAAGCACCAGGTCCGAGTTTTCCTTAAACACGCCCAGGGACGGTGACACCACCACTTCCCTGGGCAACCCATTTCAATGCCTGACTGCTCTTTCTGAGAATAAATGTCTCATAATTTCTAACCTAAACCTACCCTCTTGCAACTTGAGGCCGTTCCCTCTTGTCCTGTTACTAGTTGTCTGTGAGAAGAGGATGACCCCCGTCTCCCCACACCTTCCTTTCAGGTAGTTGTAGAAAGCAATGAGGTCTCCCCTGACCCTCATCTTCTCCAGACTAAACAACCCCAGTTCCCTGCTCAGCCGCTCCTCATAGGACTTGTGTTCCAGGCCCTTCACCAGCTTTGTAGCCCTTCTCTGGCTATGTTCCAGGACCTTGATGTCCTTCTTGTACTGAGGGGCCCAAAGCTGAACACAGTACTCAAGGTCTGGCCTCACCAGAGCTGAGTACAGGGGAACGATCACCTCCCTGGTCCCGCTGGCTACATTATTCTTGATACAAGCCAGGAAGCTGTTGGCCTTCTTGGCCACCTGGGCACACTGGCAGCTCATGCTCAGGTGAGCATCAATCAGCACCCCCAGATCCTTTTCTTCTGCATGACTTTCGAGCCACTCTCCCCCAGGCCTGTAGCACTGCAGGAGGTTGTTGTAACTATATGTAAGTAACTATGTGTAAGACAGACTAGCTGTTCATCATCAGTCTGTTGTATATTTTTTATACTTCTGTCCATCGCTTTAGTATCTGTATAATATGTCAGTGAAATAAGCCACAATAATCATGTTTCTAGAGAACTGCAGTACACTAAAAGTTTTTGAGGCTCACAGTTACTTAGAGCAAATTTCATACATTGCTTAAAACCAGAATAGATTAACTGATATAATTTCCTTTCCTCTCCCAGGATGTCCTAGTTGGTAGAATGCTGGACTGGGATACATGAGGTGTGGGGTTAATTTATAATTCAGTTGTTAACCTGTCAAATGTGCCCCTTTTGTGTGAATAAAGTGTGAATGGTTTAGATGGAGAAACAGCTACTACAGAACAGGTTGGTGAGAAGAAACAGGCTATGTAGTGTGTGAAACAGTCTCCTGAGGAAGCTATTGACTCTGCAAGAACTGACACACTTGGAACACCAAGACACTGCTGGTTCTTGCCACTAGTACACTAGGGGACATCAACAACGGGTTGTGTAACTCAGACCACACCCAGAACAGTGTTTGATGCTGTATGCAGATGATGATTACAGGTTTATAAACACACCCAATGAAACAAATAAACCTCTGAGAAACTTTCCAAATACCTGCCTACAAGCCACTGGGGCACAAGTATGACCCTCCACTTCTGGTGATACACCTGGGGGTTGGCTTTGCAACTGTTGCTACAATTCACTATTTGTATATGTAGAACTGAACTGTGCAAGAGAGTAAGTGAAGGTGTTATGTGAATAGTTACTTATTATTAATAGTAACATATTAATTATTTTAGTAAAAAAAGTTTCATTAACAAAAGGTGTTCCAAGAAACTTTGCTTATTATCTGTGTCTACCCCTTCCTCCCTTATCAGGAAAGGAAAGTAAAAACAAAGTTGTTCTGTGATTTTTATCAAAATGGTTTCCATACTACCCCTATTTCTTTCTGAAATGTTTGTGACAGAGCGGGTCTTTGTGTCTGTTTAATTCCCAGAAAAACTAGCACTCGCTGGGGCATGCAGTTAATAGTACTGCTTTATAGTACTGATTTGTTCTTTTTAGCACTCATATTTGGTTTTATGGAGCAATTACAGATTTACAAAATCACAGATGGCCTGATGCTACCAGTCAATGACCTTTTATTTTGAATCTCTTTCAGTTTTATTAGCCCTGAAGACTGGACAGATTTCTCAAACATAAATGTTGAAAAGGCTGACAAACAGAGAAACAACTCACTGTCACTAAGGGCAATGATTGACAGCATCCTTTCCCAGACAGCGAATGACATGCACAAGCAATATGAGATGGTCAATGTTGCTTTTAGAAACAGGGTGAAGGAAGTCAGAGATGCCAAGCACAAGCTAGAAATACTCCTTGCATCAGTAAGTAATAGCAGTCTGTCAGTGAAAAGATGGAAACAATGGGCATGGGTTATCAGCCAGTTTACTGAATCTGGTGTCTTGAGCTACAGCAGTTAAGAATATTATCTTCATAATACTGGCAAGAACTGCCACATTCCCCCACCACCATCTGTACCCCACCTCCACCCTCTACCCCCATAACAGTCAGCTTAGATTTTATTGAACCAGCTCTATGTGCACTGATACAGAGGTAAATTGTTTCTGAAAGCATTCACTCAATGGAAATGCTTAGGCTTCAGTGAAGTTGGGATTTCCCTTGTGATTTTCAGATACATGGTATTCCTACAGGGTTTTCACAATTGTGATGTAAAAGCCTAATAGCTTATTAAATCAGGGCCAATGTGCTTGAAGTTCAATGCATAAAAACTGGGCTTGATGTTAAGAGTTAATTGCTGAACTTAAATTGTTAGTCTCACTTAGAATGATGTTACCTCCTCTCCAGTGAAGGAACCATAATCCTGGGCAACCTGTAAAAATACTCTAGTAAAATAAAACCTTAACATAATGAGTGTTACTGTGATTACTATTACCATAGCTATTAAAGATCTTGATGATTTCGCTCATTGTAAGAGGCAGTGTGCAGCAGTTCCTTCTGTTGGATTTGTTAAGGTGATGGATGAGACTGCCTTACAGGAGAAGAACATTGCAGCCTTAAAGAAAGCAATTGCTGATAAAGAAGGACCTGTTAAAGTGGCTCAAACTCGCTTGGAAGCAAGAAACCATCGTCCCAATGTGGAATTATGTTATGACACAGTACAATACAAGTTGATTAGTGAAGTTCAAGAGATTACAAACAATATTCAAAGGCAAGTAGAAATGATGAAAGAGTGGGAAAACTGTGGTATATATTAATGGGTTAAGTTAAATAGTCACAGTAACATTGGGTCCCAGCTATCCTCCCTGAAAGGTTGGGAACTGCTTTTTTCCTTAAGGGTAGCACATTTTAGGGTAAGCTGTCTGGATAGAGTCTCACTGTGAATCCTCATTCTTTTTTTTGTTTGTTTGTTTGTTTTGTTTGTTTGTTTGTTTGTTTGTTTTTGTTTTCCACTTTGAATTCTTATCCCATATGACAAAATGTCCATGTATTCTCAAATAATGTGTGTCTATATTTTCCCTGTTAGGTTAAAGGATACATTGGCACAGGCTGAGACAGAGCTGAAAGGTCTGAGCCGACGACAGCTTTCCTTGGAGGAGGAGATCCAAGTCAAGGCAAATACATTATACATTGATGAAGTGCTCTGCATGCAGATGAGAGAGTCTGTTTGCATTAACAACTTTTGAAGACATCTTCCTGAACAACTCCTGGTGAGATTTTTATTGACAAACTTCCAGATTTACTGGTTTGTCTTAATGCTGTCTTCTCGTTCTAGATGTATAAGGTAATTAAAACAGACCTAGTATTTACAGCTACTTCTATGCTTTAGAATGCCTGATGAAACCTCCCACTTGGCAATAAAGTTCCAGAATAAGAAGGAATGTGCCTTCCATGTTATCTATCTCAGGTGCAACTGATGATATCTTTTGCCACTGAGAGGTACAGAAGTTGTGGAAGTTTAAGCAGGTGTTTCCACATAAGGCACTTGCTGGAAAGATGGGCAAATGGGAGGGGTGGGTGGAAGCACCGTGGGTAGGACTAGCCAAGGTATGTTTTTTTTCTTAACACCTGCTGTTAAGAACTGGACAGTGTGTATATTAAACTCAACAGGAACTAGGGACTGGTGATACATTGGATGGGGTATCTGATGGCAACTGAGTCAAGATCAAGCCAAGGTTAATTTGGGGTTAATCATTTCCTCACCCCATATCTCTGTTTCCCTATTTGTAAAACGGAAACAATCAGAGGGGCTTCAATTGTGAGGTGTTTGAAACTCTACAGTGGGAATTTCTGAGTAAAGTGGAGGGGCTAGATTTTACTGGAGGTGCATGTAAAGGCTGGGAAAGGGCTTCCTCTGGTTCTGGTGAGGGAAAACAAAGAAATTACAAGGATAAATGATGCAGGAGACACATTTGGTTCTCAAATCCAACATTTTAATCCAGGGGATAGTAAAATTGTTCCTTGCCTGTCTCTTGCTGTAATGGTATTTCCCTTTTGGAGGCAGCACTGGCAAGATTTAAATCCCTTACTAATGCCATCTAAAGGATTCATTCATCATTTGTAGATGTAACTGGTGTTTTTCTGGGTCTCCCTGTGGCTTATACCATTGGGTAGGTGATGACAAAATAATTAAGCTCTGAGTCAATCAGGTTTTTGAACTTCTTGTAAATATCGCGCAACAGTCGATCCTCCTCACTGGTCTCATGTCCGGCTGTGTAAATCCTGACCTGTGTGCATGAATGGCAGTCATGTGTCTCAGATACATGGAGCAGTCTCAACCCATTAAAGTTCATGGCAACAGGAAGCCTCTACAACTATTGAGGGATCTAGAGAAGCCATTTTTTTTGAGCTAAATCCTAAAGTTTTTACTGGTTTTACTCCAAATTGTGTGAAGACTCATCTCCTGCCAAAGAATTTTTTGGGAAGAGGAAGGGTACTTTTCCCCCAGGACTAATGCATATGTGGGATCTGCACATCTCTAACGGAATCTACTAAATTCAGAGCCCAGCAGGCAAAGCAGCATGACAGCATGGCTTACACGAGCTACATTTGTGGTCTAGCCCCAGTTCAACACAGCATCCCTATTCAGTGAGATGTGTTTACATATTTTTGCAGTTTACTAGGAGCCAACCCACACTCTTCAGTTTAAGCATAGATCCAAATACCAGGCCTGCGAGGTAACTAAGAATCCCTAGCTTGACCTGGGAGGTGACAGAGGGAACCCCCAGACTAGCAAAGACTCGTGGCATGGTTGGTGCTAGCTACTGAACTTACATAGTATTCTTTACATGGCTGAGTAGGTTGGGAAGCTCCACTTCTGTGAGTGGTTCTCAGGATCATTACAATACTAAAGCATTACATAGGGAAGGTAGTTACATTAACTTTTCCTTCTGTGACCTTTATACGGATATAGTGACCTCAGATTCCTCTCGATAGGGAAGAGAAGAAGGAAGGTAACAGGAGTTTTGAAGCACAAAGTCTTACCTTTATGGTAGTCAAAAAGCATCTCCTTTCTGCACGATTATGTAGCAGCCTCTCCATAAAGGTGACATTAAGAAATGCCCAGACTTTCAGAAAAAACAACCTCCTGCATGATAAGATGAGCTGTAGCAGCTCATCATCCAGCACCTCATGGTCATTGTTTACTTCAAGTGTTAATTTCTTGAAAAAGAAAGAACACTGTTAGTACATCGAAAAAAGCTTGTGAGTGCAGTAGCAACTGGATTTCCCAAATTTGCTAACAGAAGTGACTGCCAGCAGATCGACTTTGAACCTTGACACTAGCAAAAAAAATCACTTTTTTATGACAGAAGTATATGCAATGCTAATTTCCATTCTCCCCTTAAGATGGCGGTCCACTGTGCATGACGTACCATCCTAAGAGACATGCAACTTCTAGTGGGCTTCTAGTGTCTTCTAGACAACCCACAGCTCACGCCATGGTATTATTTCACATACCAGAAATGATCAAAGATAAAAGAGTAAAAGAGTACATCCAAAGACAACTTCTAGAAAGCTTTACAGATCACTGGTGTTTATTGCGAAATTCTACAATGCAACAGAACTTAAAGAAAGCTGTCAATAACCATTAGTTGTAAGGCCATGTGCTTCCCTCAAGAATGCATGGACCAGGTAAGTCATTTACACCTTTTGTGATGCAACCTCCATGATAACAAAGTGCTTTGGCAGAACAGCTTTTCTACAAAAATGATGCTTTCCTGCCTGAAAGGTTCTTTTAGCTCACAGCTGACATTACAATCACCAGTATTTTTGATGTTTTGGTATTTTATGAGGGCAACCTGACACCAGCCTGCCATTAGTGAAGAACAGCATCACAAACATTGTAACTAGGGAAGGATAATTAATCATAGAATTATAAATTCCCAGTTTGGAAGGAACCCACAATGGTCACTGAGTCCAACTTCTGGGTCCCCAAAGGACCACCCCCCAAAAAAAGACTACGTGTCTGAGAGCATTGTCCAAACACTACCAAACTGATAGTAGTACCAAACTAGACTACAGCTGGAACACTGGAACACTGACTAATTCTCCTGAAAAATACCTTAAAAATAAGACTGAAGTGGTCAGGAATTCCTATAGGTGACTGTTGTTACGCAGAATGCCTACATGATTACTTTACTCACCTTTGGGATAAGTTATCACTACTGCTCTAAGTTGTCGCTACTGCTCACCTTACCTGTAGCACATGGCAGTAGGCTGGGAGGAGGTTGGTGAGGGTAGGTCTCACTATCCAGTCTGGATCACTGAAATAGCAGCTCCGTAAACTGATGCTCCTGACTGGGATTTCCACTAGCAGGATTCTGGCTAAGTGATCGTGCTTCATAACTCTTTCAAAGAAGAAGTTGATGTTCAGTTCTGGGGCTCTCTTGGCCAAGTTGGCCCATGACATTCCCCAGACGACTTGCCCATGAGGGTCGTGGATATGACATTTGATATTCAAGGTGCGCAGGGAATGAGCACTGTGCTCCCGCAGGATGTCCAGCAGTTCATCAGAGATGCAATTATAATTAAAAGTCAGGATAACCAGGCTGTGGAATTTGGACATGGTTTGGTGGAACAAGGTGCTGCTGTAGACAGAAAGGTGGAGACTGAAGAAATCCTCAATATTAATTTCTGATATAAAGCTTTTATTAGTCAAGCAGCTCAGAGAATTCAGAAGACCACAGCCTTCTTCCAAGGTTACTCTTGCTCCTTTTAAGTTGAGATAATCAAGCTGTTTGCTCATTCTTTTCAGGAAGGTACCTAAGTTCTTGATAAACTGAGCCCTGACCATGTTTTTCCAGACCAAGCGGTCTAATTCCAGGTTCTTGATGCTCAGGGATATGAGGCGACTGTTACATTTACCCAAGTGTGAAAGAAGCCCTCTCATAGTCGCTTGAAATTTTCGAGTAATGACAGTATTGTAAGGATACAATAACCTGATTTCAAGGTGCTCCAAATACTTGCCAAATTTCTTGACATACCACAGTGCAGTTTTAAATTCAAACGTGTGTGCCCTTGATGGCTGACCACTGAATGTGATGGTTCTGGTTCTCCAGAGGGATCCTGAGTACATGGCCTGACTCCATTTTTTACAGACCAAGGCAGCCCGAGATCTGTCCTTGTCACCTAACCAGTGGAAGACATGTCTCAGACAGACATCAGGTAGATCAGCCCAGGAGCTCTGCTCAGAGTCACTGTCATCTTCCATCGAAGAGACAATTTTTCACGTCTCCTCTGACTGTTGAACCAAGCTTAAATTAAGAAAGCTATGGCTAAATTTCCGGTAATTCCCAACAGGATGGTCTTTCAAGCAAACAGCTAAAAGTTTGCTTCTTTACAGTCAAAAGCAATAGTCCTTTCTTTGCTTCTGTACTCAAGTTGTCAGGATCAAGTAAGTTCTTATGTCTAAACGATGGTCTAACCTAAATCAAAAGAAAAAAAAAATAAGTAAAAAACAATCACGGGATTCATCTTTGAACTTTTTGGCCTCTAGTCTAGCTAAACAGGGAAATGGTATGATAACAGTCATTGCAATTAATAATGTTTTGGGGCCTGATACCTAGTGTAGAAATGTGTCCAGCATTCTGGGCTGTACAGAGATGAGCAGTACTGTCTGTGCAAAGATATTGCACATGACTGTCCTTAGCCCCTTGAATACTGTTTCAGGACAATTGAAAGTAGCACCATGTCTTAGATGAAGGTACAATCCCTCTTGAGAGTAATAAGCACTGTAAGCTACTCTATCGCTTGGTCAAACAGGCTGTTGAGACATTTTGGTCCAGTGGACTGGAAGGCTGGTGAGTCAGGAGTCCAACTGCGTAGTAATAAAACACAAGGAAACAAACATGATGTAAGATGTTACCTGTTCCACTCTCAAGACTAGACTCTGTCCAGCTCCCTGAGCACCTTTCCAGCTCTGACGGATAGTCGCCCTCCTGAGTTCATGACTTGTTTTCTGTACCTCCCTCTTCACCGCCCCCTCCCCAAAGTTTGGTCATTGCTATCAAGCAAAGAAGTAACTTTTGTGATGTCACAACAACTGGAGCCATGCTAGGGCAAACAGCAAAGAAAGCCAACTTGAAACAAGTTAGTTGGGCTGAGGTAAAGAGAATGAAAAAGATAAGCAGACTTGTTTCATCATCTCAGGAAAAGACAATAAAAAGCCAAGAAGGAAAATAATGCATTTCATATCTATCTTTTTATTTACTAATCACAAACGTCATCTGTAAAATACAAACTAAGTCCCACGGATCTGTTAGGTGCTTGTTTTCATGAGGCCTTTTACAGATCAGTTTACCATTTGGTTCTACCAACAGCTGTGGGCATTCATTCAGAATGAATTTTTTTTTCCCATCTCTACAGTGCATGCATCTTACTTATCATGTACACTTGATAAATCACTGCTTAGCTTTTGGGGCTGAAACTCACAGCTCACTGGCTGGCATGACCAAAAGACAATGCATCTCAAAAGTAGATTATGCCAATCTCCAGAAAAAAAAAAAAAAAAAAAATTCTACCTTCCCTCCCTTGTAAGCATTGCTCTGTTGGTGTAACAAAGATGAGATGGTTGGCAATAACAGGCACCATAAGAAGATGAAGAAATGCAGACCCTTGAGAGTCTACTGCAAAGTCTTAAATAGCTCTAAATTAATTCTATTAACTGGCTTAAAAGGAGAGGCTGACTGCCTAATTCAGCTTCTGCCTGCTGCATCCCTTTTGACTTGGGGTTCTCACATACATTATTTCTGTGTCAGCACGTGCAGGTTGTTCAGTTAGCATCACGTCTATTCCTAGTTGTGTGTTTTTTTTTTTTTCTTCTTTTTTTTTTTCTTTTTTTCTTTTTTTCTCTCAGATCCAAAATGCGGATCCAAAATCTCATCTCTCAGGATCAACCTTACAAAGTGAGCATGTGGCTCTGATTACCACCTGACTTCCCCTTATTGGGGAACCAAATCTCCCCTTACCCTATGAAGACCTCTTTCTTTTGCAGAACCGTCAGGCATTTAGGAAGTCTGTAGATGTATGACCACTTTTTTTGGCTTGTCCATATATTCAAGCCAAGTCTCAAAATATAGTGGTTCAGGCTGCAGATTGCAAGTGAAAGGAGCCTGAAACCTTCCCTAGAGTGACAGAATTGGGCATGGGGAAAGGCATGACAAAGTTGCAACTATCTGGAAGCCATCAAGCTAATGGGCAGAGGACAGCAGAATAGTATATATGGCTGTAATACACAGAAATACATTTCTATTAACAATGGACTATTACTTGGGATGCATTTGCCCACGCTAAAGTTTACGAATACAAAAGGGTACAAGCGCTGTCATGTGGAAATTTTAAAACTGTAGTGCTTTGCAACTCCTAGAAAGTACGCTTACAAGCCTCTGGCCTGACTTGCAAGGCATCCTGCAAGGTCAATAGGCAAGCCAGACGTGGCTCTGGCAGGGCAAGGTGTCGCTAGCAGTCAGCTCTGTGTTTGAAGGAAGATAATCATATTCGGGGGAAAAAAAAAAAAAAAAAAGAAAAGGAAGCTGCTACAGCTCTTTCCAAGAGCGTTTTTTTCAGGTACAAGTGTTTTAAAGATCAATACGTTCCTTGCTTTCCTCTGGGGTAGGATGCAAAACAAAACTAATGACATTGGCAGCAATCGGCCTTTCGTTGCTGCCTGATTTGCTACAGGGCCCCCCAGCAGTCTGCAGCACAACGCTGTAATTCCACCAGCTCTGTCTCCTCCAGCAACGAAAGAAGCCCATGGGGCAAAACAACAACAAAACCAAAAACAACAGCAACAAACGCAGCCTTCCAAGACTTCTCTTCTAATTATCAGCAATAACAGAAGCGCTCGCGTCACGTCACGTCACGTCACGTCACGTCACGTCACGTCACGTCACGTCACGTCACGTCACGTCACGTCACGTCACGTCACGTCACGTCACGTCACGTCACGTCACGTCACGCTCCACTCCCGCAGCTGCCCCGACCCACCCTGGGCGGTGGCCGCGCGTCTAACGGCCTCCGCGCGCAGCCAATGGAAGCGCGCGCGCGGCCAATCCGGAACGCAGAGGGGCGGGGCGGGATTTGAACGCAGCGGCGGCGACGGCTGTGGCGGTGGCGGGCGGCTCGGGCCTGGTCCCGGTCGGTGCAGGACCTGTCGCGGGCCGCGTCCCCTGCTGTACGAGGAGGAGGCCGTGCAGGGCTTGACCCTGCTCTCCCCCAGCCTTTGCATCGCCGCTGCCGTCTTTCGCGGCCGTGGTTTTCAACGTCTCCTGCGCGTGAAGTAACCGCGTCGCCGGGGCTCGCCGCCTCAGCTGCCGCGGGCTTCAGAGGACTCAACCCTTGGGCAGCAGCTGCTCCCTTCCCGGTATCCCGCCTGTGCAGGACTTTCCGAGGTGAAATAATCCGTAGCGAGCGGCAGCTTACCTGAAAGGAACCCGGTAAGCTATGGATGTGGGACCTTAGTCTGAGTGAGGCATCGAGAAACTTGCAGTTAAATCGCGTTCCACCTGATGTGCTTGCGGCTCGCGGCTTGCCAGGACTGATGTCCTTGGAAACGCAGTGTGTGATATCCAATCTCTCCTTTTCCATACTGATGCACTTTGCTCTAATTTTTGTTCGTATTCTGATCGTTTCAGAAATAAATTGATCAAGACTTGGACCGAGATGGTATCTGTGCTCAAAAATGTCAAGGCAACAATGGGCTGGCGGAAACACCAGCTCCTAGCTGACTTTGATGAAAATGAAAGCCCTGTACCAGACAAATTCAAGAGAAAGGCTTCTTTGAGTTCTCTCAATACCATCCGTATGTCTCTAAGGAAGCGAATACCTTTAAAACAGGTAGAGCTGAATTTCCATGAGACCCCAACTTGGGAAAGTATGGAAGCAAGAGCAAAGTGCCAAACTCTCCGGAGTATTACAAGAACAGCAAGAAATGCTTTTGGAACGGTGTCCCAGGTACTTTGCCTTTGCACTGGAGAGTAGGTAGAGTTTATTTTGTGCTTCAACTTCAGTTCCAAGATTACTGGACTCTGATGTAAAGTATAATGTACTCCAGAATGTGTATTCTATGTATTGCACAACACAGTGGTTGGCTCATAGCTACTCATTAGTAGAATGTTATCCTTGCTAGATAATCCTTGCCTTTATTATCCAGAAAAATTATGGTTCTGGCAGAACAGGGAGGAAGGTGAAAAGAATAAACATAAGAAATCATCTAATAAAGCCCCTTTCCCCTACTGTATTTCATCATGTATGACAGAGCAGCCTTCATGAGGAAGAAGGTGGGTAGAGACTGCCATTGTTTGCAAATGATTGTTTCTGTGAAATGCGTAGCTTTAGACATACAACTACATATAGAGATCTTTCCTGCACCTGTGCTATTTATTAGCATGTCCTTCATAACAGTCAATCTAAATTTGGACTGACAAAAGCCAGTAGGTGGTAGCATCATAGCAACCTAAAGTTTGCACTGCTCTTCCTGTTGGAGGCAGACTCTAGGCATATCAATTTTGTATTAGAGAGACTGTCTCTTTCCTGCACAAAAGCAGCAGGCACTTTCTTTCAGTGCCTGCTGAAGTCCTTGTCAGGTTCCAAGGATTAGGGGAGCAAATGATTCCTTGAACCCAAATGGGTAAACCTGATATGAGAATGAAAACTAGGGATTCAGCTCAGATGTTCCTTATCTTTCTGTTTCCAGACTCTAGATTTCATTAAGCTTAACATGTCTATCTAATGCACCTTTCAGAAAATACAGAAGACTCACCAAAACCCAATACAGTCAATTGTGGCCTTTCCGGATGAATCTGTGGGTCGGAGAAGCCATGTGACCAGTTCTTCCAAGAAAAGAAGTACTATGCCTCAAACCCCTTGCCATAACAAGAATAGTGTTACTCCAGCAGCCAGTTCCATGAGCACCCCAGGATCCAGCAAAAGAGCCTTGCTTGGGCCAACAAGGGTGTCAGAACACAGAGAATGGAGGGGTTTCCCATCCTGGCACGGTGAAGATGCTCTCCCACTCCGGAGATCAAGAAGAGCAGCAGCACTTAAGAGCCCTTATTCATCACCTGCTTGTGCCAGCAGAATGACGTAAGACACGTTTTTTTGTGTGTAAACCTTACCGCTTTTTTTTGTTACTGTGATTAGAGTATCTTGTAAAATGAATGGCAAGGCACGAAGGTTGTTATCCTGTCCCACTGAAATGGTAAGCTCTTAGGATAGTTAGGAAAGTAGTAGTTACAAGTGGCTGAATAGAAAGGGGCTGAGCACTGCATAAAGCTGAACCATGAATGTTCATTTTGTGCCATGACAAGAAAGAGCTTCCTTTTTAATCACTCTCCCATTGGATTAGAAATTTTACAGCATGTTTCTCAGCACCAAACCACATCTGACTCTAGGAATATACCTGAACTCTGCTGTTCTTTTTCTGGTAAAGAAGCTCTCAACACATCTACTTAGCTCTATCTTGCTAATGCTGCTATTTTTATTGCCTATGCCAAGCTCTTCGTACAGAGTAGAGAGATTCCTCTTGCCTCAAAGATTTAACAGAAATTAGAATAATAGAATCATCTAATTCAGGTTGGAAAAGACCTCTAAGGTCATTTAGTTCAATCTTTAACCTAGCACTGCCAGGTCTACCATTAAACCGTGTCACTAAACTAGAGAAAGGGTTGTGAGCTAAGGTAGTATTTTATAATGTACCAGGTATGCTTTTGTCTTGGTCAAAGTCATGTGAGAAATGTCAAAAGCTAGAAGATGTCTAAACCTCAAGAACCTGAGACCAGTCACTGAACTGGAGGATAGCTATGTATAGGATGAATGGAGATGTGAAGCAGTTGGTCAGTAGAATTAAGAACATAATTATTACAGGCCCAAACTTCTCTCAGTAACTTGAGTTTTTACTGCAGGGATAGAGGCTTGTGCAGTGTCACCTAGGCAGTCTGCCTGTTTCATCTCTAGTAATAAACATCCTTTTTGCAGAGAGTTTGAGTGTGAGTTGGAACTGGTCTCCTCAGGGATTCGACGACTGAAGCACCTCTCTCAGGCACTTGATGATGGTATTGAACAAGAGGAGAGGTAAATACTGCCAACAATACCCCAACTCTTAGCAATAGGCCACCTTCCACTTGAACATTAGGCCAAGTGATTGCTGTAACTCAGGAGGAGGAAGAGCTGCAGAACTTTCTCAGTTGTAACATAGAGCCATTTTTTCTTCATGACGCTTGTGCAGATTCAGTCAGTAGTTGAACTTGCAGCTTCTAAAACCTGTCAGACAGTCACCCTGTCTTCTTGCTGTAGAAGTCTGATTTCTCCTAGTCAGAGCCTAACTTTTACTTTTGTATGAGAAACAGTATCCTGCTACCTCTGTCTAAAAGAGCTGTCAACCCAGACATGCCAAGAAAACAAACTCCAAACCATTGCACAGACACTTAGCTATCATTGGTGTATGCACATTTATAAGAAAAAAGCTTTTGTTATATAGTTATGTTTACAAATAGCCAATTTGAACCATACCTCAAAATTTAGAGGATGCAGAAGCCTCTTGTACAAAATCTTGGTTAACCCATGAGGTGGTAGGCTGTTGCGTTTGTAAAGGTTATGTCATGCTGAAGAAGGCCTATTCAGTCAGTAAAATTTAAAGGTCAGGAATTTCAACACGGAACAGTTCCCTAAACCCCTTTGTCCCCTTTCTCTCTTGATGTCAGGCATTCAGTAATTAAAAGTCAAGGTACTTTGATCTTCTAGCGAAGGCTTAGCATTAACTACTTTTATCTACAAAGAGATAAAGGCAAGAGATAAAATCCTGCACAATTCCAAAAATCCAACTTCTACCAATGGCATCATTTTTAGATAGCGATAGGTTTACTCCTGTAAAAGCTAATGATAATATACATTGAAAATTTACTAAATCTCACTCCTAATATTCTCCCATCTGTTAGTGATATGACAGTTTCTCTCATTTGTAACTGAAGATAGTATCAACCAGGTAAAGTAGTTGTTCACTTACTTTGACTATATCTGCATGCACCTGTGAGGAGAAAAACTGCTGTTTGGAGAGGGACAGACATATTAACTCAAAGTTTTCTTAAAATCTTACTGTGTGGAACCAAAGGGTTCTTTCCATCATATTCACTGTGGCATTCTCTGCTACAGAAGATCATTGTGCAGTTGTGAAGCAGCCTCTGTATTGAAGATTAGTGAAACCTTGCGTCTTTGCAATGAACCGTAAACTGGGCTTCTATGCAAACAGCAGCTTTTTTCACCCCAGATCAGAAAACTACTAGTACTAATGTCTTTGTCATTTGATCTCAGTTCTTACTGATTAATAACAGAGATCACAAAGCATGACAGAACAAACTACATGTATTACCCTGAGCTAATTTTACAGCCTTTATTTTCCATCCCTAGCATTGTACTAGCAGTTAACATGATGCTGTGACAAAAACAGTAGATGATTCCTGTGTTGCTGGCATTCTTATTAAACACAATTGCACCTAAGTGGATGGGAACATGAATTCTTTGCTTTGTGTTTCTGAAAATCACCTTCTAGTATCAACTCATTGAACCATTACCAGGTTTGCTATGAGAATGTCATAAGAGCCTTGATAACCTTCACTGTGATCTGTGTTATGACATTAATATCTTCACCTGTTAACATCTGAACTATTCTTTCTGTTTAAAGGGAAAGTTATATCATGAATACTAGTTCCTGTTCTTGCAACAAAGGTATAAGAACTTGATTTCTGTAACTTAGGGAAAAGAGAAAAAAAAAAAGGTAAAATACAACTCTCTGCTACCTGGGAGCAGTTTCAAATGCTTGCTTGAAGCTTACAACAGCTATGTGTACTGCTTCCTCAGAGTGATTTGGTCCAGTTCTCCTGCCCATGTAGATGCATACAATGTGCTCCAGCACTTGCTTGTTTGTAAGATCCCCATTTGGAATAGTTGTGAAATACATTTTTTTGGAGGTGTGCTTACACTCACTCTAGCGCATTACCTTCTCTTGTGGTATTCAGTTGCCATGAATTATTTTATTACAGCTTCCATTTAATCTTTTCCATAATGAAACAAGCCTTTGTTCTCAAACTGATGATGGTTGCCAGCTCCATGCATTGCTCAGATGTATCTGTTTTAATGAATTACATTATATCACAATAAATGCTCTTGTTGCTAGTTAAAGTATTGCCATACTTCATTTTTGTACTGCCATTTATGCTCATTGAAGGTAACTAAGTATTTTCTTGTTAGTTTTCAGAAGTGTTCAGTGGAAGTACACAGGTCCAGACCACCTCCTTCCTTGCTCTCAGATCTTGTCCTTTGTTGCCATTTTTCCAGCAATTTGTGTAACAACCTGTTACTTAACCTTGTAGACTTCAAGCTACTAACAGTAGTCTTGTTCTTCTGCAGGGAGCATGCGATATCAATCTACTACTGTCTAATGGCACAAAACTTGCAGTCTGTACATCGATCTCAGAAATTTTCTCAGGCTATCAGAAGGCAAGCAAAGAAACTGTTGAGCAGTTTGTACTTGGACAGAGATGGCTATAAGTAGTGTTGGTTTGAGTACATCTAAAGGAAGACTTTGATTAGGACCTGAGAGACTGTACTGTATGCTTTGAACGTAACTTTGATTAAGCAACTACATTTAAAAAATCTTTTTTTAACAAAGCAGCTTGGGACTTCCATTCCCTTGCTTTCTCTTCTAAAGTCAAATGAAATTTGTACCACAATGTATTATCTCCTACTAAGATAAGGGACCATCCTGAAAGTGGCTTTCATAGGCACTAAGTACTTTGAAACATATGTTGCACTGACCATGGTCAGAGCAAGGGTCACAGATTTATAATATACTAAAAGTAGTGATCTTTTCAAAACTTTTTTTTTTTCTTTAAATACTAACAAACTAAAAGCTAAGCATCACGTTTAACTGGAAGTTAAAGAAACAATAATTGCTTGAGTTCTGACCACAAATGGCATTCCAAGGCAACAGGTTTCCGTGGAGTCACTCAAGCCACAACAGTGGAGCCACATTAGGACTTCAACTCACAGCCCAAGGACTGCTGTTAGGTTAGCCCAACTTTTGTCTTTCAAACTAAAGCAAAGATTTCTCAAGCTTCTAGAATTCAACACCAGTGCTATTTTCTACAGTAGGAGTTTTGTGCAGTCTTTTGGAATTACTTTCACTCTAAGATGTACCTTCAGACAAAAGATTGAGTTGGTAAACTTTTATCTACATTCACTTTTAAGATGCACATATAATTTGGTAAAACTGGAACAGCCTAAGTTTTAACAGTATTAAATATAAATATGAGAAGCACTCATGTTCAATTCTGATTTATGTGTAATTACTGATTTTTAAACTTGTTCCCACTTTCCTGTTCTCCTGTCAAACTAAACTTATAAAATACTGAAACAGTTAATAAAGCCTGTAAACATCCCAGACATCTAGGCTGTCATATGACTGGTGTGAGCTTTAGATTGTGTGATTTTTCTGAAGTAGGTTTTGGTTTGTTTTTGTGCTTTTAAATAAACCAACAACAACAAAAAACTTTCTGTGTGGAACAGTACCTTGAAGTTATTCCTTGCATGTACTGAAACTCCTTCTATAAAGCTTCCACAAGGATCGTGTCTCATTATTGAAATCTCTTGTATTCTTTTCAAAAAGGAGGATTGAAGGTCACAGGTTGATGTCTGTTCAGAGATCTATGTCTTTATTTCAGATAGTCAACAATATTAAACAGTTTCTGTACTACCACCATGAATAAAAACAGTCTGGGACACTACTGGCTTAAAGACAAGGAAGGTTTTATTTTAGTGGCTAATATAAGATTTTAAAAACCAGCACACATCAAAATCTATACCAGTTGTAGAAATCTTACTCCTTATTTCATATTAAGAAATTCATTATTGTGCATTTTTGAATCTTTACAAGGCAGCCATAAGAAATATAAACATTTGTCACCAGATAGAACCTTCTCACTGACAAATAATATCTGAAAGTAAATGCTTCATAAAACTAGACTGAAAGAACATGTACAACTTTGTTTCCTTTTAGGAATTCAGTTATAAGAGGACTGCCTCTTTCCCTTCCCCACAAATAGAAAAGTTTATACAGAAGGCTTGGGGTTCTGTGAGAAGCCTGCCATTCTGGGTCCTACATCAGTCCTTGCAGAATAACTTTGTCCATAGAAGTTGTGATTTTTAAATTATGGTTTAGTGTTATGATCTCTGGTACCCCATATCCCAGCAGGTCATGGTAATCTTGCCTCTCTATTCTGTGCCCTCCCTCTCCCCCCTAAGTTCTGTACAATTTTACAAATAGGAACTTATCTGCCAGAGCTGTTTTGTATTTCCACCACCTCCACCCTCCCCAGACAATGATAGCCAGTTTCAAAGGTAGCTTATTGGGATAAATACAAATAGAGGATAAACTATCAACCCCTTACCTTGGACTTGGTATAAAATGAAGGAAAGAGAAATACCAACACCTGACCTTCAATTCCAGAGTCCATGGCACAGGATTCTAGCTGGTCCAGGCCCTTTCCTAGTTCTGAAAAAGAAGGAGCTCTTTTCATCCAGAAAAATGTATTATTGCCTTTTTTTTTTTTTTTTTTTTTAATGGGGGACTGAATCTAGGATCATTAGTAGAAACCTATAGTTACACTTGAGTGATTAAACAGCACTGAAGTGAAATTACCTTGTGAAAACTACAATTTCTGCTGAAACTATGAACAAAGACAAGGAGGAATCATTGCTCTTACAGAAGCTGAGGAGGTAAGTTGGAAATTTTTGTGTTTAGAGACTTCTATCCTGAGACAGCTCCAGATGAGGATGAAGAATGCAACTTTCTCCCCTGTGTGCCTGAAATGAACAATTCAATGCAGAAGTCCTGATTTTAGATCCCAAATTTCAAGTTCTAATCAGAAAAAATTGAAACTATATTGTATAATCGCTTCGTTATTAAAACAATTAAATTATTATAAAATGGCCCACACTTGAACTGTCTAGCACTTTCATAACATACTTACCTTCTCTCTTGTGAAAGGGGAAAAAAATGGGGAAAATCAGTTTTCCCTCAAAAGCTCAGTAACAATTGTTGCAGTTACAGATTTCTAAAGCTAAAAATACCTGTTGTTTTCAGGTATAATAAAAAATGCTTAATGTTTGTACCAAATATACGAAATTAAACAATACAAAAGGACAAATTTCACTTTTTCTTTCTAAATTTATGCTGTGAAATACATTAAATACATGTGAAATACATGAAATAACTATTGTGTATTTGCTTACATTCATAGCCATTCGCTGGCCTAAAGCCTGTAATGTGTAAATAGGAGAACTTGTTCACTAAGAAAGGCAAACAGGATATTTTGCAGAATGGTGGACCTTCAAGATAAATGTCACTGGATTTTAATATTAGATTAAGGTGCGTCAAATGTCTTTCTCTGTGGTTTACTGGTAGCTGCTCTTCTACATAAGCAGTGAGAAGTTTTACCTTTGTTTAGAAATGACTTCCCTAAGTAGTAGAGGCTCAGGACAAGCAATCTGTAAGAATGAAGACTATTTTCCTCCAAACAAATCAAAATGGCAGCTTTCATGAACCCCAAGGAACAAGAGGAATAGTTAATGCCATGTCAATTTTACACTTAACAAAATTTTATGCAGAAATAGATATAAACCATGCCACAAAACTAAATAGGCATACTTTAGTCAAGCAAGAATCTGTTTGAAGCGCACCAGTGTACTCAGATACATTTTTTTAATTGAATAAACAGCCATTGTTTAAAAAAAAAAAAAAAAAAAGAGCTTACAAATTTGCACATTGGGTCAAGAAAGAACACTGAAAACTACTCTAAATTTGGGTTAAAGAGCTAGGTGTGACACTACTGGGAAAGCATTTGTAAACCTAAAGACTGCTTCAGTGTAGTTTCTGGAGATCTTTCATTTAGCTTTTGTAGCTGGCTGACTTGCCAACAGAGCAAAACAACCCCAGCCCTTGTGTATTGCAGTTACCTAATGAATGTGAGCTACCAAACTTCTCATAGCTTTCCTAAATCTTCAGCAAACATTACTCCTTCCCTTAAATGAAGCATTATAAAAGAACAACTTTCTGATGTGCCAGAAATCTTTCAGGAAGTTTGAAATAGGTAACTGACAATCTTGGTAAGTGATAAGCTTAAAACCAGGAAAGATAGACACAAACAAAACCCCCAACTTTCATTTATAAGCTATTTTGCTGCCTTTTAGGACAAAAGCCACATTACTAGGCCCTTCAAAAAACACACTGAAACTTTTATGTTAACAGGAAGTTACTGGGTTTCCTTCTGCACCATCAGAATACTTTTCTATTCCATTATTGTTTTACACAGTGACTTTGAAATCATTAATCAACAGACTTCTTTCTGTTCCAGCTATAGATTAGGAAAACCTGAAAGTAAAAGGGTGGGGATGACAACCTGCAACTCCACAAAAGTGCATGTGCTGGGGAGAAACCAAATCCCCCTACTGACTTCCAGTTTCCTCAGGGTCAACAGTCTGGAGTTTTAATTTTTGAAGAAAAAAAAAATAATTGTGCACTAGCAACTTCGTTGCAGGTTTTGAAACATGCATCAGTTCTATCATGGAAGTTCGCTTGGTGAATTTATAGTTTGGTGGAAATATTTGCATAAAGAAGCTGCAAACTGCAGCTACGTTAAACTAATTAAAATGTTTAGTTTAGAAATATTATCACCTAGAGAAAACTTCACACATTTTTACTTTTAATACGTTAATTGAGAGATCCGAGATAAATTTAAATCAGTAGGAAAATGTCTCCTTGGCACCTGTAATTTGTCGTCTCCATTCTTTGAAGCTCATAGGCTGTAATTCTGACTGCTACAGATTGTCTTAGCACAGTAGTTGCTGTAAAGCATGAGAAGGTAAATAATTTACTCCCAGGAATTCCATTAGCATTTATCACTTTTTCCTCCTCCAGCTTAAAGTTTCTTGTTAAAATAATGCAAAAATTGATTGCTCTGAAGTCTGCAGATCCATTAGTAAAAAAGTTACCTTTAGGTTACCATCTTAGGATCTGTTTCAGACTTAGATGGTCAGAGACATCTCCTTACTCACAGTAGTTAATACATTTTGCACAGTCACCAAGTTCAACAAAACAATGTGATTTTTGTACACTTGCACAGCACTTTGTACACAGCAACACTAACTACTTCAAACCGTGGCAGAGACATTTATTTCTAACACGAAGCATTTATGATTTGGTTCATAGGTGGAGTTCTCCAAATTACTTGATGTACAGCACTTCAGACAACATGAGTGCCTATATCTGAGTCCGTTGACCAACAATGTAAGCTGAAAGGATATCTTGGGTTAAAGGCACCCAACAAGCATCTTGCTGTACAAATTCTGATTACCCATTATTGTATTCCCTCTTCCTCTTTCCTTGCAAATGTATCTCTTTATCGAAAGTGAAGTGGCAGCAGATAAAACTAATGTTTAAAGTGCAAACTTTCCCTGTAACCCATGGGACCTACTGTTTATACTGCTTTGGGTGCAGCTAGTCAGCTGCTACCACAATCCTTCTTTTGAATAAAAAACAGCTTGTTGCAGCTTTTTCTCTTATTGCACATTTTATTGTATCTATTGTACAAAATAACCAAAGATAATTTTTTTTTTTTCCTGTTGCTTTGATGTTTTAAGCACTTGGCGATAGTTTTAGATTGTTTTAAAATTTCCCAATAAACATGTCAAGAGGAACGAACTGCAAGTTCCCTGGTTGGTATAAGAAGGCATTTTCTAGAGCAGGAACAACTCCAAGGTACAGGTTCCTCTCTACATTTTCTAGTTTGAAGCTGCCTAAATATTATCTTTGAGGCATGATTACAAGTTTAAGGGGGTGGCATCCAAGATCAACATCCCCCGGCTTCCTAGGGGACAGATTCAAACTTGTGAACTCCACCTTTAACCCATGCAATGGAGGGCAAATGTCTGTCATGATCTTTGTCTGATTCGGGCTGGCTTTGGGCACGCTCTGGTTTAGGGTTTGAAGAAGGTGGGTCAGGCTGCTGCACAGACATAGTCCTGCGGAGATGGTTTCTCTTGCGCAAAAACTCAGGTTGGGAGTGAAGGCCAAAGCTGCCTTTTCTCAAGATCATCCGAGAGTTGTTCTTTTTGGGTCGTGAATGAAGACTGAACTCCAGTGAAGCCAAGTGGGCTGCATAACCCTCACTGAGGAACTGAAACAGGAAGGAAAGAGAGTGACAAATTACTGCTGCCTCAACCTATGAGCTCTATGAGGAGTTCAGTTCCTATCTTTGGCAATTTAGTTATATATATATAAAAGACTTAATATGTCTCCTCTCCTTTTTAATTTCAGTGAATTGTTCGATTTTTTTGTTCAGCAATATGCAACACATGTACTTGCAGGTACAACCTGTGACCATTCAATTCTCTTTATGATTCACTCAGCCAGAAAATGCCTCATCTGAGACCAAAACTGCCCTTCTTTCTCTGAAAGACTGTCCCTGCTCTTTATCTTGCGTGTGTGTGCACGTGCGTGCGTGCATACATTCACGCACATGCATTTCCTTACTCCTCCCAAGGACTTCCTGGTTGAGCAGCAACAATTACTTACTTGACACTGTGCCTGGTATTTCTTTGTTGAACGTCCAACTATGTAGATCTGTGATGGCGACAGAGCCAAGACATTGTAAACAGAAATATCTTTCATGGAACCATATGCAGCACAGATTTTGATGTGGCACTGAAAAAAATAATATTACTTCCAAAGTTAATGCTCTGATTATTGAACAGCATGCACTACAAGGATGGCACTTGTTTTGCATCGAAGAAACAGGCAAACTCACTGTTAACAAATGCTGTAAACCACACACAGCTAAAGCTGTTTGCCTGCATGCCAGCAGAATTACAAATATGCAGAGAGAAAAGAATAAGTAGTTCATCGATTTATTTGTAATACCATATGCCAGGAGGTACTTTTGGATATTTTATTTAGCATTTCCTATTCTTTGAAAAGTAAGAAAAGAAAGGAGGAATGGCAAAAATACTTTATAATGGCCAATAGGATTTACTGTTCAGTCAATTACATCCTCTAGAAAAAGGTTTCAGGAATATAAACTTCTTTCTAGTACCTCTTGCATGAGATTCCGTAGAAAAATAGTCTTTTGTCGCAGTGGGTCATGAACGAGTCCATCAGAGAAGAAGATCATTCCTTGTGGGAAGTTGTGTTGAGACAACCATGAAACCACACGCTGCTTTTGCATATCTGGACGGCCAGTAATATAGATAATCAGATACCCCAGGTCCTGCCAATGTCTGTCAGAAACAACAGATAAATTACATAGATGCAGAAAAAGAAATAATGCCCAAAAGACAGGTTAGTATTTCTTTGCTCAGCATGGACCCAGTTAGAAATCAGACATGACCCTTCAACAGATAGAAAGCACCCTGTCTGCTCCTAGTGAGAAATTATGCAATTATATCTACATCTTGAGGGAGATAGAATAAAGCAAGTGATAGTCTCATACCATAAGTTATGTAAAACATAATAGCTATTTAAAAATGGATTTAGAATAGTCCCTTTGCTGTACCTCAAGTCCTCCTACCTTTGAAATGTATTGCGAGATTCTGTCATTTTAAATGAAGGAAATGGAAAATTCTTGAAAACTGGCATCTCTGCATTCCAAAATGTGAGTTGTACTTCCTCACCCTGTGCAGTGTTAACAGACTTGCAAGAATGAATTAAAAGCATTCTAACTTTTCATCCATAAAACTCTCCTATGCTCATGGCGCTTGGTATTTCTAGAGCAGAAGTATGTCCTTACTTGAAGTTAGTGAAACACAAAATACACTCTTTGCTAACCACAGTAACAATTGGAATCTTTATTAATTAATTACTTGCACTTTAACACCATGTTCATTTGAATATGCAATTTTCAATCTTTATCCAACTTAAACTACAAATTTCCAAGTAAACCATAGCATTCTAAGATTCCTCTGAAAATCAGGCAGGCCTGTTGTCCAAGCAAATGCAGAAATATACCTGCAAAGCATTCTAGCCTTTAAAGAATTTTTGCATCCTTAGTTTAAAAAATTATATATTCTGTTCCATTCCCCCCTATTGTGTTCAAACAGAAAAGTCAGAGATTGAGAAAGCGAAGCATGAAAACTTCACTTACCTGACAACATCAACAGCCCCAGCTCGGACTTTGGGATCACTTCCCATAATTGAAACACTTGCTGCAAATGAACCATCAATGCTGAACACAACACATTCCATTCCTCGGGGAAGCACAGTCAGATAGCTTGTGGCACTGCTCTGGTCCCCTCTGGAGAGCCAAAGGAATAAATACTTTTTACAACCATAGTGTGAGAATATTTTCTGCACATTCTAGTTAAGGACTGTCTAGATCTGCGGTTTCAAATATCTCTATCAAGTAGGTATTCCGATTTCAGTCCTATGTGGGGCAATTAAAACCTAAGCTTTTAGGAAATTGCTTTCCAAAATGAAATTTGGAAGCTGATGTTAATAAGAAATCGCATTTGTACAAATACATATAACAATTCATAAAAAAAAAAGCACCAAAAAACTTAAGAACTCAAACTTTGGATGCTATCTGTCTACATATACACATAGATAATATGCGAATTCTCTGTGGATCTACATCGCACACAGAATCATCTAGGTTGAAAAAGACCTCCAAGATCACCTACTCCAACCTCTGTCCTAATGCTAACAAGTCATCCACTAAATCAGATCACTGAGCTCTACATCTAAATGTCTTTTAAAGACCTCCAGGGATGGTGACTCAACCACTTCCCTGGGCAGCCCATTCCAATGCCTAACAACCCTTTTGGTAAAGTTCTTCCTAATATTCAACCTAAACCTCCTCTGGCAGAAATTAGCTTTTTTTTTTTTTTTTTTTTTTTTTTTTCCAACAGTCTACAATTACTGGCAAATTCTCAGAAATTACAAGGGAAGAACTGATAAGTACCTTTTATTTATTGGCATCTTTCTGCTTATGACTATCCAGCTTTTCTCCACTAAATAACCAATAGAATAATATTAGCATTAGCCATCTCTCTATCATTTCAAATAACAATAGAAATGCCAATCCAGAAAAGTAAAGCAAACCAAAATAACCTACCCCTAAACAGAACCAAGCCAAAAGAAAAATGCAATTGCAGATGGCTTTTCATATACTTGATGATCCTTAAGGGTCCCTTCCAATTCAGGATATTCTATGATTCTATGATTCTATATGCGAGATGCCATGCCACCTTCTGTTCATGACGACCTCCCCAAGAGGTCTGGACTCTAATAAAGCACAAAGTGATCCGAAGTCTTATTATTCCACGATATCATGGTCCTTAAAAAAATGTGATCTGAAGACCACATTGTCCTTCCTTTAAAAAGATGATCACTGTATGATATAGAAATTTATATATGATGATGAAGATTCTTAAAATATGTGCAAATTACATTACAGCTTAACAGGCAAAGACGGGACAACTCTGATTCCTGTTTGAAACTCATTCCTGCAGTCTAAATGCCCATGGGTACTTAGCTTCCCTGTACACCTTAATTTATGTTCATGTAACTGTCTTTTCATAAATTGATGGTTTGTTATACAACACTGAAGTAAAATATTTCTTCCTCCATTAGCACTACACAAGACTGAAAATTGACTTTGGACTTGATTAATGGGTGGATAATGTCACATTCAGTTTCAACTGAATTCATCACTCTGATTGTGCCTCCAAAGTAGAGGCTCAAAGAAAACTGTAAAACTATTTTCTACTTGGGTATGTGATTTAATTCTAAGTGCAATGCTAAATTAATGTCATTTATTTATTTATTTTAATCCAGCACAGGAATTAAACATCAAAATTTTTAAAAGCACAGCTACCCTAGTCTTGCACCTATGCCAACAAATCTTACTTCATATATTTTCACTTTTTATACATGACAACACAGTATTTTTTTCAAATACAGGAAAACCAGGGGAGTTGACTTCAATAAAACGTTACTCTGAGATACTTTTTTTTCCCCCCAGTTTAGAATAAACATTCTTACGTACAGAATTAAAGCGACTCTTTCAATTAGCCTGCTATCAACACACACATTGCTGGCTGAGAATAAGACAGTACATCCTCTACTGTTAATTTCAACAATAAAAGCTTCTTATTGGCTTGAAGAACATGAAGCCATACCCTTCAGCAATCTTTTCTCCAATGAAGAAGCTCTGAAATAAACCAAATCATACACTCTTGCCATAAGAAAACTGAATAGTCATCCAGTCATCTTATTTTGCACTAAATTGAATTATGTTGAAGTTTTGTGTTGCAGGAAGGATAGGTAAGACCCATTGGGCATGACACCTTTAAGCTGGCCAGTAAACAGATGACCACTGTTTCAAATCTAAACTGATAACACAGCAAGAAAACCAAGAAAAATAATTAAATTTGTCACTGGACAGCTGAAGCACAAAGAAATTAAATTATCTGCCTAAAGCCACACAGAAATCTGTTGTTTAATATAGAACTGACCAAATTTCCCCTCCATACACACTTCAATCTTGTACATGTCGATGTCTTCCTGATCACAAGAGCCCATCACACCTGCAGTTCCAGCTTAGAGTTATTACCTGACCACCATTTTGATGGGATACACACCAACTCTCAATCTCTTTTGTTTGGGTATGCTGTAAGATATCCGGCCACTGCTGTTGGATATCTCTGTGTCAAAGTACACCCATCTACCCGAAGATGGCTCAGTCATTATGAAGATATCAACCTGCGAAAACAATACAACAGGTACACAGAGGGTGCCTACTATCACACAAGACCTGCCAAGCCTACATCCCATTAGTATCTCCAATTGTGTCTTGTACCAAAAGCTAACAAAGTTTCAAGGAACCTTAAAACTCAATAAAAACTTCATAGAGGATCCTCTCAATTAGAAATGTTTCCTAACACACAGTACAAGAGTTTACTGTTGCTTTGACCATTTAAAGCACCCATCTTAACATTGCCAATGTCAAGAGCATATAGAGCTCAGGACTTTAGGAGGAACATCAAACTAGAAAAAAGATCATTTCAGCTTGCGTGTGTGTATTAAGTTTTTGCATACTAAACCTACAAAAGGGAAAAAAATCAGCTGGTTATTAAAAGATGAAATCTTTCTCAAATCATAACATTGCTTTCAAACAAAAAGCCTACACATCTCAAATTATCAAGATTTTTTTTTCCCTAAAGAGGTTTCATCAGTGCTTTTCTTCAACTTAAGTCACTCAAGTGATGGGGATGCTTTAAGGTGTTTTTTAAAACAGAACAGCCAAACAACAACACAACAACAAAACAACAGGATAAGAGTGAAGCAGTGATTGTCTTAGAAGTATAACCATTACCCATGATGATAGTTCAATTTGTACCAGTACAAGGCATGCTGAATACTGCAATAGAATCTTAGAAGCAGCACATCACTTAAGTCGTGTGGAGTTAACTGATGAAGCCCAGCAGTGACAGAGGTACGGGATATTGTATGCTGTATTTCAAGCCAACACACAGCAGCAGCTGACATAGCTTTTTGTGACTGTAGAAGAGTTCTTTGTCACATGAACCATCTTTCAGACAGGTATCACTCAAGATCTCTATAGTTGAGGCTGAATGGAAAACATTTTACAGTGAGGTCTCTGCTAGGGATGGAAGCAATTCAGTTGAATGATGCAGTCTAGACTATCAACTCAAAGACACTGGTCAAGGCTTCCAAATGCATTCTATAACACAATTTCGAAAGATTCCTGTCTTTCACTAAAGTTTTTTTTTTCCAATTACCTCTGAAAATTTAACATACCAAGAAGAGTGCAATAATTTCATTGTGATGTAGGCAGAGAGTGAGAATGTAAATGCTGATCTCAAAAGCAAGAGCTTTACTCTGGCTGAGTGCAATATATCTAGCTTATATGTAACTCAGCCAACATCTTAACTCCAATATTTTGAAGCCAGGAGCCTGAGTACATTTGCAACAGTGAGAGGATCATCTCTAATGCATGGCAACACAATCCTTAGGTTTTTCTACCTGAAATACCACTTCCTGCTTAGTAACATGAAAAAAGGTAGGCAGAAGTCTTTCCATAGCCAGTTTCCTAAACAGTGCAAAAGGAGATGGAGAACAAAGGAGATTTACCATACATAAAGCTGTTATCAGAGTCATTATTTAAGTGCAGATTGCTCTAAAAGTAGACTGCCCAATGTTGAAAAGCAGGAAGCTGAATGCTCAACCCAGCACGAGGTTAATGCATCACCTTAGCAGCATGGGCACAAAACAAGCAAAGCGAAGTCTCCAAGCTTCATTTTTACCCTCAGTTCAGCAACAATGCTCTGCTAATTTCCATAAAAGCTCTTACAGTCTACTGAATATGAACAAAGAGTTCACTTAATGTTTGGCTTTGCTAGTTTTAAGCCTGGCTGCTGCAGGCAGCGCTAGGAGCACAGATGGTTCCAACCATGGCACATTACTTCTTCAATTCTACAACTGATCTTTACTCTTCCATGTATGAGAAACAATAGCAACCTAACCTACAGCATCACTATTCCTTTATCTACTTGTCTTACCTTGAAAGGAAGATGTACATTTTTCTTCTAGTGATTTGCCAACTGTTAATAAATTATTTTTTTGTCCTTCCTCAACAAGCTAATTTTCTGCAGTAGGTGGTGTAAACACAGGATGGGTTCAGAAATGGCTACCCAGCATGCTTTTCAGTAACAAGAGGAGATGGCCAACATCACGTAAAAATGATGATAGCTGGGAAAAATGTCAGCTATCCAGAGAGTGTGCTTACATCATATTTTTGCTGAAGTGATGGCAGACTAGTGACGTAATCCCTCTCACTGTAAGACTTTCTTTGGTACTATGAACTACATGTGCATTACATTCAACAACTATTTCTAGTAAACACTTATTTTAGAAAAATAAGGAAACAGGAAACAGATTTTACCTTTTCACCTGTTAAAGCTACCATGTCCAGAGGCCCATACATAAAGCGCCCAACTAGTACCTGAGGACCATCTTCTACTGCAATGATGTCATTAGCTCGATGATTAGCAGTCACATTCTGAAATGAGAGCAAAAGGTGGGAAGGGTACAGTTTGCTTTTATAGTAAGGCTATTGTCTCTATTATGTTGTTATGAACAGTAAGACAGAAACACAGTCCAAGACAGTGTGTTTGAGGTACATCCCAGTGCACCTTAGAGTACCTGTCAAAACTGGGCTTTCAGGAATGGCCAAGATTCCATTAATGGTGCATTCCTGAATAGAGGTTCTGTTGAGGACACCCAAAATGACCAAAGAGAGTACTTTTAAAGGAAATGCCAATTACCTTTCAGAACAAGTGGTGCCATAGATCCACACAATTACATGCAAAACATTCATTTTTATGAGGCACTTTCACTTATTTTCAGTAGCTCAAATTTTTCACACTGAAAAACAAGCAATCCTCCCCCAAGAAACTTTTAACTGATGAATGGGAAGAGTATCTGCAACTTGGCACATCTTTCAAACTGAGAATACATTTTCAGCATAGATTGGACACAAGCTTTTACTGATTGATTGTCATATTTAACCTGGTATGCACTTATGCTCTGGAGCACAACAAATCCTTATCAGCACTTATATCAGCATTCAAAACTTGTTAAAAAACTGTCTAAAAATTAACAGTGTAATTTTGCTAAGGCAAAAAGGTCAGGATTTCAGTGATATCCGAAAGAAATTTCTCAAGTCATGTATTTTATTTATTTGTTATTTAAGCCTTTATTTGATACTTATAATTGAAGTGGCATCTAAAGAAAGAAAATATGTTTTCTTGGGTCATAGATTCATTTATCGTACAAGAAAATAGAAGAACAACCTCTTTGCTTAACTGAAATGTAAGGCCCTTCAGTTATTTAAAGAAAGAAATACACTTTCTCCCAATGTGTAATGATAAACCAAGAATAAATTGTTCCTATTTCCTAACTGTTAATTTATTTGTCTCTGGACTATGTTAACAGCTTTAAGTTATGTAAAATTCACAATTTAGGAGATTAGACTCCATCTAAATTGCTGCCAAACCCAATTTCTATAGCTACCATGGATATTCAGATTTATACTTACTCTCAATTTGACATGTGTCCTTTTACGGAGCCATTTTTCTCGTGGATTAGAAGGGCTTAGTGTTGCTGGATCCAGGCTGTTGTTCTCCTTGAAATTTACATTTTCATACCTCATCACCTGAAATGATATTAATGTTTTTATAAGCCATGTGTTGCTTGGAGAGTCCTGTAATTGGCAAGGAAAGGAGTACACTGCTGCCCCTGCTGAATGACACTGCAGAGCGGATAGCACAAGCAGAGCAGAAAGATGCGCAGACCATATGTTCACGTTAAGCACTGGCCAAAAGAGTGAAAGCATTTTATTTGTCTATATGATTAAGCTCAGGTCCTTATTAAACAGCTTTTCCATTCACACCACAGCATGCACATTTTTTTACATTCAAATCCTTCCCTGAACCACACAAACATTAGGATGATACAAGAGACACTCCTCATTGTCTGCAAAGTCAGTAAGGCTCCTTAAGACCGTGGAAGTACTTGTTAATGCCCTTTATTGAGCAGAGGTCAGATTCCTGACTCTATCTGTAACGATTTTCTATTCATAGGCCCAGACAATGTTTCCTATTGCCTTCTGGCTATTACTCACCACTGCAGTAGGGAACAGGAACGGGATTTGGCTTGTGGCTGGTGACATGGTTTAATCTGAAGGTAAAAGGACTATAGTTTGTGAACATGCAAAAGCCTGTCACATCATGCAAGCTACATTTCCTTATGACCTAAATATCACACACTTAACCAACAAATTTGCGTGTTCAACTCATATATTAGAGCCAACCCACAAATTTCAGCAAGACATGGCTTGCAGCTTCCATAACGGGACCAGGGACAGCTTGAGGCTAGTTCAGTTTGAATGAGAAATCGCTTGTCTCTATCTTTCACATGCTAGCCGAAAATGAATCAAGTTGGATAGTTGGCTTTCTATGCTGAAGTTTTCCAACCCTGGTGCCATCTGGAATGGTGGCCTGAAATCCCTTTGAAAGCTGTCTGATGTGTCCATCGAGTAAAATTCTGTTGCATTCAGCCACAGAAAAGCAATTGGCTTGCAACAGATCAGAGCAAGGCTGGGAGGCCAGTGTGTTTTTTAAAAAAACTGTCATAAATTCCATTCACCAGGGGGCATATATAGGAAATATATGCCTATAGGGCATTTATGAGTCACTACCCTTAACCTTAACAGGTAGCAAGACAGAATGTCCATCATTTGCTGAAATTAACCAGTCCTTTATGTAGTGTTATAAACTCACATATTGCTTTAGAGGAACGTTCCAAATGTGTGAATGCACATATAAGGCTAGATAAGACAAAACACTGCAACTTAATATGGATGAACAGAAAGCAAGAATAAAGCAGGAATGATTGCTGACAGAAAAGTATCAGCAATACGCTTAGGGAGGCATTTGAAAGGTGATATGTAAGAATGTTCTGATGGACTCAAGGTTAAAAAAAATCCCGAGAGAAAGAGATTACAAGAGCTTTAAGAAAGCTGCAAAGGAGAGCAGAAACATCCACATGCAAATATCTAAGACTCTTCAGGAGAATAAAACAGGTATCTGCATCCTGACACTTCCAGAAGAAACTTCTCTACTTTGGGATGAACAACAAATAAAATTCCTGTTCTGGAGGCTGTTCTGTTTCAAGAAAAACCCATAAACAGCTTTTATTTTGCATTGATTTTGGTGACACTAGTTATAAACAAAGTTTATTACATTTCGAATGGAATTAGATATACCAAAGGATGCTTTGAAAGGACAGTGAGCGGCTGAAGAAGCCTTAGAATTTCATCAATTAAAAACATAATTTCATCATTCACTGGATGTAAAAAATACACTGATTCCTGAGTTAATACAAATTAAAGTGCTTGTACCTAGCTTCTATGGGAGGGACCTTGGTTTCTTGGCCACTTATCCTGCAGGTCACATTCAAATCCACTAAATTTTTTTCAACCCAGGTGAGATTTCTCAGCTTCATGACTTTCTCTAGAGATCAGAACACGGTTAACTCTAGGTCACTCACAGCTGCTGTCTAAATACTGGAACAGTAGGTACAAGAGACTCATCATATGCCTCAGAAATCATTTCTGAGACAATGCACACAATGCCTGTAAATACACTAGTACAGTTATAGGAGAGACTGCTAAGCAACTGTTTTTTCTTACACGCTTCAGTTTCAGTCTCCTAATTTTTCCTTATTCCCTCTAATTTTGAGAGGGATATTTGCTGTAGAGAGAGAAAGAAAGAGATCAACGACCTGTCTCAAAATGAATGCCACAACGTCTGTTGATTCCCAGTAGCTGGCATGGAAGAGATGTGGCAGGGCCACAGTTGGAAATGCTGTCAGTACATCTGGACAATACAAGGCATAATCAATTCGTTTTGTTCCCCACCACTTTGCAGTAACTACAAAATAAAACAAAAGAAAAAAAAAGTATCACATTTCTAAAAGATATCTTAGCAAATCTCTTGCTGTTTTTATATTTAAGCTAGATAACAAAATAAAATCTTCTGCTTTTTTAATCCTGACATTTAGAGTCTGTTAAAGGCATCAAACAAACACAAATGTACGGTTTTCACTGACTGCATAATCCCTTAAATGTCTGCAGTCAAAACAGCCCTCCAAGTTTTGGGAAGCAGAGGTTATCTTACCATGATTCTTTTTGCTCCCTGGTCCATAGGAAATGTACAGTGAAAGACCAGTTAAGTTTCTGATCGTGTTACAGAGTAAGAGTTGCAAATGCTTCCCAAACAATGAATACGCTATTGATATGTGTCTACAGTCTGTAACAGGAGAATATAATGATCTATAGCACTTATAGTTATGAGTAACAATTCTTATCTATCTATATTTCTTCATGCCTGGACCATGCTTCTAAACCCAAGTTAGTATGAAACCCTTAATAACTCTTTCCAAGTGCCATTTTAATATAGAATTGTGACTTCACTTCCACTATTTTATCTAAATTATTACAAACAGAAAAAGGAAGTTAAATTGTGTTACTTAAAACCACAGCAACTTAGGCTGTTCTCATTCTCCCCAGATTTTCAAGTAAGTTATTTTCCTTTTCATAATAAAGTTTTCCACAGAAAGGATATAGGGAAAGGGCATTTGCTATATCAGACAGCGCACGTCACCAGGCTTCACTCACTGTTGGTGAAGTATGCTGATGGCAAGCTCTCTGTTGACCCTGAGTTTTCGCTGTTTGTGCTGGCCAAGCTCAACTTTCTCTCTTTTCCTTGTGGTTGATTAGATGCGTTTGGAGATTCAGGACTCTCCTGAGCAAGAGTTATATTCAAAGAGCTGTTCTCAAGGAACAGCGCACTGTGGTTTTGGATGGCATCACCTGCAGGTCATAGAAATGAAAAACAAAACAAAACAAAAAACAGCCACCACCACCAACAAAAAAACAATGGGATGAACAACATGGCTTTGAAATTATTTTTGAAATATATATTTTTAAAATATAAAGCCAACGATCATTTTCCTTAACGACATCAGATTTAATGACCACAGACGAAACTCCTTCAGAGTGAGAAGGGCAGCACGAGACAACACAACTAAATGGAGAAAGCATACCCTACTGCCATAAAAATGCAATGGCATCTAAGATCTTCCAAAATGCATAGTTCTGTTGGGAGGCTGCCTCTCACTCAACTTTGCCTATTTTAAAGTCACTCTCTAAGAAGAGCTATGCAACCCTTGGAGTCTGTGACACTCCTCTTGTTTTCCTGAGGTGAGCGAAAGGACTTGAGAAAGAGGCCATTACATCTTCACAAATGGAACAGAATTCTCATTTATTCATGCCACTCTGACAGATGAGCTATGGGCCATGCTTAACACCTCTACTTAGTGAAACAAAATAAAGCTTTCATCCTGAGGTGTTCTGCAACACTCCTGAGGTGTTCAAAGAACAGATGTGCATTTAAATAAAAGTATTACCGATGTAGCTTGCACATCCCTGCTGTACCCAGCAAAGGCAGAAGCTCCACAAGGTCTCTGAGACAGGATGCACATCAAAAGCAGCTGACTCCTCTATAGTTTTTTCAGAGAACGAACCTCTTGGAGAGATTAAAATGTAGTCAACAACGGGAAAAGGGGAAGCAGTTCAATGCACATGATAAAAAAGAAAGCAGAGGGACCTTGACGATATATTGCTCTATTCCTGACCATTTTTCAGTCCCATTCAGACAACTGATCACACTGTGCTCATCTTTCAGGTGGCCATGGGTTAGGGACTACGTCTTACATTTCTTTACATAGTGGAGGCCTAGGGTAAGTTTCTCTTCCAACTTTTCAAGTGTTACCAACTCTTAGTGCAAAGGATACCTCAATGGCACACAGAGGAGAACACAACAGGATTTTTTAAGAATTTAAACATAAAAGTTGTTTACAGTAACATCATTGCTTGCAGAAATACACTGGGAGTATAAATGTCTATAGATATCAGAACTGTTAAAACTTGCCAGCATTGAATGAAAAGCAATAGCTTCATAGCTCCCTACAAATTCATCCCTTCCAAAAAGCAGGCATGGCTGGAAAGGTTGTCTTGTTTTGACATAAGCCTGAATATCTCAACTGCATGAGACAACACAAGGAGATAGACCAGATTGAACCAGAGAAGCAACTAAATTCTTACACTTCATGATTGGTATAAAGTTTCAAAATAATATATTCCATCATTTTTTCCATGGGAATGTGTATTTTGAGTTTCATTAAAAAAATGAACCATTCTTTCAAAGGAATCTTTCTGATGCCACACAAGGAAAGTTTTGTGTGGCTGTAGGAAAGATTAATGAAGGTGAAAAAGATAGAAGTACAATCTTACTATTTCCCTTGTCTCAGGCAAACCACAACCTCTAACACAGACAACTGAAAATTAAAAACAGTGCTGCTTTCTTATAACCTACCTCTTAAGATGGGGAGATATTGTATGCTCTTTGTAGCAAAACAAGAGGTACAAGGAAGTAAAAGTTCTATTCTAAGTCATTCTAAACACTGAACCAGTATGCACTTAGTCTTTCTAACAACAAACTCCAAACCACCTGAATACCTGAAGTATCACAGCAAATCAGCTCACTGAAGAGCTGATAGAGCAGTAGAATCCACAGACATATGGAGTAAGGAACAAGGAAGATGCAACTCTGTTATCTGAACCAGTAACCTGAATCAAACTGCAATCAACAGGAAATTCCACAGAAAGTGCAATAAATTCTGTAAATGAGAGCTAAAAAAAAAGATGCCTCCAGAAAGTGCTTGTGGTTGGCAGTTTTCTGACACATACGTTCTGCTTCCCCTCTCTGGTGGTAAAATTTCACTTCAGTAAAAAGGGTTGTTGTGCCTTTTAAAATTCTCTACCTCCGAATTGTTGTTGCTCTACTGAAACTACTGTAAATCCTTCCTTCTCTGTTAGAAGTTTTCAGAAGTTTGAGATTCAGTTCTTCATTCCCACAAAAATGCAGATGGAGAGAGAATTAAAAATAATAACTTTGCACAAAATAGAAAACATGTCAGCCAACACACTGTTTGATTTTTCCAAATTATTAGCTGGCTTACCAACCGCTTGTTAAGAATCTGGGGCTTTGTATTTTGTTTATTTCCTAATACTTTTATTTTGAGTAACCATTCTTCTTTTGAAGAGACCAAATCAATAAAATGGAAGAAAACTGCCAAAAATGCCTTTCTCTCATATTTCCTCAATCAGCTTTATGTAAAGCAGGTAGGGCAGTCTGCTTTCGTCTCTGGAGGATGGGTTTTTGTTGAATTGTGAAGGAGGAGAATTTTAATTATTCTTCCAATTCAGTAACTGAAATAGACACTTCCCTCCAAAAATAATCTTTTTCATGAATCTGAGTATCACATGACTCAGGATTTGAGGTTAAAGGCTCCAAGGATCTAATCTAAAGGCTCTCTATGAGCCTTTAGAGGCCATTATCACTTGTCATTATAGGTTCTTATTACTAGTCTAACTATTTTTACTTATCAAGCTTGATAACAAAGGCAGATCATTTCACAAAGTCTCAGCTCGGGTAATTATGATAGTTGCATCACAGACAAAGAGGCAAAGCAACTTCCTCACAGCCAGGCAATTCAGTAATCATCTCCAGACAAAATTAACAATTCATTATTTTCTCTATATACTATCAGAGAAATACAGTGCTTTTAGACCTTGACTTCTATCTACCCATAATGAAGCATACCATTTGGCAATCCTACATACTCCTTATAAATAAAACTTTGCAAGAGAAGAAATTTGCATTTATTTCAATTGTGCTGCAAAATGAAATGTGACAGAAGCTCAAGGACTCTTTATTAAGTGTAAATAGTAAAAAAAATTATCTACCTTCTGCTATGTCAAATGTCTAAAAAGTAGGGTAGGTTGAATCCAGGTGTTTTCAGTAAACACACAGTGACAATATTTTTAACCCTCCCCATGCCACAAGCAGCAAAGCAAAAAGAAATTACATCTTACATGCTAGTGGTGGCAAAAACACGAGTGGTGGCAAATCAGGGATCTGTCACAAAGTAAAGGATCACAAAAGCATTCTAAATGTTGAATAGGCAAAAATTGAGAAAGGTGCTGTTCAATAAAAGTCAAGACAACATGGCTTTCTCTGTGTTGTAACACAATCTGAACTTTGTACCTTGCCCTCACACTTAAAACAAAAAAAATACTAACCAAACAAAACAAAACAAAAAAATTAACCATTTGTTCTTATAAGAAAAGTAACAGGGAATTAGATCCTGCAATGACATGAAATGTTACCAGGAAAGGCTGTTTTGGGCAGTGTACAATAATAATACAGTTTGGTGCAATTAGGTTTCATTGTATTTCACTAGGAAACTACCATTCCCAGTTAATACCATGAAAGCTCCCACTTGGAGAAATGCTTTCACAAGCCCAGGTATCAGAGAAAAGGAAAAAAAAAAAAATCTGTGCAGTCACAGGAATTAATCCTTTGTGAATTAAGAATCTTTAATTCCAAGAGGATCTCTAAGGTTGTGCATTTAAATGGGAGGATTTCATATTCATTGAAATAACATAGCTTAGATGTAAAGCACAGCAATAGTTAAATATGCAGAGTTAATACAAAACCATACCATGGAATACCTGCTGATCATTAGACCTTAAGATTTTTTATAATATGTCCAACAGACAGTGTTTCTAGATTTATGTGCTTTGTAGGAGAATCTTCTGACACACTGCCTTAGAGGAACCAAAAAAGTTCCTTTGTTCTCAAATCACTTATAAACCCTTTGTTCTTGAATCACTTATAAAGTCTCGCTTCAAGAATCATAGTATCTGAAGAGTTTATTTCAATACAACAAAGCTGGTAAAATAAAGCAACACAACATTTTCAACATGAAAAGCAGCCTAAGGGAAGTATTCAGATAGCCTGAGATATGTTTCAGAGACAGAATTTTGTGCCTAACTAAGCAGTAGGAAAATTCAGACACTTGGGTGATGAGAGAACACATTCCATAGATTGGACTGTCCAACAGCTTGGCTATTCCTTAGTCAATTCCTGAGGAAAAGACAGATCTGCAGGATTTTCAGTGGCTTGGCAATAGTGTTAAGTTAGCTAACAGTGTTAAGAAAATTGGTGTGGGTGAGACTATATTAAGGCTTTTCTTAAGGTATTCCTTAGTATTCACAGAATCACATAACTGAAGGGGTTGGAAGGGACCTCGAAAGATCATCGGGTCCAACCCCCCTGCCAAAGCAGGTTCCTTAGAGCAGGCTGCCCATGCAGGCATCCATACGGGCCTTGAATATCTCCAGAAAAGGAGACTCCACAACCTCCCTGGGCAGCCTATTCCAGTGCTCCGTCACCCTCACCGTGAAGAAATTCTTTCGTGTGTTGGTGCGGAACTTCCTGTGCTCTACCTTGTGACCGTTACTTCTTGTCCTGTCCCCGCAAACCACTGAAAAAAGGTTGGCCAAATCCCTCCGTCTCCCACACCTCAGGTATTTACACACATTGATGAGATCCCCTCTCAGTCTTCTTTTCTCCAGGCTGAACAGACACAGGTCTTTCAGCCTTTCCTCACAGGGAAGATGCTCCAGGCCCTGTATCATCTTTGTGGCCCTCTGCTGGACTCCTTCCAAGAGATCCCTGCCTTTCTTGTACCGGGGAGCCCAGAACTGGACACAGTACTCCAGGTGAGGCCTGACCAGGGCAGAGTAGAGGGGGAGGATCACCTCCCTTGACCTGCTGGCCATGCTCCTTCTAATGCACACCAGGATCCCATTGGCCCTCTTGGCCACAAGGGCACAGTGCTGGCTCATGGTCAACCTGTCGTCCACCAGGACCCTCAGGTCCTTCTCCTCAGAGCTCCTCTCCAGCAGGTCATCCCCCAGCCTGTACTGATACACGTGGTTGTTCCTTCCCAGATGCAGGACTCTACACTTGCTCTTGTTAAACCTCATTTGGTTTCTTCCATCTCTCTAGCCTGTCCAGGTCTCGCTGAATGGCAGCACAGTCTTCTGGTGTGCCAGTCATTCCACCCAGCTTTGTGTCATCAGCGTACTTGCTGAGGGCAGACACTATAAAGATGTTGAACAATTCTGTACTAGACAGCAAAACAAAACTGCTGACAGTAAGGAAGCAGCTACAGGTAAATTCATACTTGAACAGTCATTGACCCTCTCAGGATAAAGTCTTAATCTCTCTTCTGGACATTAGAATTTGTTCCAAATCCTTTATTGAACCTGTGCTGTTACATTTCATGCTAAAAGTAGGTGACAATCTGATAGTTCATCCTGTCAAAAACCTGCCACTCCTAGACTCTCTACCATCCAATGAAACCTTGATTTCTAGTAAACACTGAGAATATAGACTCTCATGTTGTAAAAATGAAAATAAATCCCATTTGTAGAACCAGAATGTTTGTTTTCCAAATCAAATGTCAGTACTGCTATTTTATATTGTCCTTGTCATCAACATTTGTAGGATTCCCACAACAGATGTACACAACTCAGCAGCTCATGTGTAACCATGAGTCTTGCTCTTCTCATGCTTTTTAATGCTTACCTACTCATATGAACACTGGTCTTTGAATGAATTTAAGAAGACTATTCCATCTCATTTCCTAGTTAAAAAAACATCCAAGTATTTTAATATCATGTTTTTTCATAAAATTATTTGTGTTGTTCTAATGCAGTCTGTTATGTTTTTTAATGTTACCAGTTACAGTTTTAACTATTATTGAAACTACAGACTAATACTAAATCTGAATACTAATTATTGTTATTCCTTAAACACATCTACAACAGAAAGAACTATATGCTATGATAAAGAACAACTATTGCATAGAAGTGCCCTATTTCAAATTTTTATCTGAGAACTTAGTACTGCTGAGCTTTTCCTAGATAGGACATTGTTATGGATGTGAAATGATACAATTAAAGATCTGCTGTAGTTTTTCAAAAATTGGTTTAATCAGATTTAGACCGATTTGCATCCAATATACACACTACTTTTGGCAGAGAAAAGGAAGGGATGTGTGTGTATCACGCTGCACAGAAGAGGCTCACAATGATCTATATTCACCCAGTTCTAACAAAAAGAAAACACTGCCATTTTACTGTATTAGCCTTTAACATGAAACTCCAAATCCTGAAAAGCCTTTTGAAATATTCTGCTGAGGCCTGAATTCATGTCTGAATGTGTAGCAAGAAGAATAAATCTAATGTGTATGCATATACACATACACTGATAAATTCCTTATTTGCATAATATGGCATGTCAGGATACTGCACATTTGTACAACTATCTCATTTTTTTATACGCAAAGTCAAAACATAATTGTTACAACACAACAGCGCAATTCCTTTTTTTTTTTTTTTTTAATTTAAATCCATGTCTTTCTATTTCCTCCCCAATCAATCTGTTTATTTTTTTCCTGGATTCAAACATCAGTTGCTGAATATCATTACTATTTAACAGTCTAACAACAAAAGAGCAGATCAAAAGACAATTTTCCTAGTGCTTTAATTTGTCTTAATAGATATCTGCGATAAAACTACTACAAGTAACCAAGAGAAACAACATCTAAAACAACTGGTATATGTAGGCAAAGTTCAACTAACTGTAAAAATAAATAGTCCAAAATGATGGTATCAATCAACTCAGTCAAAGACATGGAAGCATGCAAATGACTCTTCAACTAAAGCAATGGTTCACTTTCCAAACACTATTTAACAGAGCTAGTATCCCAAAAGCTCACATGCAAGAATCAGTTTTTCTCAGTGATCTTTGGTTTGATACTTGCTAAATATATCTGTACCTTTCTGCCCCAGATCACTACTTTTTAGCATGGAAGCACATTTGTATTTCAAATCCTCTTGAGCTGTGTAAGGAGAGAAAGCTTAAGAGAAGAATAGATACAGAGAGCTATGGAAAATAAGTACTGTACCTAACTGGTGAGATCTTCCATCCCCCAGTGGGTATCTCTGGTACCGTGGGACACTGAATGGAGGCAGGAGATGAAATCTTTTCTCCAACAGTGGTTCAAGTCTGCAGGCAGACGGATCAGCAGAGTGAAAGAAACTGTAAACTTGGCTGCAGGCTGGGCGGACCTGGCATACTTGGATGAGAATCAAACAGAGAAAGAGAGTTCAGTATTGCACCTTCACAATTTTCAAGGAGTATATACATATATAAATGATTAATATGGTCTTCTGCAACTCCAGACTAGCACATATCTGGCCATGAGAAATTTATGTAAATCAGTTACAATCTCCTCTGTAATTAGCATTTTGTTGCAAAGGAATTTTACAGAGACATCACAATCTCAGATGTAGGCATGCAGCAGACATGAAGATGAGCCAAAGAAACAAGACAGAAGTAACAAAGTAAAAAGAAGTTCAAATCTCTTGTAAATTTGTTACTGAGCATTACAACTATGATGCTCTCAGCACTTCAAATATTTACCAGCAAAATGGTTTAACAGGCCTGTTACACATAGAGGACTGAAATCTAAAGGAGATCCAGAGAAGATAGGTGACATTGCAGTTTCTGAAGTCACCTTATGAAAGCTAATGCATAGAAATGAAGCTGGTCATACTCAAAGCAATGTTTAACATTCTTGCTGAAGATATGAAAATTCTCAGAGTTTTGGGGGCTGCAACTGGAAATGGGTATTTGTCAACCATCCACTTAATCAGATAGCAGGGCATTCTTTTGATTGATTACAGGGCACTGCAGCATAACTTAGAAGGGTGATCACACAAGATGGATAAAATCTATACGACAGTGTAGTCCCTTCTCATTGAGCTATACCACACTTTAATCACTCTGAATCTTGCCAGCCTGGGTAGATGAATTCATTATGGAGAGTGTTACTGAATATTAGATCTGATGGAATCCATTTTAAATGACATTTCTTATCAGAGTACCCATCATAGATATAAAAAAAATTTAAATCAAAGCACACTACTTAGGTTCTTTCTAATTTTCAAGAGCAGCAGTAAAGGTATTTGTACATCAGAAAAATCGCACTGAGAAAACTTGACACTGTTCAACTTTCTCTGCTGCAGTCAGTCACAACGAACTACCTATATCAGAGAACACTACATTCTTACAGATTTTCTGAAGTCCTTCCCATGTTGCTGGAAGGACTCTAAGAATATTTATTCTGTTGCTTGCTGTTATTAATTGCATACAGGGAAAAATCTTGATGTAGACTATATCGATGTAACCGAGTTATCAACTTCTAAGACTACTTCTGAGTTGTCAAAGCAGTGTTGCCATATACAGGTCATAGCAGTACTTTGCAGCAATCTCTGTTCTGTAAAAGCTATAGGAGAGTGTCAGCAAGTTTTTATTTAAATTGGTAAGAAAATTACCCTTTTATTGTTCATAGCAAAAACCTTTCAAAGATACTTAAAAGGATGGAGAGGGACTCTTTACTCAGGTAGATAATGATAAGACAAGGGGGAATGGTCTTAAACTAAAAGGGGATAGATTTAGTTTAGACATTAGGAGGAAGTTCTTCACTGTAAGGGTAGTGAGGCACTGGAACAGATTGCCTAGAGAAGCTTTGGATGCCCCATCCCTGGAGGTGTTCGAGGCCAGACTGAATGGGGCCTTGTCCAACCAGATCTAGTGGGTGGTTGGAAGTAGATTATTTTAAAGTCCCATCCAACCCAAGACATTCTATGATACTATGATACTTCAGCACTGAGGTTCAACTTCAGAAAAACATTAATTCTAAAGATGAGGCACATGTTCATGTATCTATTTCAAACAGGGACAGACACAGGACTATTGGAAAAAGAGAAAATTCCAGTTGCTCAGAACAGAACTAGAATGGGGTTTCAGACCTGTCATACCTCATGAACAGCTAGGACACAATGTGAGACCACAAGGAACTTGTGACATGGGAGAGGAAAGAAAGGAAGACGTTCCTTTTCAATTAATATTTAAGGGGAAACTTCTACCTGCTTCTCCAAATTATCCTGCTGGTAGTGTCAAATAATACTCAGCCCATGCAAGCTGTTGAAATACATTATTGTCAGATATGCAAAATACATTAAACCCCAGCAACCAAATATATACTCAGCCCACATTTGCACAGGCAGGAACCTTTTCAAGTCTTGCTAAACCTATTATGAAGGAAAAATGGCACAGCTATTCAGAGGGTATCTAAATGCAATCCACTGATGATAGATGAAGACTAGACTGCTCCTCACATGGTATCTGAGTTAACTGCCTAAAACAGATGCAGTGATGCATGCCCATGAACAACATTTCACCAAAGTACTCTTTGTAAAACATTTTAGATTGTTATCACTGGCAACTACCAAGTTTCCAGCTGCAGGATAACCAAAACCTGCTCAGACTATCTGTTGTATGCTGATTTTTCTAGAAAGGATGATCTGTACATCAATCAGAAGAAATGCAAAATGAGAGTTTAATAATATTCTCCTCTGAAGCCACAGAACTTGATAAAAAATTCCTGTGAGATGTCTGAAGCCTCCTATACACTTTTTTTGTTTTACTTATGGCAAGTAAAATAAAGTTCATTTCATATTCCTTTCCAATTTATTTCAGCAATTAAATGCAACATTGAAAGATATCCAAATGACATTACTCAAAAGTGTATAAATTGAACTCTTACAAAGAAAAAAAACCTGGGAGTTCTGAATTGTTGTCTCTTTATATTACTGCAATGGATTTTTCTCCCTCATCTAATAACTGAATATATCATTTCCCATGAAGATACCTTGCTATCCAAACTTCATATGATGCACAGAAGCAAAAGACACACTGAAATTTGAAAATTAAATCCCTTTAAAATAAGTGAAAAACATCCAGATATATTTAAAAAAATAAAAATAAAAATCCTTTTTTATCTCTGATCACTGTGTTCTTACCAGAGTTAAAAATGGCTCACAACCAGCACTAATGGGGTTGAAATTTACACATGAAGCCAGAAGCGAACAAGATGAAATGCTGTACTAAGCACAGATGCTATTTTTGGTGTAATTTTCAAGGACTGCTCCTTGGTGAGGTATAAGCTTCATGTTGTATGGAATTTACAATCAACAGCAGAGCAAAAGACACACTGCTGTAAATGGGTGAGCAGTGACATCGCCGGAACAAACCTCACCACCTCATGCCTCAGTACCAACCTACACTAGCATTCACATCTTTTAGAAGAAACTTACTTCACTCCCCAGTTTTTAATTAGACTCTTTTATTTACCTCCTTTTAAATGTGTCTCTTTGTTTACAGAGGTCATTAAACATCCTGTATTCTAACCCCAGAAAGAGCTTACCATCCAGGCCTGGCAGAACAGTACTCCTCATGGCCAGCACCAAACCAAGTGGCGATCCAAAGATGAAGAAATCAGACACCTCAAATTCAAATCGGCCCAGGTTTACTTCTGAGAGACTGGAATTCACAGGAAGAAAGTCTGCATCATCTTTCAGCACACTTGAGTGGATGCTGAGCAAAGAAAACGCACTGATTCAACAATAATCAATCCAGAGAAGAAATCCATTCCAAAAACAGGCTGCTTAGAAAGCTCTAACACCTGCATCAAGATCCAAGCAATATGCCTTAAACTGTAAAAAGATTAATAACAGTATAGCAGCCATTTATGATTTCCAGTGTGGCCATTAATTAAGTTTACTACCTTCAACATACAAGTTTTCTACAGTTAAAATACTTATCAGTAAGTTATGCAAGGACTCTTAAAATTGAAGTCTACCTCCCTTCCCTTTTAGCTGTACAGATGTATGTAAGCTATTCTGCAACTTTTGCTACAAATTTGAACTTACTCAACTTGTGTAAGGACAATGGTATTAAAAAGTTACAGTTGTACAAGTACATAAAAAAGCATTGCTTTTATGTGTTCTGTGAGCTATGAAACAGAAGTTTACAACTTTTCAACTAGTTATTAACTAGTTATTACAGGTTAAAATTAGTGATGCTTATAGATATATTTTAATCTTTTAAGCGATTTAAACATGTTCATTTATTTTCTGTGCCATATATGCATATGGTAAATACAGATCACCTATCCTTCATGGACAAAGAAAATACTCACCCCTCATTTAGCTTTGTGAAAGATGAAATTACTACATTCAGATGCAGAACATTAGCACATATACATATACACCCCGCTCGCTCATGAAGCATCGTGAGACAGAGCAGAACATGTCGCAATAGCATGCAAAACCTGACTGAGAGATGCTGACCATGCTATCACCAGAGCTGTAACTGAAGCCCTCATGAGTTACCTGCACACTACACTTTACATCAATGGTCAATCATGGCTCAGAATCCAGAAATCCTGAAGACTTGTCCTGAATCAGACCATAACAAGACAATTCTTTCAATCTGAGAACCTGACATTCTCAAATTATAACCTGATGTTATTAATCAAAACTCCCAAAAAGTAATTAAAAAAGTAACTCAAAAATCAGTTTCTCTGTGAAAGAGGGATCTTTGTAATCTCATTACTCACACTGACACACTACTTCCAAATAGCAGTATATAAGCACGATAAAAAAGGTCTAGTGATCTTATGCAAGTCTCACAGCCTGGACAGGGTGGGGCAAAGGATGATATGGTTTGGTTTGGTTTGACACTTTCCTCCCCCACCCTCTCAAGGAATATTTTCTGCCTCCTTTATATAGGTATACGCAACTCTTCTCAAATAACCGCAACAGCCTGAAGTTTGAGGCGTCCAAACTGTGAATGGAAGAAAACATCCAACTTCTTGCTTAAGTACAGCTCTGTGAAAAGCTTTTAGTTTAAAATACAGACATCCAGAAAACTAAAAGAGAAGACCTGTAAAAAGACAGTTATCTGTGTCTTTTTAATTATGCTATTATCCCCCAAGTATAAAGTAATTTATACAATCCAGCACTGTACTTTATACATAGCACAGTACTCCTATAGAGGAATCTAAAATAACTGACAAAAAAGTTTTCAGTTATGGAAAAGTAAAACCAACCATTTTGCCTCAGAGGGAAGATGCAACACGCTGATATTAAAAAAAAATAAAAATAAAATAAGTTTGAGGCAATAAAATTACCGTAAGCTGCTACTAAAAAAACAGCCAGAGTGAAGTACAACACAGTAGTAAGTCTGCACTGTACTTAAACTGTAGCAGCACTTGAATACACATTACGACTTCTCCGTTTGCATCACTCCTGATGAAATAAAGGAAATGAGATGGATAGAGGAATAAAAAGCACAAATAATTAGGAAGTAAAAAGCAAGCAAAAGCTCAGAACAGGCAGAAACAACAAGGCAAACAAAAGGAATGCTGATTTTCCCATCATATTTGTATTTAAAAGGTTTCTTAGGACCCAAGAAAGCTAATGAGATTAAATCTTGCCTCCAGCCTCCTCCCCATTTAGGCCTGACATTTACACAGTTTTAGCTGTTGTTCTGTTTTAAATATGCTCTGTATAGCCTGTAGACCAATTAGAACACCAAAAGCAATTATCTCACTCTTTAGAGAATAATGGAAAGTCTGTAAGTGAAGTCCAAGAAAAATGTAACAGTAATTCAGAATTATAAAGCATTCATCCATCTTGATGTGTGTGGGCCCCACTGAAGAGATGAATCTACCTACATTTAGTTTTGCATATTCAAATCATTCACAGATGATTAAAAGTTAAAAAACTCTCCACATGTGAGTAAATTAATGCTAGACACACTATATCCATGGCTTTGTTTGAAAAGTATTTGCAGGGACTTGAAGCAAACCTCCAGAAATACACCATAATCAATAAAAACGACTCTGTTCCACTGGCAGTGACAGGCTGCGTTTAGTGGCAAGCCTATTTCTTTTACTCAGTCATCACACACTAGTTACCTAGACAGGAAAGCATGATGTTGGGTTATAGTATCACAGCCATAGGTGGATGAGTCACTCTGTTTCCTAGGCAACTGCTGCCTTGGGTCCTCATCCTCCATGATTTCCGAGATGTCAATATTGCTTTTGCTCAGGCGTTTGCTGCCACCCAGACTGGAATCATCTGTTAAAAGGGGATTATCCTACAGAGAATGAACAGAGCAAAAAAGAAGATTTAGGAAGGGACTGAAATATAACAGAGCTGCATTTATACATTTGACCTCATTTTATCCAAGGAAGGGTGGAAGGGGTTAGACTTTCCTGTTGCTGGAGAGGATATGGAAAGAGATGAAGACTAAATTACCCTGTAAGACGTACAGCCTAAAAGCTAGAAGGAGAATCAGGATTTTTTTTTTTTTTTTTTTGGGGGGGGGGTGAAAGGGAGGGGAGGGAGGCATAGGGACGGTGGTGGGAAGAGTAACACGAAGGCTTCATCCCTTGTTGACTTCATCATTCTTAAAAACTATTTATAGTTTTTTTCTTAAAAAACTATAAATATTATAAAGTAATCAGAAGGGGTCTTACCTGAGTGCACAAAATGCCATTAGAACATTAACAGTCTTGCTTATTATGTTCCATGGATGCAGAACCTGATTTTTAAAGAATGAACTTCTGTGGGATGCAAGAGGAGACCGGTGGTACCATATCTTTAAGGTACCCCTTTAAACAGGAAATACATGTATTTATTGTTCATTTCCTCCAGCACTTCTGCAGCTTACATCAACATCCTCTCTGATTTTTTTTTTAAATTAAAAAATATTTCAATCATATGAACATCAGCAAGACACATTAGGCGAAGAGTTATCTCTTCTAATTGTGTGATTAACAGTTTTTGTCCATATCCTACTAACTCTATAATGCAGTATTAGAATTCACAGTATAGAATTGTAGAATCAAAGAATCATTAAGGTTGGAAAAGATCTCCAAGGTTATCAAGTCCAACCATCCCCCCTACCAACACATCCAACCTTGCCTTAAACACCCCCAGGGATAGTGACTCCACTTCCCTGGGCAACTTGTTCCAATGTCTAACCACTCTTTTTGGGAAGAAATTTATCCTAATTTCCTACCATAATTTTTCCCAATTTCCAACCTAATTTCCAACTTGCATAATACCATGCAACTAACATTAGCATCCTAATAACTTGGATAAGATAAATTTAGGACCAGCATGTTCATAGACAATTATTCCTGTCTATATATCCTACATACGCACATATTCCTGTCTATATATTTCATGCATCTATGATTATATTACATATTACATATATTACATGCATATATATATATACATATATGCATATATATATATGCATGTAGGATTTTTATCTGCATTTCATGGTAACATGTAGCAAAATTCATACCACGCCAACTTTCTGTAGCTGTATAAGCTATATAAGCTGTATAAGCTATATAAGCTGTATAAGCTATATAAGCTGTATAAGCTATATAAGCTGTATAAGATTTATGACCTTGCTTTGCACAATAATAACTGCATCTATGTTGTTAAAACTAAGCCTCACTTCTGGCTTTTTAGTTGCTACTATTATTAAAAGGCAGAGAACTGTTCCACAGGGCCGTGTAGGAGGGGAGGGTTCCTGCACTGTGTTGGGAGATAACTGCCCCTGCTGCTTTGTACACTAAAGTGACAGAAAACCGAAAGCAGCAGCCCGTGTAAATAAAACATGTGCTTCCTTTGAGTTCAACCCAGAACCAACTACAGGTCCTCCTTGTTTTTGGTTTCATTTCTGTTTTGTTGGTGCTTGTTCGTTTTAAAAATCTGAAACTGACTCTACATAGCTTAACATGTCCTGCAGTTTACAATCCTACATTGAAGCTCTGTTAACACATCAATGCTTTTTTTACCATCTCTATCTATTCTGCAGAACACCAGGGTTCTTCTAAAGCCAGAATTTCTATGTCCAAACTTTCCTGATAAAGTTAACACAGGAACTTTATTTTATAGATTCTCAGGACTGTTTTTATAGAATTCTGAGGAACATTTGTGAATGCCATGTCTTAATCTGTTCATGTGTCATGACTACTTCAAACTGATTCAGTAGTCAAAAGGTTTTTATTTACCTCATAGCCTCCATGATGAGTTCTGATCTCTAGCTTGTTCCTAACCAAAAATGCCATGAAAATATATGTATTTTTTATGGTTTTAATTTTAAAACTTGCATGTTACAAATATTCTGCATGCAACCTTTGACCAAAATACCAATTTGGCAGATGTTTTTACTAGTAATTAATTTATTAAAATTTTACTAGTAATTAATTTATTAAAATGCTAAGAATATTCAAATACACTACATGGAGGTGAACCCACATACAGAGCTGAAAGGGAATTTTTAGAGATTGAACAAAAAGCCCATGAAGTCCTCTGATAAATCCACTGTTTTTAATGGGCAAAGCACTTAAATATCATACCATTAGTGACTTCTGAAAACCATGTAAGTACTCAGAGCCTCATGAAAACCCTGGTGACATTTTAATGCTCTGTTTGTTAAAACCATGTGGCAGATACATCAGCATCTCAGCTCCCATTACTTTTTAAAAAGTCATTGCTGTCAATAGACTAAAAAAATAGGAATCCTTGATGTTGCCAGAGAAAAAAAGCAGATGAAAAAATCTCAAGATGATGAAACATTTTGGTGTAGGACTGTTGATTTACTGGTGGCCTCAGGAAGAGGGCTGGTTGTTGAAAAGCCATAGAGATAATAGTAATGTAAAACCAAACACTTGTTTTAGTCACTCTTATTTCTTCACAGTATTCAAAAACTAGCTTGTGACACCACAGAACTAGCTGATAAGACTGCTTACTAATGGAAGCTAATGTCTTCATCTCTGAAAGGCAGCAACAATTCACTTTTGTCCACTAAGCTTCACTAACAGATTCTCTTTGCAGAGAGTGTGTTCTTCTCTTGCATCACAAGATAACCTCAGGTCATATTTTGCAAGGGGCTAAATTTTGATGTCATGGGTTGGAGCATTTAGGTTCACCTTCATGACGGTCTTTCTTGCATACCATGAAAGAAACTTTGCCAACTCAGCATTTGTATCAGCCAGATCAAAGCGTGTCAAACATTTCTGGAAAATATATTAAACCACTTAAAAACACAGCAGGTAATACAGTAGAAGTTTGATATGATCGGTGTAAAGACCATATGCTACATTTCAAATAATTAAAAGCCTGTTATTCTTTGACACGAGCTCTCTCAATGACCCCAAATGCCACAATTAAAATCCTATCTGCAGTAAAATGCAATCAGTAATTAGGATCTGAATCAGTCACCCACAGTTGGTTTTTATGTATTATTTATCCATGTGGTTCAAATCATCACCTTTCTCTATTTGTCCTAATGAAGGGTTGTCTGCTTCAAGATGGTGAGTATTTTAGCTGTTGCAGCAAGACAGCAACAGATACAGTACTCCCAACCAAGTGCAGAGTTTGCTATTCTAAGATCTTGGGTTTCCACCTCCAATGACTGATGAAGGTCATTTCATCCTGCTATACCTAAAAATCTCTCGGAGTGGTATGATGATGGTGACGATGATGATAACACTGGCTTTCTTTGCTAAGCATTTTAACTTTTAAAAATGTAATTGATTTTTATAGGGCAAGAGTTATTAGTCTGGTCTGAGCAGAGTGACATTTGCTCTACTGCTGGTTCTTTTATTGAACGTGAAGACACATTTTTAAATACCGCCCCTGAAAGGCATGTACAGGTAACAATCATGATCTCAGTAATCACTTACATTTCTGCCTGTACTGTGGAAATCACTACTAATTACATATAAGCCTCACTTGATATGTAGTGTATATTGAAAACTAAAAAACATAAAAGACCGCAACACAAAACAATAAATATTCACCTGTGATAGTACTGAATGTACCACTCTTATTCCTTATTTACACTGCTGTAAATAAGCAGTTTCTCTCCCCAAAAACAGTTTATTATAGAGCCTGAAACTGTGAATTATTCAGAGAATGTAATGGTCACTGCATCACCAATCATAGTTATTATTATAAACCACTTTGAAATAACCAGAGTTTGAAGGTACCTTATTTACTCTATTTTCAGGGTTCATAACCAGAGCATACAATTAACTGGTTTAGAGTACCTCAGTCTCATCCTTATTTCCAGTTAGTTTTATTTCTGACATTTGTAAAATATTTCCCTCATATTTCTGTGCTTCAAAGCCTTCCAATGAGATCCATTTCTACAGGCGATACCAAAGAAGGAAAAAAAAAAAGTAAAAGGGGCGCCCTGATTGTGTTTCACAGGAGCAAGCTGGGAACAATGGGCAGGAAGACAAGATAAGGAATTAAAGGAATTATTAGTTCTTCTGAACTTACAGAATATTAGAGATGAAAATGGGAGGAGAAGAAGGAAAAACTGGGGAGAGACTTGGGAAGTGAAGCTCTGTGATATCATGGAAAAGAAGGAAGAAGGAAAATTGAAACTATAGGCAAGAGCAGTGAAGTCAAAACAACCTGTCTTCCTAAAGTCTGATCCTTGCTCTCAGACTGATTAGCAACCTTTCTATAATCAGTCTCACTGCAGGACTGGGATCCAGGAGGTCAATTTCTCCGTTTATGTTGCTTGCAACACACTATTCTCAGTGCTGGCACTGTCAAAGGTTTCCTGCTGAGACTCCAGAGTCATGTCAGAGAAAAACTTCTCTCCTGGAAATGTTTAGAGGATGTGTCTTTGCTGGAGAGTGCTACCATATTCACATGCTACTCTGTAACACATAGCTCTCTGAATGAACTGAGAAGGCTGGTATAATTGATCCCATTTTTGAGGAGAGAGGTAACTGAAGAGTCAAAAGAAGAAACAATTTAGCCAGTGTCACAAAACCATCAAAGAATGGAGTGCAGGCAACTCATCCAGTGTCAACTGGAGTGTCAGCACTCTGCATCACCTCTGCAAATCCACTTGAGTCGGAAGTAGATAAGATTAGTTGAACTCCAGTTTTCTTTCTTAAGTGGAGAACACAGTAATACTTCCTATATGCCAGTAGAATTTTAAAAAAATGCTCTTCTCCTACAATAAAATCTTTCCTGGACCACAGAATTAATCATCCCTTCACCCCAAATACAGCACTCATCTAGAGACTCAGTTATGCTCAGTGGTCCATTCACACATCCTCAGGTGACTTAATTCCTCATCAAAAAGGAGGCAGTCTTTCACCAGTCAGTAGAACTTATTCATGAGCATATTATAATGTTAGACTACCCCTAGGCACTAGCATAATTGATTCCATAGCGTCTGGAATTCAATTTTTTTTTTTAAAAAAAAGAAGATTTTGGAAAAACAGCAGCCTGTGATTACCGAGATGACACATTTACATCTACAGTGAGGGATTAGGTATGCAATAAAAGACACTCTGTAGCCCAACGTTAAAGATTTACCAATAAAGCCTTCACTAGTGATTTTTATGCATCATAAAATTGAATATGCAAACTTTATTTTCAGATGGCAATTTTTTGATATGTGAGAAAAATCATGTGCTATCATTGCAATTTACCAAATCATTGATTTTTTTCTGGTTTATATGGACCTGAATTTCCAATTGTCCCCCCAGGGAATGAATCTATAGGATTTCAGCTTAGTAGATTTTATTCTCTTCACCTGGATGCTGCTGATGCTTCCTCTCCTGCTACTGTTCCGACTCTCATCAGCTCTATTAGCATTATAGCAGATGGCATCAAAACCCAAAATTCCTCCAATGCAGTCACCAACAAGACACACCTGAGGAAATAAAAATATACTTTGTGGGATGTAGCAAGTGTTTTACAAGAAACAAAAACCATCACTGCACTGCATAGGAGCTCCTGTCTTAATTTACACCCTTGTTCCTGTTTTTTATAGAGTGTAGTTCCTATTGCAGCTGAAAACGTCTAGTCACTTTCTTTCATCTTCTCTCATCTGAGGAACTGATCTACAGACATATGCCCTATGCCAAGAATATCTGTCCCAGAGGCTGTTCTGACCAGCAAGAAGTTCTTCCAAATGGGCCAGAATTCTTTCACCTACTTAAAGCCTGCTTCCAGCTTAAAATGTCCAGATCACTGGAGAACCATCTTACAGATTTTAAGCTACCTAACACTTCCTGCAGTCAGATAGGGTAGAAGATTTCAACTAATTAAAAACAAATTGGTATTGTCCCTGTCAGGACAAGGGAACAGAACTTTTAAATGAGGTATTAAAATGAGACTCACTTCACATTTAATATCAACATACAAGCTACCTTCAAAATACAGGCCTGGGAATTAAAATAAATGAGATATTAAAATTGGCAATTCAGTAGTTGAAGTAATTTTAAGGAACATTAGAATCTACCTCAAAAGCTGATTGTGCTTAACAGCCCCACAATCCCATAGGAGACAATTCTTTCACCCTGTCCCCCTGCCTCTTTCTTGTGAGGTATAACTGCTCTCTCCTTGTTAACAAATTGCTCTCTTCCACCAGTTTCAGCAACCTATTCTGTATGTTTCTCAAACTGAAGAAAACACCCGGTCTGTTGTTCCCAACTCCAATCAGTTTAACAGAAGATATTACTTCTCCTTACAGACCTTAACTTGCTTGTAGCCTTAAATCATCTTGGCTACAACACCAAACTACACGATTGGAATACCAGAATGTTGTACATGATACCTTCAAAGTGAACTGTGTTAGGAAAACAGAGCACTTTGAGATGCAGGTAGGAAAATAACCTCAAGCCCCTCTCAGTGTATCTCCATATACCAGGCTCTCTTAACTGAGAGTTAACAGTTAAAATCACATTTCTCAGGATTTAAAAAAAAATAATATATCAAAATACATGAAGGTAACATCTATCCTAAGATAACTCTAATTCTGAAGTAATATATAATTAACCAAAATGCTGATTTAATCTCTGATGTTCAGATTCTTATTAACATTCAATGAAGTCAACAAAGAACTGAAAATCACATGGAGACCGGTAGCCTTATTAAAACCAACAACATGTTTTGTTGGAGATTAATTATATCTCCATGAATTTACATTTCATTTCTAATCCTCACTACTATTGGCACTAAGGTAATGGAGATAATTTGCTCCAGATGCTGCATAAAATCCAATGGGCAGCCTTTGATCTGATGAACTTTCAATATAAATGGACAAAAGAGACCAAAATATGAGAGAAAAGAGACACACAGGGTGGAGTCGGGTTATATGGCATCTATTTTAGAAATATATTATTTATTCAGAGGTTGAACTGAGATTTCTATCTAAGGAACACAGCAAAGAACTGCAGACAGCACAGAGAAGTCACTTTTCCATTCTAGCAATACTGGTATTTGTTGATGGTAAGAAATCTGTGGAGTGTACAGGGGTCATGACTTCTGCACATATAATACTAATTCAGAGTCTGCAGCAAAAAACGGAGATTTCTTTGTCTCTTTGTCAAATAAAAAATTCTACTGATAATTATTTTTACAATCATTTCTGTAACTTGTATAATTCCTCTTTTCATAATCTCACATTTTATAATGCTCTATCACTGAAGATAGTCTGTTTCTACGTTTCAAGCAAGAATAGCTTGCTGTGAACAGTAAAACTGGCTTCAAACCAAACTGTAGTCTAAAAATGCCAAAGCATAATCTTATTGCTATGGAAAATAATCTGTGTTATAAGACACATGCTTTCCTTCAAAGATTATACTATATTCTGAATTGTTTTTTTCTTTTGTTTTGCAGTCTGGACATCATTGTACTTTAAGGAAGTGAATGTTTGCAGCTATGTATAGGGCCCCATCACAAAAAAAAATAAATCAGTAATTTATAGAGGGTAGCAGTACCATATTTATTGTATGTGAAGCAGGAAAGTACTACTTTTTCTAGTCTAGAGATGGAGAAGTAGGAACAATAATTGTGACATATGTCAGCTGGAAGAAATCTGCAGGTGACTTCACTGGGGAGTGGATCAGACTGAAAAAAATAAATGACCATCCCTGAGTTGCATAAGAAACCTGCAACACTGTCAGCAACTGAATATTTATTTTTGGGGTTTCTTTACTGTCAACTGCTTTACTACTACTGTGATAGAGGCAAAAAATAAATAATAACTGTTAAATTTCCTTTTGCTCTTAGTCAGAGATGTGCTGATGTCCCAACTCTTCCAACATCCATAGTAGGTGTGTGATGATGAACTTGGTAACATAGATTAGCACTTGTCTTGAGTTGGCAGGCTTGCTCGCTGCTTAGCATAATACACTCTTATTGCACAACTAAGGCTCCTAAACATTACCGGAGCTCACAGCAATAATTAACAAGAGATTAGGACTCAAAATGGTCATGGGAGAAGGTATAATATCTTCTACCAACTGAGTAAGTCCAGGTAAAATACTGCATAGGATTCCAGAAGGGTCTTTCTCATGCTGGGCACAATTCCAAGATAATGTTCATATACATCACATTTACAGTATTGTTCCCACACTCATAACTCAAAACCATCAACACAGATCAGAAGTGGTTTAACAAGAAACAGTCTTACTTTAAAGGAATTTTACTTTGATGTAGGAGAAGAATAGTCCTACCTGTCCATTAAAACCAACCCCATCTGCAGATTTGAGAAATTCATTGTAAACTTGGTTTGCTCTAGTAATCACCATGGCAACTGCATCCTGGTACTGAGGGGATGAAACAGCCAGCAAGGGCAAGGCAGCCAGTGGGATGTGGTCTTCACTGCTGCTGAGACAGCTTTCATCATAACTGTAGGGATTTAGGCTAAAGAAGAACATGCTATCATCAGGAAAAATGCAAAAGGCATCACACAGCATTAGTTAATGAACAGTTACTTATTAACAGAAATGGGCTTTGCTATTGCAGTTGACAATGAAAGTACAGGAAGGATTATTTTCTCACAACACTCAACAGCTTAACAAACATGGAGTTACTGCTTTACAAAACTGAGACAATGCTAGAAGGCATTCCTGTAATTAAGCACACATGGTGCAATTTTTCTGCCTTATTTTTACATGTAAAAGTAGACATAATTTAGATGAATGAAGAGATTATTATTCCCTTTTAGCTTCCCCCCCATATACTAATTCACTACATTAAAAAATGGGATCAAATAATCACAATGAAGTATTGTTTCACAGAACATGTGACAGGCACATTGTTCAAAAGTGTATAAAAACATTCTTTCCAATGTTCCGCCCATTCAAACAGCTGGAACAAAATTGCATGTGTTCTGAAATTACATGTAATTGTTTGCAGAGTAACATTTTGCAAAAAGGTGGAAACTTGATAGAAAATGCAAGCTTAAATTTGTCAGAATGCCAGTTTTGTTTTAGTTTGGATGTGTACCCTGCAACTTTTTCAGAAAATCTGTCAGTCATGTCTCAACTGATTTTTATTGATGAGTGGAGTCAAAGGTGAAAGTCACATTACTGTGTGCCAGATTCTCTTCCAGTAAGCTGACTGTCCAGTAAGAAGCGTTTTCAACAACTCAGCTCATCCAAAGTTCATCCAAAGCCATAGGCAAGCAAATTCAATACACTTCAACATTATTTTGCAGTCACTATCTTTAGGAACTTTGTAGGCTATCACAATATTGAAAAGTGAGCTCCTTGAACTGGAGTAAAGTCTGTGTCTCTGCTAAAATCTGCATCCTCAGGGCTATCACCAGGGTAACAGAAGAAGAAAAGATGACTTGCAATGCTCAAGTATGAAGGTCAGTCTGTATTCATATCCTCAGCTTCACAGAACGTTTCCATACTTGACTATTGCTGAAGCACTCCAGTGATTTGGTAATATTCGAGCAGAGCAGGAGCAACAGAAAGGAGGAAAAAGGAAGAAACTTTTTCTGAATGTAGAAAGCATGTAGCTAAATACAGGTGAAGATGAAACACAGGTCCCTCATAATTTCCTTAGGTCAGTCTCTGGCCACAGCAGAGGTGAAAGGGGACAGCACAGGGGAAAATCACCTACGGAGGAACACTGGTTTGGATAACTATCAAACCTTGACCTTGCCCACTTGTGAATAATGAAAGGATAAAACACTACACAGACAACCAAGGGGCAAAGTATGTTTCACCTCAATCGGGTAAGGCTTTTCTCTCCCACTTCTTGCAGTACTGCTAAAGGCAAACAAACAGTGGGAACAAGATAACATTTTGCAGTTGTGAGCAAAGTACTGTCAGTAATTTAGTTGGATAACCATATTTCTTGGCACAGTTCTTTAAGAATTTAAGAAATGGAAGAAAATCTCAAGAAAATACTACCTCTATATATATGAGACAAAAACAACGTAGTGCTCCACTGCGGTCATTAACTTTCCTGTCTGGTTCTTGTTTAAACACGAGGTTTGGTCTGCAAGGAGGTAAAGGAAAGTGATTCTTTGGTGTAGTAACAACAAACGTATTTCAAGACCTAATTCTGCCACAGATTTCTTACCTTCAGCAAGTATCTAGCTCCTCTGTGCCTACATTTCACAGACATCTCACTGCCTTAGCTCACAGGGTTAAAACTAGCTAAACTCTTAAATACAGTAGCAATGTCATCCACAAGCATTAAAAATGGAATTTCAGTCAGGGAGTTGATACCAACTCCAGAATTAGGCAGCATTAATTCTTAACTGAAAAATGCATCTTGTGCAATTTAATAGTTTATTAAAAGAGATGAAATTTTAACACCTAGAAAATTACCTTGTCTTGTACACCCTTGTTGCTGTACAGTGAAGTCACTTATTTACGTTTGGATTTTTCCAGGCTGAGCATTTGCATTAATTCCTCTTAAGACCATCCCTGTTTTACATAATGCCCTATAGCAAAAACCTGGTACTGCTCTGGAAATAGATTTTGTCAGTTTTCAAGACCCTCACTAGGTTTAAGGTATGTTGGACCAAAGAGTGTGAACAGTTCAGAGGCAATGTCTCTTTCGCTAAAAGACTTTCCCTGTCTTTTAAATTATTTTATTGTGTAATCAGATTCTAACAATGTTCTTTCTTTATGCTTTGCTGTGCAAAGAAAGAGATGGGCTTTCCAGTTTATGACTCAACTCTAATCATAGAAGACTAATAACAGAAGAATAAGACAGTCCACAAAAATGCTCAAGCATGTGCTTAACTCTGTACATCCATTTAAATGTCTATGAGACCTAAAATGCCTACTCAGAACTATTAAGGATGTACATAGTCAGTCATGCTTAGTCAGGTACATAAGGTTTTATTCAAACCAAGAAGTAAACAGAAGCCATTGTAGTCAACAACCAGACAAACAACTTACAGTGACCCATGCCTGTTAAGATTGACTTTTGCCCCTTCACCTGCTACAATGTAAGCTTTTTTCTTAAAATAAATAAATAAATAAATTGCAAGTGTTACCCAGTTTGGCTAACTCTGTAATTTAGAAGGTTCAGTCTGAGATGTGAATCAATGTATGCTCATCAAATCAATCTATTAAAAAGCCTAACTTTTGATCTACTCAGTGACATGTTTCCCTGAAAAGGGAAGAGATGGCTCACAAGCCATCTAGTTGGAACAAGAATGTAACTTAGTTTTAAACCTTATCTGTCCTTAGCAGCAAAGGTGTCACAGGACATCACACATACATTATAGATTCACACAGGATGCATAAGCAGTGTCTTTCTGATTTACAAGAGATACAGGAAACTGAAAGTGATGGGAGCAGATGGAAGCAGACCAGATTAAACAATCTAAAACATTTACTGGTTGGAGTGAATTTTCCCTGAAAGATCCCTTTTCTTTAACCCCCCTCTTTGCAAGACAGGGAGAAGAACTGCCTGTGTGTGTTCAGATGAAAGGTCCCAGTGGGATTAGTCTGAACCCAGATACTCAGCACATAGACACATTGTAATTCAAAACCTGTGCCAAGGCAGAGGGGTTGCTCTACCTTGGCATGCGCTATGCTTGCACATTCACAGAATTCAGGATACATTCAAACCAAACATGAAATCATGTGCTGCTGCTTAATCTGGCTCACACCCGATGAATATTTCAGTAATTGAAAACACACCTCCTCACCCACAGTTTGCTAAGTGGGATGTTTACCACAAATTTATGTTCCACAACTGCTTCCTTCAGTTCTGACTGTGAAAGCTGCTGGCATGAAGCAAAATTGCGAGAGCTGATAATCATCTCTCCTCCTGTCAGCACCAAATGGATGCATTACAAGTGGTTCAAGGCAAGAACATACCTTGGCAGTACTAATTGTATTTCAGTGCTGGGAATGATTCAACTGGACACTCAAAAATCTACCTTGACTATTTTCAGTTTGGCTGAGCATTGATGGCTGCAACAAGAAGGAATCAAAAAAAAACAAAGCGAAAGAAGGGAGGAGCTCTGTTCATTTGGGTTGTCACCAGCACTTCCACTCTACCAGCTCTTCTTCCAGTTAGTTGAGCCCTGCAGGCACTGCCTTATGTTGATATCTAAGAGACACTTCTGATCCCCGTGTTAATAAATGGCTCGTTTGCAGAGGGATCCTTCAAACACCTCTTGATATTGCAACTCCCCTTCTACTATTAGTTTTCTTTCCTTGCAGGGCAGCAACTGGGACACACGTACTGCTTTCCCAGTTGTTTTGGTGTATTCCCCCTTGATGTGAACAGTCAGGCATACCTTCTAGCAGTCTGGTCTACACATTGCCCCCTTTTCTTCCTGCATGCTGTCTTAGCTTTGAGTCTAGCTGGTATTTCAGAACTTTAACCTATACTCTAACCCCTCCTTTCCAACCCTGTCATCTGGGCAGTAATCATCACTGTTCCCATTTTTTAAGGCCCAAAACGCGTTCGTAGAAAACTCACATCCTCTCCTCTTCTGCAGCATTATCTGCTCCAGAAGTTCAAATGTAACTTTAGGTGCTATACTGCAAGAAAGGCTATAAAAGTGACTGTCACTTAGGGGAAACCCTGGACAAAACCAACAGAAGTTTCCCTCTGTTTAGAAAAGAAGAAATCAGCCAAGTCTGAGTCTCCTCTGCCATCAGTATAGAGTTCAGTAGTTACTGTTGATTTACACTTGTAGAAGAGTTGAATCAGGCCTAAGAGCATGTTTTTTCCTCCTTTCTCTGTTATGCTGACAAGATTAGCACACTTCTGTCTAAAATACTTATCTCAGGGAAAATACAACTAAGGCAAAAAGTGTTACCTGAAAAGGTCCTGTCATTTATTGAGTGAATTTTAGGACTGAAAAAGTAACTGAGGAAGAACAGGCACTGAAGTGGACGTATGCAGTGAAAAAATCTGTTTGTTATTTGAAGTTCACTTCACCTGGACCACAGGGATAAATAACAACAGAGAAAAGGAGCTGCTACATGTCATTTTTGAAGTCTCACAGCATTGTCAAAAAGAGTGCATATCTGAAATTGTTACTGCCATACATATAACAATTGTTAAAATTAATAGTAATAATAGTTTTTCACCGCACCAGTATATTTTGCACAAACATGCACACAGGAATTTCAAAACATATAATTATTAATGTATGTCATAAGCATCCCCAGCTGGCCTACTTGAAAAAGCACACTCAGAGCAGAGGTAAGTGATTTGCTCAAAGCCTACAGGATAGCCCAGAAAAGATCACAGTGTCTTAAAACTGATTTATTTTTTAAGAAGTGCTGTGGTTTAACCTGTCAGACAGCTAAGTATCACAAAGCTGTTCGCTCACTCTCCCCCCAGGTGGGATGGTGGAGAGAATCAGAAAAAAGGTAAAACTTATGGGTTGAGAGGACAGTTTAATAGGACAGAAAATGAAGGAAAACCAAAACAAAACGAACAAACAAAAAAACAACACCCCCCCTCCCGCCCCCCCAAAATTATGATGATGATAAAGAATACACAAGACAAGTGATGCACAATGCAACTGTTTACCACCCACCAAACAATTCCCATTTCCAAGAAATGGCCACCATCCCAGCCAACCCCCCCAGTTTTCCTGTTCAGCATGAGGCCACATGGTGTGGGACATCCCTTTGGCCAGCTGGGGTCAGCTGTCCTGACTGTGTCCCCTCACCACTCCTTGTGTACCCACAGCCTCCTTGCTGGCAGGGCAACAAGAGAAGCTGAGAAGTCCTTGGCTGTGCGAGTGCTGCTCAGCAACAACTGAAACATCAGTGTGTTATTAGCATTGTTCTCATCCTAAATCCAAAGCACAGCACCATACCAGCAAGTATGAAGAAAATATACTCTACCCCAGCCAAAAACAGGACAGATCCCCCTTACTATGCATGCAACCAAATCCTAGTTGCATTTTGAACTGAAGCCTTCATTAGCCAAAGGCACTGTTTCTTAGAGATGCATCCTCTGTAGCTCATTCAAGACTGCTTTATACTGCATTCTTACAGGTTAATGGCAATAAATTAATAGCCCACTGCAAAACACTACAGGATTTCAAAGAGTAGTAGCTGCTATTGGGAATAAACAGATATTACTTTTTTTTTTCTCTCGTTAAAGGGTAAAAATCATATTCATATGTAAATTCTCTCACCAAGACAATATGTTAAATCACTAACATTCTAGGTAGTTCTTTCTGTTCTCAGTCTCCAGTGCAAAGCATAATTTTGTTAAATTAGTCTAAGTTTCTCAGCAAGGCTTCCCAATCTCCACTTAACTCCTAAACCAATGTTACCAATATGCCATTTTTGCTTATAAATCTAAAAACATTAAAACTATCAGAAGTGTCTTCTATAACATCCTGTCTCTGCAATGCTCAAATACTGAACAGACAAATCAGATACAGAAGTGTCAGCTGGTATATTTGTTGGCAGTTATAGCTATGCTTCACATTTTAGAAGAAGATAAATGCTGACTACTCATTTTTTAATCAGATTTTAAAGGATGGATGAAGGAAAAGTTAAAAATAATCATAGTTTTCTTCTTCTGCGCAGTTGTTCTGTTTGTTTTTTTTCTTCTGGATACATGTGGATGATAGTCTGTAGTCCACCATGAATTTTTTGTTGTTGTTGTTGTTTGCTTTTTTGTTTGTTTGTTTTTAAACTAACACATCCATGTAGTGGAGTATGAAAGATCATACTAAGTCATTCAGTGAGCAAAAGTTTAAAAAGGATTCATGGCATTTCATATGAAAAGTACAGGTCATAGAAAACCTTTCAAAACCAAACTGCAAAGCCAAACATTTGAAAATGAAATAAGCTTACTTGGAAACAAGAGAGAAGGCTGCTGAACAGATTGCAGGGCAGGGAACAAGTCTGATTAAGATGTGTCCCAAAGCAGAAGGGAAATGGGCTTGGGTGACTTTTTCAAACACAGAACTGAAGGTGTTGATGTCTGCCAGCTTGCTGCTTTGGTCCTCTCCTCCAGTGTCTAAGATGTTCCCCCCATGTAGGATCAGAATTAGCACATGAGTTTTGCATTTCTGGTGTTTAACTCCTTCCTGTGAGAAAAAAGGAAATAAGAAAGGAGGAAGCCTTTTTAGGGACAGTGTTGGTATACTTGGTGTTAATCACATAATCACAGAATAGTTTGGCTTGGAAAGGACTTTAAAGATCATATAATTCCAACCCCCCTACCATGGGCGGGAACACCTTCCACTAGCCCAGGATGCTCAAAGACCCATCCAACCTGGCACTGAACACCTCCAGGGATGGGGCATCCACAGCTTCCCTGGACAGCCTGTTCCAGTGCCTCACCACCCTCTGAGTAACAAACTTCTTCCTAATGTCTAAATGTTAATGTTCACAAGCAATTAGAATTGATTCCTTTTCCCACCCCACTGTGACCTTTGTGTTATCTGCTGGGTAGGGAGGATGGGATGGGACACAACACATTTAAGTATGTCTGAACCAGGTAGAGCACACTATGCTCTGCCAGAAAACCCTTACAGGTCAGGTGTAGACCAACAAAGACTATAGCTTTGTGCATATCAAAAGCTATTGGAAATATGTCCAGACTGGAGATGTCCAACATTCACAGGCAGCCTAAGAAAATGTCTTGATATTGTGAAATGGGCTGCTGCATTTACTGGAAACATTTTAACTCTAATCATCACAGGTTCTTTAAAGGAAAACAAATGAACACATTTGCCAATGTTTTCATTTCTGCCCATGAAAGCATCTAACAGAAGCAACTGGTAAGAGTTTTGAAACTGGAAACCTTCTGAGAATGGCAACTTATTAAAATGAAGAAAAAAAAAGGAGGTGGGGAGGTTAACATACAAGACATTTACTGAGAGAGTAAAAAATGAACTGTTGCCAACGGTGAGTATGTGAATTGTCATGCAATACACAGACAATAATCTACCATGGAAGGTGAGGTAATGTGCTCTGTAGAAAAATACGTTATCTATCTACTTGAAACTGGAAAAGCATTTTGCATGTTTCAGAGTTACACATTTTTTTCTTCTTTAAACTTTGACAGTCGTATTCATTCAAAGAAAGACCTACTAATACATGAAAAGATTAGGAACTTCTCTGTTTTTAAGTCTTGACAACTATTTTCCTTCTTGTACTTGCTTGAGGATTGTTAACTGCTACCTTGGGTGATCTACTGAGAAAGAAGTTCAAATAAAATAATCAAATATTATATTGTGAAATAAGCTCCATTTATTTTCAGTAACATCTTTTTAATTAATGTAAGTTTAGTCTCTACTATGACCCCAGTCTTACGAAGTGATCATGATCTATTAGGCAGGTTTGTACCCTTATGTGCTATATTCAGATGATGTCTCTTCTCTTTTTCTTTTTCTTTATCAGTCTATCTAAACTGCAAGCTGTTTAAGGAAAGACTGGCTTGAGTTATGTGCTTACACAGCACCTTTTAAAAATGGGCTTTTGAACATAGACCAGCTCAGATAGTTATACTCTCAGGTCTCAGGACTGCATTTCCCATCACAGTATTTTGTCTTTGCGAAGAAACTGGCCAATATTAGCATACCTCGTGCAAGAGAGGAAAAACTTTGCAGGATGAGGTCATATCTTTTATTAAATTAACTATGGCAACTTGCAAACAGGCAATGTTCTAGGCATCTCCTTCTTCAGCTCTGCTACCAAAACCACAATCTTGAATAGTAAATATAAAATGAGAAGAACTGCTCAGAGTTTAACAAAAACCACACACAAAATTAATCAAACAAAGAAAGCATTAACCAGAAAAACTGACAAGTAAATAAATGTACACAGATACATTTCAGCTTGCAGTTTAGCAGTAGAAGTGCAGGGGTGGAAAAGATGTTGGCATGAATGAGTAAAAAATACATAATCCAGCACCTGTAGAATGGTGACAGACAAATGGTTGAAAACGAGAGAATTCTATATTGTTCCACAAAGCCATTATCTCTGTTCAGCCCATGATTTTTAGTCTCCAGTAGAATTACTCATTTTAAGTCCCATGTTCATCCTCTGAAGGCATTTTGCTGATCTGCATGTATCTTTCAGTATTGGATATGCTGGTAAGTAAAAAGAGAGTTTTTGAGGTTCCACTTTTTCTTGCTCTAATTTACAATTTCCTCTCCATATGTTCCCAATCCATTTATTCAGAAGAGGAGTTTAATTCCCTTTAAAAGCTCAAAGTAGCTCTTTCCACAGCCAATGCCAGCTTGTAAACAAGTAGCACTGTTGACAGGTTGGTGTAACTGAAAGCTTCAAAACAGAGGTAAAAATTCAAGCAGGTCAATATTGCTCAAGTAACTGTTAAAAACGTCTATCAGCACAGTTGTATTTAACAGGTAGCTTTCACAGAAGGAGTCAAAAGGAACAAAAAAAATTTGCCTGTAATCAGCAGTTCAGTCATGACTAAGACAAGGAGCTCAAGGGCTGAACTGAAAGAACATCTGATGTCAAAGACTGTCAGCATTTTCCGGGGACATTTGACCTCAGATTCTTGAAATACGGAAATGTAGACATTTCTGTTTCCTGTCCTGTGTTGGGACAGAGGATCTTAATCAGTCAACTGGAAGGAGTATAACTTGTTTAGATTCTTTGCTTCTTCTAAAGAAGTAATTTTGTTACTGTCAATTTCCTGACTGCTACCAAATCTGCTTCTCAAAGCCTGTATTTGATCTGAAGCACTACGTAGACATCTTTTGAGAGAAATGGGTCGTGTTTCCACCTAAGTGAAATTATGTAGTATGTAAAAATCTCATTTTGATTTTCAGTTATTGCATGCGCACTTACTGAAAAATAAAAAAGAAAGACTAAGCCATCAAAGAGGCTTACAATTCCATAATACAATATGAGAGTATTTCCACATATCTGGTCCTTGGAAATCAGCACAATCTGTTTTGGGGAACAATCTCACCTCATTGTCCTCATGTATTTCAATACTGCCTTGTGCAGGTAACCTTTGTTTTCTTAAAGAGGCTCTATATAATTCACCTGAAAGGAAAAAAGACATAATTGATAGCATAAATACTTGGATTCCTCACCTTTTTCAGACATAGAATCATAGAAACATTAAGATTGGAAAAGACCTCCAAGATCATTTAGTCCAGCCATCCCCCTTCCACCAGTATTACTCACTAAACCATGTCCCTAAACACCACATCCAACCCTTCCTTAAACTCCTCCACAGACAGTGACTCCACCACCTCCCTGGGTGACTCGTTCTAATGCCTCATCACTCTTTCTGAGCAGAAATGTCTCCTCATTTCCAACCTGAACCTCCCCTGGCACAACTTGAGGCCATTCCCTCTAGTCCTATCTGTAGTTACCTGTGAGAAGAGGCTGACCCCCATCTCCCCACACCTTCTTTTCAGGTAGTTGTAGAGAGCAATGAGGTCTCCTCTGAGCCTTTGCTTCTCCAGACTAAACAATCCCAGTGCCCTCAGCCACCCCTCAAAAGACTTGTGTTCCAGATCCTTCACCAACATAAACCCACAAACCTGGAAATTCCAAACAAACATAATTGCTTTCTGGAAGTCTCTACACTTTAAATCTGCTTCAATTTAGAAGTGGTGTTTCCAAAATCCTGTCCAGAAGACCCATTATACTCTGAGGTTCTTCATTGGAAAAATATGACAGTTTTCTAGCACCTAAGCTCAAAGCAGAACCAGTACCACACAAACATTAGTTTTAAAATGACATCATGCATGAAAAATAGTTATTCGGGGCCATGAGGCACCACCTTATAGGGAACCATAATATTTATCTTCAACAGAGTACTGAAAAAGGAAACCCATGATTCATCATGTGCTCACAAACACTTTCTGTTATCATTACAATGCAACACATTAGACAAGATATTTCCTGGGATTACTTGTGCCCTGTTCCTTTGAAAACTGTTTTCTAATAATAGGTCTTTAGAAAGCAGAGAGGGTGGGTTGCTTTTTCCTTTATGCATCAAATGCCAGACTGAAGGATAATTCCTTGCTCCACACTCATAAAAATCTTACAGATAACTGGAAAATAGATTCCAGGCACTGTTTTAATCGCAGTTCCTATTCTCTAGGTAAAGTAGACTGCTATCAGAATATTGGCCTTCTTTACAAACTGTTTTCTCACTTTGATTGGGGATTAAAAAAAAAAGAAGCATGATAAGCATGATATCAACTTGCAGTATTAAGAGATTGCAAAAACTATGACGCACAGATCAGCCTATAGAAGCATAAAAGGTTTTTCTTTTATTTCAGACACAGCAGTCTGCACAGTGCAGCTGTCTTACTGTGTTTGGAACATTACTACATTGCAAAAAGCTCAGACTGCAGTAATGTAAGAACGTATACTGTCTTCTGAAAATCTGAAAATCTGCACCCAGAAGTACAGTTTTAACATGGACGGGAAGGGAAGGGAAGGGAAGGGAAGGGAAGGGAAGGGAAGGGAAGGGAAGGGAAGGGAAGGGAAGGGAAGGGAAGGGAAGGGAAGGGAAGGAAAGGGAAGGGAAGGGAAGGGAAGGGAAGGGAAGGGAAGGGAAGGGAAGGGAAGGGAAGGGAAGGGAAGGGAAGGGAGAGGGGAGGGGAGGGGAGGGGAGGGGAGGGGAGGGGAGGGGAGGGAAAGGGCTTGCTGTGTTTTGTTTTGTTTTCTAGTTGATTTGCAGTACAAGTCAGGAATTCCAATGGCTAGAACTTTGGCATTGTGTTGCCCAAATAACAAACTTGTCTGAATTCAAAGTAGTCCCATGGCATAATAGGTGGGGGCTGTGTGTCTATGTGCATGTGTGTGTGTCATGTAAAATAATTCTGGCCAGGAATTAGAAGACCACCTGCAATTCCTCCAGTTGCTTGCTACCACCTGTTGCAAAGCTACCAAAAACAACAATTAAAAAATAAATAAATCTGGGGGGCCGTGTTGAAACCAGAATAGAATCATAGAATCCAACTTACTTTCCCACAAAGGACTGGTAACACCACTAGAAATAAACATATCTATTCACCATAGAAATTTGCTGCAGGTAAAATGAAGCTCTACAGAACTACCTTCACTACACAGCTGTGCTACACAGTCATTACACATACATGTATCTTAGCAAATCCATGCTCCTGAAATGCCACAGAATCACGCTGAATGGCTGAGGCTGGCAGGGACCTCTGGGTCCATCTGGCCCCTACCCTGCTTCAGTAGGCCAACCAGAGCAGGGTATCCAGGACAGTGTCCAAGTGGCTTTTGAGTTCTCCAAGTAGGGAGACTCCAGGCTACCTGTGCTAGGGCTCCCATCACCTGCACAGTAAGGAAGTGCTTCCTGATATTTACATGGAATCTCCTGTGTTCCAGTTTGTGTATGCTACATCTAGCCCCAGTGTCACTGGAAAGAGCCTGGCTTCATCTTCTTTGCACCCCCCATATCGTATTTTGTATAACTCATTTTGTTCTCTCTTTTGATTACTTTGCTAATATAGTCAGCATCAGAGTATAGCACAGCTGAACAGTTATGTGCCTAAGCACCAGCAAGGTATTTCTTCATCTTCTTCACCACATATCCAGTCTTGCAACATTAGCTGCTGTACCTTTAGCAGGCTTTACGGTATGCATGGCTTACCCTGTTCTAATCATCTGAATTTATTTAACAACTTAACAAGTTATCACGGGAACAAACAACATTCATGTTCCACTTTAGAACCTGTCTTCACCCCTGCAATAATACAGTGAATTTATCTTCAAATAGAAAAAAAAAATATATATATATAGAAATGCTGTGTCAAATATAACAACCATGGGAGTACAAAGGAAAGGAGATACTACACCTGCAGATGAGATGACCCTCTGAATGGGACTGACAGCCAGGGAACCTTTAGGCCCAATGAAAATGATGTAAGACTACCTGCTGATTTTAGCATACGGACCAAATCTTAATACAGGTCCAAAACCAAAAAGGGAATCTGTGGAAGGACAGCAAGGATATCAGAGTTTCTTTGCAGCAGGAGCTCACACTCAGCTAAAAATATCTTAGAAGTTACCTTAAGTTTTCTCCATTTTGCAAACACTCGCTGAGCTGTATTTTAGAATGCACAGCATCACAAAAATAAAATGACAGCAGTTGTTGAACATGGATAACCTACTCTAGTATCAACTGCTATCATGGATGATTTGCATGTCAAGGACAACAGAAGTCCAATTCACTGTTTATCTTTAAAATCTGCTGCTAGAAGTAAATCTGTTTTCATATGAGCCATCTGATGTGTTTTGGAATGGTATTGCTATTCTAATTTCCATCCTTTCCTTCCACTGTTCATTCCATTAAGCCAAGTTTTGTTTTCCATTCTTCACATTATCAGGCAGTGGCAGATGCTATTGCAATAAATTTAATAGCAGCATAAACACTACATTTAGTTATGTCCAAACACTCTTTAATTAATTACATGACACTCCAGAAAGAGTCAAGGAAGGAGAGATCACATGCTACTGGGGAGAAAGAGAGTAGTTTGTTTACACAGAACATTCACTGTGGAAAAAATTAGTCAATGCAGCCAAAGTGCCTGAGGATGGGGCAGAGAACACCAGTACAAAGTGAAAATCACCATAACTGAAAGCAAAGAACCATGAGGATGCATACAGATTTTTCCATTATACTGAGTATTTTGACTACTGCATAAATGTTGGAGAACCTTGGAGATGAGATATATGGAGGATGTGGCAAAGGAGACTGAAGCAGTGATCCAGTGAAAGATGAGACCAGATGCAGAGCTTGATGAAACGTATTAGTGTGCACCTTGTCTTTTCCTGTAGGAATTTAATGGCTCCAACTCAACATAGCTCATAATTTCAGATTTTATGGGTTAGTATTCATACCACAACTGACTAGCATCTTAAAAAAAAAATAATAATAATAATAAAAATCTAACCCATTTAATGCAAAGAAATGAATTTTTCTGCTAAGTAAGTGGAAAATGCTAACTCAGAGCGAAGTTGGCATATCTGCAATATTTGCTTGTGAATCTCTTGACCCAATCATTAATTTATTTTTAAACTAATGTTTGAAATGCAAAATTCAACAAAGCAGCTAAGACCCACACATAATTAGACTGAAAAAAGAGGTCTTAGGCTGCAGGGTGTGCTTGGGGTTTCTGTCAGTGTCTGACAGCATCAGTTTAATACTGTGGGAGGTGCACCCAGGCTGAAGAACTGCTCAGCCTGGTGACAGAGTTTTGGGAGGAGGTGGGTAGGCTGAGGAGCATCAGGGAGATGGAAAAGGAGATGGACTGGTTGAATCATACCCTACCATCCCTGGGACAGAGGTGTCAGCCAGTCGTAATATATGACATGAAGAATTCCCTATCCTCTCTCCACCAGGCAGAAGGTGGTGAGACTGAAGAGCTAACGGGGGATGGAAGCAGGTTTCTGCTCGGTGCAGCATGTGAATCCCCTCCCTGCCTACCTTGCCTTCCCAGGTGCCCTTAAGACAACAGGTATGAGGCTTGGGAACTTGACGGACAGCACAGTATGGATGAAGATCCATCTAGGTTGAAGAGGTTGTCTAAGGCAAGTCAGCCCGCCCCCAGTAACAAGATAACTTCCATTATGAAAAAAAATGTACATCAGTGACTCCCTTCTGAGGGGAACAGAGGGCCTGATATGCCAACAAGATCCCATTCATTGGGAAGTCTGCTGCCTCCCAGGGGCCCAGGTAAGAAACATTACTAGAAAACCTCCTAGGCTGGTATGGCTCTCTGATTATTTATCCATTACTGCTTTTTCATGTATGTAGCAATAAAGTTGGTCATCGAAGGTGATCAAAGAGACCTCAGGGTCTTGACAATTAGTTAAAGGATCAGGAGGCACAGCTATTGTTTTCCTCTGTCCTTCCAGTATCAGTGAGAGAAATAGGCAGATCCAGCTGATCAATATGTAGCTCTGACAGTTTTTTGACTACAGGATGGTCTACATGACATCAGGCCTGCTGTTGCCTGATGGGATGCACCTTTCTCAGAGGGGGAAATGAATTT